AGTCGATCCCCCACTTCTCTCTTCTTTCACCCCGCCTAATTTGGTTAGCACGGGAATTTTTTCACTCTTCCACCTTCTCTTAGAGATGAAAGTCCAAACCAAATCCCTCACTCAAATCAGCTGACTCTATTTATGAGATTTGTTTTTGTTTTAGAAATAAAGATATTAAGGATTATTATAGTATTGAGTTGGTGAATTGAAAAATGCGGGCTATTGTCATATGTCACAGTTTGAGCACTTTCTTCAAAAGAAACCAATTTTGGTGTCAATGGAAAAGTTGTAAAGAATCAAAAATCAAGCTTTATCCAAATTTTCAGAACGATTCAAAAACTGATTTTCAAGAAATGCCAAATTCACAAAACTTGCATTTTAAGTGAAACTACTAAGTGTATCTTTTTGGAAATTTGGCTATAAGCCTAATTTTTGATTCTCTACAACTTTTCTATTGACACCAAAATGGGTTTCTTTTGAAGAAAGTGCTCAAACTGGGACATCTCCAGTCCTCCATTTTCGAGTCTCACACTTGTCTCACACACAAAACAAAATCCTACTACGAAAGAGGAATCCGGAAATTGCCTGTAAAATGGGCACAAGTCGTCAATAATAATGGAAATTATTTGGAATGAATTGATGGTTTTATGTTCAATAAATTTTAGTTCAAAGTCCGGCAGTTTTCAATTCACCAACCCAATAGATATTAGACATGGGCATCGAATCGACGATTCGAGTCGAGCAAATCAAATCGATTTTTTTATGAAATGCAAAATAATTATAACATATAAATTGCTTTGCTTGTTAAATTTACTTGGTAATCTTATAAAGTATCGATTCGAGGTCCATGTCTAGTAGATATTCTAGCAGTAGATGTCTAGTAGATCGGTTTAAATGCTCAATTTGACTCATAAGTAGGAAAAACTGGTCAAAGTAAAGCAAAATTACTGTTTTACCTGGTTTTGCGATCTTCAAAACCCAAATCGGATTGAATTCAGATCCTTTCGGATTTCAAAAACCTTTAGAACAAACTGCAATTCTGGATCTCGGATCTGCCGGATCTTTTACCCATTCAGAGCTGAGTTACTAGGCTTTAGATCGTCATAGCTTCCAACGTTTTGTTCTGATTCTCAGAGAGAATCTCAAGAAAACAATGTTCAGCAACAGAATTATGACCATGAAAGCTTTACGAATAAACCGTAAATTTGTAGCTCAATTTTACTCAAAAATAAACCCGAAATTTCCTATCGAATGGCCCTTCTCAATATTCATCTTTTCTCATATTTTTCTTATGAAATACCCTCCCACAACCACATTCCCAGTTTTTATGACTTTTCGAAGAGTGATCACTCGACTCAAAGAATTTATTTGAAGGAAGGAAAAGTCCCATATGGTTTCCACAAATAATTCAAAGGAGAGGAACTCAGAGAAAGGTTTGCAAGTGATTTGAAATAAAAAAAGGAAGAGTTTATCTTTAGCTATTTAAGCTATTCTAAAGTTTATCTAAAGCTATCTAAGCTAAAGAGAGTAAAACTGGAGCGCGGCTAAAAGAGTTTATTCATTATCATAATTCCAAGATTGTAGATCCTATTTTGCCTCTTTGAAAAGTTCTTTAGACTTTGCAATTAAGTTTCCTTGATCTTAATGGTCTCATTACAATTTGAAGAGTTAAATTGTCAAGAGGTATCAAGACTTAAAACTTTTGCTAAAGAAATCACACATTTAAACTCCTTAACTAGTAAATCAGAATAATCGAATGAAGTCTAAACTCAAAAATATCTTTTTTGATCTTTTTATTCTTTGACTTTTCCCTGATGAAACTCATTTCTCAATTGAGGCGAGAGTCCATTTCAGTTCAACAAGAAGAAATGTGATGTCCATTTTATGTGAAACACTAATAGAAAAGGGCTACTTTGTGTGCAACACGCAAAGTGGTAATGAGAAGAGAAAAGAAGAAAGAACCAACTGTCAATGTTCACATTTTGAAAAAGAAAGTGAAAACACGTTAAGTTTTATTGGAAAGTAGTGAATGGGGTGATGAATGGGAGATAATTTGTGACACTTTTGTTTAGGAGAAAGCTGGACAAGGTGTTGTCATGAATTCGTTTAGTTAGAGAAGATTTTAGAGAATTATAATCATATCTAAACTACAGTTTTCCACACTAAAAATGTACTTAAAACTATTTTTAATGTATTAGAGTGGAAATGAAACGAGCGCTGACATATCTTTCTAAAAATAAAAGGATTGTAAGTCTCAGCCAATAAGTGTTGTATACTGTTCGAAAGCTCTGAATCTCCTCTACAAAATAGTAAAAAAAGATTTTGAATTGGATTGATTATTGAAGACTTGGGTGTTAAAAACTAGCCGGGCAACATCTTCAGGCGGGGAGTATGGCTGGGGCGGTACATCTGTCAAATGGTAATGCAGATGTCCTAAGGCTGGCTCAGAGAGGACAGAAACCTCTCTGAGCCTCTGGGCAAAAGCCAACTTGATCTTGATTTTCAGTACGAATACAGACCGCGAAAGCGTGGTCTATCGATCCTTTTGAATAAGAAAGTTCCTTGCAAGAGGTGTCAGAAAAGTTACCACAGGAATAACTGGCTTATGGCAGTCAAGTGTCCATAGCGACGTTGCTTTTTGATCGAGTCTCAACCTGGGTACCTGTATTTGCTGACAATCATCACTTCCACGGATCTTTTCACTTGAGCACTTTTTCAGTATATTAAGAATATACATTACTTAATATTTATGTCAAAACACAAACGATCAGCTTAGATTTTATCGAGGTATGATCCAAAGTTGAAAGTAATCCATTTTTCGCCTAAAATGGAGATTTTTCGAAAAACTCTAGAACAAAGATTACTCTAGAAGACGAGCAAACAAAAAAAAAGTTCTTTTCTTTTATCTTATTTTGAAATAACTCTAATTAGCGGTATTTTCTAACGGAAAAACCGGGAAAACCGGAAAAACCAGAAACACCAGACCTTTGAACTTAAAAGTTACCCAAGTCTTCAATAATCAATTCAATTCAAAATCTTTTTCTATTATTTTGTAGAGGAGATTCAGAGCTTTCGAACAGTATACAACACTTATTGATTGAGGCTTATCTTTTGATTTTTGGAAAGATATTTGAGCGCTGGTTTCATTCCCATTCCCAATAATTTTGCAGCCTCATTTTCATTGCCATGAAATATTGTTTGTGGATGTGTAGAGGAAGAACTAGTGGTCATAAAGTGGTTATTGGCTTATCGAAAAAGGGGAAAACGACTCTTTCTTCTCATTTCATTTACCCATACACAAAAGGAAATGAAAAAGCGATGAGTTGGGGAATAATGAAAGTTGGGAAAACACTCGCATCCTGTTTAATTCATTAAAACAAACCCCATTAAATTGCTTTTTAAAAGCCGTAAGTTCAAGAATATATTTTGCAAGAGATATATAGAAAATATTGATCGATTTTCAGTTTAAGTTAAGATGAAGATCAACTTTAAATCATTCAAGCTTACAAAGATTTGTAATAAAGTTAGAATGTGATAAGTTAAAATGATTTTATGATTTTTAAAGTTGAAAAGATCAAACAAAAAACTATTTGAAATTTGATTTACATTTGAATAATAGTAAATTATAGAAACTAGGTCTATTAGAAACCAGCTGCAACTACCTCATCAATACGTGTGAAGGGGTAAACGTGAAGTGATCAATCAAACAATTGGGATGACCTAAGGAAGAAGGGGAAGGAATAGGAAAGATGGTAAGAAAAGTCAAGGGTTTTGATGGTAAATAGGTGAATGGAGAAGGGGAGTTGTGAACGGTTAGCTGAAGGAGTGGAGGGGATGGTCGAGTGGGTGCGAGGTCTCACACCAATCCCCTTTTTGCAGTCCTTCGATCCACTCATCCATCGCTTCTCAATCTCTCTTTTTATCGCTTTTTGCTCACCTTTTACCCCCAATCAGCCGGATATATGAGACTTTTGAGAATCTTTTGGCAATGACGATACAAATAAACAATCAACTTCAAAATGTTTGGGTAAATGGGAACTGGTTTATGGCTTATTAAGTAAATGTTATCATTTATTAGTTATAATAATGTAGAATTGACCAAGTTAGACAAAATAATGGTTATCGGACATTTTATACGCGCCCCGGCTCTTTTAAACTAAACTATTGAAGTTTCAAAATCGTTTTTATCGTAGCTAAAAGACTAGTTATCGTACAAAATAATGGTTGGGTAACTTTTCATTTTGGCGAATCTTTTCTAGAACCATTTATTCATATTTTAAGCATGTTTTAAAGTACTAGTAAAAGCCAGTGAGCCAATTTAAAGCCCACATTTAAATCCTATCGGCAGATTGCTTGTGCATATCAAGTTGGTTAGCGGCGCTCCGGCTCTTTGGCTATCGGGATTCCAACTTTAAACTCAAATATCTTAGCGTTGGGTTCTCGAATCTAAATTTTCTTAAAATCATTAGATGCGCCAAGTCTTTCTCTATCCATTGGTCTAGAAACTATTTCGATTGGACAACTCAACACCAAGATATTTGAGCTCAAAGTTATATTGCTAATAGGAAAAGAGCCGGGGCGACGGACTTTTATAAGCGCCCCACCCCCTTTGCCATTGGCAATCGAACTTTGAGCTCGAATTTCTTGGTGTCGGGCTGTTTAATTTAGATATTCTTGATATCATTAGATGCGTCAAGTCTTTCTCTATCGATTGGTATAAAAACTATTTAAATTGGATAACTCAACACCAATATATTTGAGCTTAAAGTTGAACAATGGCAAAGGGGCGGGGCGCGGATGAAAAGTCCCCAAAATTCAAAATGAATCCAGTTACAGATAAGCTGAATATTCTTCTGAATTTTATACTGTCAAATTCATACTGTAGTTCACCAGAAAACTGTTAATAATTGCATTTTTTTCCAGGTTTAAAGCCCGTTTAACTTTGCTAAGCAATCTTTTTGCAAAATCTGATAGATAAGTGAAAAACTTTATTGCCTACACTTTCATCAGTTCTCAAAACCGACAAGTTTTTTCACTTGTGGTCCCAGTTTATTGCGCACAACAACGGGCTTCTCATGGGTGAATGTCTTGAATCCCCATTCGCATTTAATCCGTCCCATTCCCGAGTTACCCACACCACCAAATGGCATTAAACGAGCTGAAATTGAAAAGCTGTAATAGAAATTAGCATCATATTCACTCACTCGATCCATGAATCATCACATCGTTCACTGAAACTCCACCACTTGAAGTATGCTTGATGAATCTAAATTTGTAAAAGATTTCAATTTCACTACCCAAACTCACTTTTCAGCTTCACATTCGCATTTTGTGAAAACATAGGCACCAAGCGGTTTATCATGATCTTGAATGTATCGAATCGCTTCGTCAAATGAGTTCACCTCGAGAATCGGAAGGACCGGACCAAAGATCTAAAATCAGCGTTAAATAGAACAGTTTTCTGATCTCACCTCTTCTTTCAACAAAAGATCTCCTTGATTCACTTCAAGAATTTGTGGTGGAAAGAATTTGTCTTCTCGATCGGCTTCTCCGTCGTACTTGTATAAGAGTTTTCCTTGCGATTTCTCAACCAATGCACCGATTCGACTGAAAGACTTCAGTTCAAAAGTTTTCGTCTTCTTTTTATATCTTATCATCAGTTATAGCATTAAACTAGCTTTTTAAGAGTGATAATGTCTGAGAGTAGTGAACTGGTCAAGAAATGGCTCGGTTCTGTAAGCTAGATCAGTTCAAGATACCAAGTTAGATGAAGCCAGAAGCTAGACTAAACTTGGTAATAATTGTGGCCTTGAATTCCAGCTTTAACCAGGTTATTTCACAATAATTTAATGATAAACACCAATTCTAACTTCCCTACAACTTGGCCATTTATAATTTATAGTTTTAAAATACAAATCTAAAAAAAAGCTAACTAACTTATTGATTATTTAGCTTATTAATAACTTTAATAACTTATTAAACTTGTAAAATTTTAGAATTTCATAAAAGATTAAAAATCCTTACTCGAAATGCCTTTGATTAACAATGCGAGCATTTTCCGGATTCGATTTGAGATCTCCATACTCTTCGACGGCTTTCACCAACTCTGTCACCAAAGCTTGCTTCATTTTTGGTGTGGTTATGATCTAAACTTATTTTTAAAGCTTTTAGATAATTACTTACGTAATCAGGCGCCAAACAGATTTGCCCACAATTGGCCACTTTTCCAATCACGATCTTCTTCGCCGCGTCGGTCAAATCGGCGCTTTCCGCGATTAAAACGGGACTGAAATAGCACGAAAATGTAGAAATCACGTACAAATTACAGTAGTTTTTGATAATATTTCTTTAAATAATTAGATTTTATAGTATTTTTTGGTTTTTTTTCAACTCACTTTTTTCCTCCCAGCTCCAGCGTGACTGGGGTGAGATTTTTCGCCGCCGCCGACATAATCACCTAAAAATTGAAATACTTTAGCATTTCTATATGTAAATTTCATATTCATATGTTAAATAAATTAGTAAAAGGTTGATATTTATCGAAATTCTATCGATAAATTACCCTAGCAACTTGTGGATTTCCAGTGTAGCAAATGTGATCAAAGTGTTGCTTCAAAAGTTCGGTTGTCTCGGGAATTCCTCCTTTCACAACAGCAAAGATTTTCTGAAACAATTTTTTAGCTTTTTTTTCATAACTGAATATCTATTCTTAAGTTTACCTTATCTAGATATTTCTCGGCAATCGAGTGAATCGCGTCAGCGAAATGCTCACCGATCTCCGATGGCTTCAGAATAACAGTGTTTCCTGAAGAATTGTGGGCACTTATCTATATAAAAGAAAAGAAAACGTCACGCTTTAAAGGAGCTTTAAGGGAACTAAATAGGAACTATAAAGGAGCTTTAAAGGAGCTTTAAAGGAGCTCTAAAGGAACTATAATGAAGCTCTAAAGGAGCTTTAAAGGACCTAAATAGGAACTATAGAGGAGCTTTCAGGGGCTTTAAAGGAGCTCATTCACCGGAATCTCATCGATTAGCCTATTCATTTTATTAAGTCATTGAAACACGGGTTTAATTGATCTAAACTTTTAACAGAACTCGTCCACTTATTAACCTATCTTTGAGATTCGCAGGTTTCAAATTTCAGTGAGAATTGGCTCTTTAGTCTAATTCAGACTTCTTTAGCTTTAAAATTATGAAATCTTGAAATAGCTTAACACTCACCAGCTGTAAGAGCTGAGATGAAAGGCGCTGAGCAAATGCAGGGATAATTCCATGGGGAGATCACCAACACAACACCGAGGGGTTCCGGCACTGAAAATAGCTAGATTCTAAGTAAATCAGTTCAATTTTTGATTGACTTTAACTCACCGATAAACAGCTCATCCTCTCCAACGGTGAAACGATCCTCAGCGATGGTGAACTAAATGAGGGGTTTCTCATTTTAATGGTGTAAATTTTCTTACTGGAGTAGGTTTCACCCATTCGTCGAGTTTCTTGATTCCAAGTGCTGCTTCTTCCATCGTTTTTTCGACTTCAAGAATTCCATCCTGAAATCGGATATTTTGAGGGTAAAATTGATGAAAGTTGCTATGGCTATGGCTATGAAAACTTTCTTGAAGTTCATTCCTACTCGCTGAATGTAGTTTTATTCTTTCCTTTATGAAATTCCATTGTTTTTCACTTACTCTGTGCAGATCCTTGTAAATCGCATCGGAAAGTAATTGCTTATTTTCTCCAAGCATATCCAAAACCCTTTGGAGGACTTTCTTCCTCCCTTCCACACATAACGTAGCTCCTGATTTGAAGTACTCGCGTTGCAAGTGAACAAGCTGAAATCTTAGATATTCGAATCATTAATCGTTTCAAAAAAACCTCAGAGTAATCCATTTTCTTGCCGTTGTTTGCTGAGAGTGCTTTCTGAATGCCAAAAAAACTCTTTTTTAAACAAAATGATTTCCGATAAGAGCACAAAAACTAGAAAATTCACACAAGATAGTGGGAAGATTGAATGATTTTGAATTAGAAAGTAGAAGTGGCAGAAAATAGGAAATAGAAATTGAAAAGAAAAAAGCTGTAAAGAAAAATTGGGAGTGGTTTTTAGTAAATGAGAAAGCTCTGATATGATTGAAATTTTTGATTTTCTTGCTGTAAAATAGATAATTTATTCTCCAGAGATCGCAAAAACCCATCTTCAAAACGAATTGTTGATTGAAATCATTGACCTTTACGGTTAACGGCGGAGGTAGCGATTATCGACGGGGGCCAACTGCAGCCCAATTTTAGATAGGTTTTTGTTAACAACTTTTGATAAAAAAAATATTTTCTGAAAGCTGACGTTCTAGGCTATCTAAATCTTATTAATACTTTCTAATCTGAGAAGTTTATGGTGCTTAAAAATGAGCTGTAAGTTGGCGAGAAAATTGGCCCCCGCCGTTAACCGTTAAGATCTGAAATCATCAAACTATTTCAAATGCTTTTCTCGTAAGAATTTGTGGATATGCGGTTGAACAGCTTTGCGAAAGAGTTCAAATTGTAGATGAAGCCCGCTTGGAGTGAAATGGCATCGATTGTCGATATAGGCTTTTCGAGAAATCGGATCAAACATTCGAAAGATCTCCTTTTCTTTGTCTGAAATCATATCGTTGATGTTTAAAAGCGATAAAAATACAGAAGATTTCTTTATTTCTTTTCAACTCTCCCTACCAAAATATGGTTCTTCTAGATGAATTAGGTGACATTTTGGGCACTTTTTCGCAATAAACTCGAGTCGTCTGATCGCTGGGCCAGCGTCGAAAAATGATTTCTAAAGTTATTTGAATGAATTGAAACTTGATTTTCCTTTACATCAACTGATAGATTGAGTTTTTCCAAAGTCGCATTTCTTTCTAAATGATCGACAAAATCGTTTAAGAAATCTTCAGTGTTTGCGATGTTTTTTATTTCGACGAATGGTTCACAATGGAATGGGAGAGCCGTTTCGATAAAAATCTTTCGAGAGTGAAGACTAAAAATGTTTTTAATGTTGATTTTTTTTTTAAAATTTCAATTTAATTACCTAATAGAAACCCCGAGGCTTCTATTTTTCAACCCCCCAAAATCGGTGGACCAAAAAAATAGGTAAGGGTTTCCCACATGAATCAAAAATCTATTTTTCCTTAAAAACTGTTTTAAACAATAGCCCTTGACTTAAAACATTTGTAGAAGACGTTTCCGAGTGAAAATATTTTCTTACCAGGAGCCTCCAGAAATTTTCCTGCAAAAAATCTCCTGTCGGTTTTTTTTCAAAAAATTCTTTAATTCTTTGAAAACTGTAAAACCAATTTTACTGTCGATAATAGTTGTGGCATATTTATGCCCAATTCTATCAATTCGCGTCAAAAAATGTCCCAAAAGTTCGATATTGATAGTTTTTTTATGAAAAAAAAACCTGTCAAATTTGCTTGGAAATGAATTCAAATTGAGGGATAGGCTACTTTGCGCCAAATTTTTTGCGCAACTCGCCATAACTTCCTTCTAGGTGGGCCAAACTTGTGATTTTGGTTCCATTTTGTAGATCTCAATAAGTGTATAGTGTCATTTTGTTACACTTATTGAGATCTACAAAATGAAACCAAAAACATAAAAACTGGTCCACTTAGAAGAAAGGTATGGCGAGTTGTGCAAACGATCCAGTTCCGCAAATGAACAAAAAAAAATCACGAGCGTTGACTTATATACAACTTTTCTAAAGAGATTAAAGGTAAGTCGTCGCTCGTCATTTTTTTGCGCCAATTTTTTGCAATAATTTTCGCTAAGAGTACGGTAATTTTTCCAAAGTTTGCGTTTTAAAAAAACGCATTGAAAAAACGCATTGAAACGCGTGAGGAAAACACTCTAGTTATTACGGTACTTTGTATTTCGATTTTCTAAAGCAAATTATGTGTAAATTGTCTAAATTTGATGCTACCAAAAGCCAAAGCCCGATCAATTATCGATTTTGACCTTTGAACAACCAAAAGTTAAAATCATTATCTATTTAAGGTTTATTTTTTTAAGTTCTATGTGATTAGAAGTGCAAGAAAATAGTTTCATAGTTTTTTTCCTTACCTCAAATGTTGAATAGCATTCAAATATTTCTTCGTCCGTCGATCGGTTTCTTCAAATGGATCAAAATCACCGTTAGCTTTCACGTATCTAAAACTTTAGAAGTTTAAAAATCATCAAATTCAAAAACCAATTATCCGTTTCCCCTAAAACCCCCACAGTTTCTTTTTTAATCGAGTTATTAAATTGTGAAATCTTTTACCCCCTGATGTTTGTGATATTCCCACCTTGGCCAGATTTAAAGCCGAAATTTCGGCAATTCATTTGACTGCTCTCTGATTCTTTCTTCAGGTATCTTTCTATCTTTTTTTGGGTGTGTTTTGTGATTCTGGGTGATTATTGTGATCTTGTTTGTCGCTATTCAACTGAATAAAGCATATATATATGTATTGGGTTGGTGAATTGAAAACTGCCGGACTTTGAACTAAAATTTATTCAACCAAGTTTCGATTTAAATCCAAGGGTATAAAGGTGTCTTAGCACTCTAGCATGATCAACCCCTAACTCTTCTCCCAATCCATGCGATGATACCCGATGGTCATTGGTAATGAGTTCGAGTAATTTGGAATCATCCAGTTGGGGTGCCGCTCCACGGCCCTCTGCATCTTTCAAAGATTTGTCCCCAGGTCGAAACTTGGCAAACCATACTTGACACGTTCTTTCGGAAGGTGAGTCCTCCCCATATATCTTTTTAATATTAGCAGCTGCCAAGCCTGCACTGTGCTCTTGTAGGAACTCATGAAGCATGACATGACGAATATGTCGAGTGTCATAGAAGAAGTAAAGAAAAATACCAAAAAATAAAAAGCTAGAAGCATCATTTTTTCGCAATAATTAGAGGAAATGTTGAAGTAAACAAACCCCCTTTCAGCTGGTTTTATGCTGTTGTTTTCTTTATCTGCGAGTCCCGCGAAATAGCCCGCAGTTTTCAATTCACCAACCCAATATTTGATTCTATCAATTTTAAGATCCTTGCCTCATTGAGATGAAAACAAAATGCGGTTTTCGTTTCTCGATCAATTCCCAGAGGTAAATGGCAAAATCTGGAAAAGAATTTAATATTAATTAACTTTTTTGTGTTAAATTTTAAATATTACTTAATTTTAAGGGCTTTAGAATGAAATTGACAAATTTACCTTTAGAAAACTTTTGATACAAGATCACTTTCCCAGGATAGGCCACCAAATCGAGTGTGGAGCGAATGGTTTTCGGGAAAATTTTATTCAAAACCTCAAATAAAAGAAGTGAATTTTCAAAATTAAACTTTTGCAAGTCAAGTATTTTCATTTACCAAAGCTCTCTGCGGTGCATACGAGTTCCCAATGACCATCACGCGTAATGGGCCGGTTCCATTCTGCAAAATTTGCACAAATAGTCAAGCAATTTCAAATCCCAACCTCAAATTGGAAATGTCCCATCGGTCCTTTGGTATCATAGATTTTCATAAACTTTCCATTTTTTAGATTAAAATCGAATTCAGAATGGCCGAGGTTCCAATCGCTTGCTGGATTTTTGGCTAAATTGTTTTTGAATGTATCCTTTTTTTGTTTTGTTTCACAATTAACTCTTTTCCGGTACTCCAAATCCTAATTTGTACCTTTGAATTGAGTATATCCAAATCTCCATGAAAGATTAAGAACAAGACATGTCAAAATTAAAGTAATGATCACTGGAATCACCACCGATTTCTCTTTTTTGAGTAATGGTTTCTCGAAGAAGTGATGCAAAGCAATTGATAATAAAACAGTGACCATAAAACCGATTAAATTGGCTGAAAGATTTTGTTTCTTAAAAAAAAGAATAAGAAATCTCCACCCGATATGCTCATTTCGTTAAATTTCGCGATGTACTTTGTGTATTCGAGAACGGGGTAATGGACCAAGTATAGAGCATAAGAAAGAGAAGCGATGTAGTTGAGACCAAGATGAGACCAAGAGATATCACTAAAGATTATATAGTCTTTCGGAAATCGATAATGAATTACACTGGCAAGTGGGCTAGATTTGTTGGTAAGAATAGAACCAAAGTTGTTCAAATCAGGCCTTGGCTTGTAAGAGAGTCAGGTACTGTTCCGACTCTAAGTTATGCTTACCATTTCAAGCTTTCTATTAGGTTGTCTATTAGTTTTTCTATTAATTTGTCTGTTAGGTTGTCTATTAGGTTGTCTATTCGTCTAATTCCAAATCAAATACACATTTCTGAAACTTCAATGATAGTTAGAATGTGCTTGGGCTTGACCCTAGCTCGAGAGATTTGGCTTAACTGAAAGCGCACTAAAGCTAGACTCAGTTTTGTTAAGCCAAAGTTACAGAGAAGTTTTCAAATAGTCAACTAATCGTTAAACCCTTACCCATAGGAGGCACTCAATATGAAAAGTGCTGCCGCTATTGTTGTCAATGTTTGTAAATAGAGATTATTGCCCACAGGAATGAAAACTCCAAAGATTCCAAAGAAGAAAAATATTGAAATATTGTTGATTAAACGAAGGGATTTCACTAAATTTTCTGATTATTTTTTTCAATTTTCAATTTACTATCAATTTCTTCATTCGTTTTTCTTGAAAATACACAAGCGATCATTCCAGTTAAAAATTGCCAGAGTCTCACGAATGGATTGTAGAAGGTAAATCTTGAAGGAGAATCGGTGAGGTTAAGATAAAAAGATGATAAGGCGATGAATAAAATGAGAATCAAACCAAATCGATAATCTGAAAATGATGGTTGATAATATTTTTTTCTTTCTTCTTGAAAATTCAGGTCAAAATACGGATCTTTTCATTATGAAAACTATAATATGCAAAACTTAAAGCTAATTCGTTTCTATGGACTTTTCTTGGGACAAAGAGTTAAAATAAACTCCGCCAATAGATTTTACGACCCTGAAAACCCCAGGGCACAAATTTTTAGCATTAAATCTCATTTGGGAATCATTTACAGAACAAAAGGAAAATCAAGAGTGACAGAGGTATTCTTTGTGAGGCCAGGTAATCGCTTGCCATCTGGCAACCGAATCGGGTATAGGGCTTCCCCGTTCCAACGCGTTTGGTTTGAAATTTTGTCGATTCCACACCACGATGGACTTCCCCGGGAAAAACTTTTTCAATATCCTAGAGCTAGATGTGAAAAAGGATCGAATTCGCTTTGGTTTTCTATATGATGGTTTTCATAATGAAAAACCCATTCTTTATCGATTTACCTCTCCATTTTAGTTTTGAGATATAGAATAATAATGGAGCCAAGAGATAGAATTGGATCTCGACTCCTAGTGACCATGTGTGGAGAAAAGGGAGTCCCTCGAGTTTCTAAAATATTCATGTTATTGAGTTTATTTTATGAATCACTTCAGAACTAGAGACAATATTACAGTAGTTTAGAAAAACATTAGATACGTGTACGTTTTTTTTTTGTTTTCCCGTTAATCTTTCAGGCTTCGGTTCTTTGAAAACTGAAAGTTTTTCGATAAAGATCGGCAACGACTGAGTTAAAGAATCGATTTCTACAAAAAGAAGCTTCAAATGTTAAAAGTATTTCTTTAAAATTCTTGAAAATCTTTTTACTTGATCAAAATATGACATGTCAAATGTTTCCATTCTCAAATTCAAACGCATATAGACAGAAGAAGAGAAAAATGGAAAATATCGGCGAGTCCAGGCAATAGAATAGATAAATAACATGGCAAAGCCTAAAAGTTTTGTCTTTTTTTTCAATATCGAAAGGAGATGAGCACTTTTTACCTGTAATTGCTAAAACTAAATAGAAAAGCGGAAATATTCTCTTGATTCGTCGATAGTAAAAAGTGGAGATTTTCTTGAATGGAGGAGAATCAGAAATCGAGAGAATTCTCATGATTAAATAGCCAGAAATCACGAAAAAGCTGAAAATCATTAGTTTTGAAGATACTCATCGTAATCAAAGATATTCAATTATTAAAACTACAATCCAAGACTCACATGTCAACTCCCAAAAATCCTTGAGGGAAAATTTTTGGATAGAAATGAAAGGCGAAAACGGCGATGATGGCAATGGCTCTCAAAACAGCGATATCGGAACGGTGATCACTTTTTGAGACTGATATTTATGTAATAAATATTGAAAATCTTTACAATTTTTTAATTTTATATAAAAATTACTAAATTGAATCGTTTTAATTGTTCCTTTTTCACTCAACTTACTCGAATACTCGACTTTTCGCGCTTCTCCACAATCAGTCTTTGGGAGTAAAAGGTCATTACAATCAGCCAATTTTCTAATCATCACGTAAGTTATTCAGTTTGTAAAAATAGATTCCAATAAAAAGCTCAGGATTCAAGATTCGGTCGATTTTGTGAGCAATCCTTTACAAATCTCGCGTCTCCATCTCCGCAAAGAAAGCGAATACAGTTTTCCTTTTCTTTCGCTACGTAGTCCACGTTTTGACATTGGCAAAAAGTATTTTAAAATCCGTATTGAGATTCTTTAAAGAATCGATTTAATTCAATGATTGATTTTTAAAAGTAAGTACAAAGAAAAAAGATATAAAGTTAAGTCATCCGATTTTTAACTATTCGATAATTTTCATCAATCTATAATGAAAAAAGCTCAAAAAAACTATTCAATAGCCGTCAATTTGTTGAGATTTTTTGCAGCTTTTGAGTGGAGACACAGTGGGTTCCTTGGTGGAGAGCTGAAAAGCTGTTGAATTTTTAGATTTATCAGTTTACAAGACGTGGAATCTTCAATTCCAACCTGGTCACTCATCTTTGGTTGGCATTCATTTCTGATCATTTCCACCAATCGATCACTCGCTTTTGTCCCTTTCAACACTCGTTCTGGAGTGCCGGCCAAGATTTCCAAATCTTCTCTGAATGATTTATCGATAAGAAAAGTTTAAAATCTTAAATCGATAGTTTTGGTAATAATTGTTATGCTGTTGAATCCCTTAGATTAGGCTGGAAAGAAAGTTCGTAGAAAAAGTTTGGACAGCGATTTCTTAAAAACCAAACCATCAATTCTTCCCAGTTTTTTAATAAACTTGACTATATTTCAAAAAGTTTTTAAACAAAAAAATAAGAGATTTCTTGAGCTGAAGTGACTTGGTCACTTTTTGAGTGACCAACCTTTAGACAAGTTTTTAATGGGCTAATGGGTAGGCAATGGGTCTTATTCAAAAACCTAAAATCAAGTACTTAAAATAGGGAAAATTTGTGATTAAGGTAAATTTCATTTAATGCTTTAAACTTTTCAGAATCCACCTATTTTAACAAAGACTCAGTGCCAAGAAGATGACATCAAAAAATGATTTTTTTTTTAAATACAGCTTCTCTGTGAAAAAATTTTTGGCTAAAAATAGGGATTATAAAGCGTATTGCTTATTTATGCTAGCTTTATCTCATAAGAAATCCTTTTTCTCATGCAAAAAGTGAGCTGAATTTAAGCGGGAAAATAATCATTTTTTTTAAATCTCTAAAATTTTAAGGAAAAGCTGCACTCATTTATTTTTTTACGAGTAATTTCTTGGAGTCAACTTGTAAATAATAGAAGAAAATGTTTTTGAATTGGTGGTTTCGTTTTAAAGAAATTCTAGTCAAACTTTTTCTTAGAACTTTCTTTTCAACTTAATAATTAACAATTTCAAATAAAATAACAAAAGGATAAGTTTAGAAATTGATAAATTTACATTTCTACTCTTAAATTTAAGCTAAGAAACTTAGTGTGAAAACAAGAAATAGCTCTTTTTAAATGCCAGCTCGGTTTCCAGGCTAAGTTCTACAGTAACAGTAAAGTTTCTTAGCCATAGTAAAATTAAACTTTTCAAACAAAATCGAAGATAAGTTTTCACTGATTATTCGGCTCATTGACACTGATGGCGAAGAGGCGAAGATCTGACAACGAGTGCAGTTCTTTTGCTGGCTCGGTTACATTATCGTAACTGAAATCCAAAAGATTTATAACGAATTTGAAATTACAATCTCACCTAAATCCATCGGTCACAAAAACAACATTCGTTTTCAAATGTTTTCGTCGATTTTCCAATTCCTTTTTTGCGAATCTCAAAGCAGCTCCCGTTGCGGTGATTCCGGAGAAAAATGGGAGCTCTGGAATTTAATTTTTAAATAATTTTGGATACTTTTAAATCTTTGTCCTACTAAAAAGATCATATGCAAATTGCTCTTCGGCATCATTCATTTAATTTTATCATATTTTATCTCAGTTTTGATATGGTTTTGAAGTTGAGCTAGAATTAATGAATATAAATCTAAGAAAGGCATTGAAATTCTTTTCCCCTGCTCGAGAAATTTACATTTATCCTGTTTTCGATGGCGGGAGATCCCTTTTTTGAATAAATTGTTTGTAAATTATGTCAATTTTCTGAATATTTTGTGGTTTTTCCTTTACCAAACCCTACCTTTTATCATTTTCTGCAAATCTTCTGTCTTCAATTTGTTATCGAAACGAATTTTCGTCCGTTGTTTCATTTTTGATGCATAAACGATGACAGAGATTTTCTGAGAAACAAAATTTGTTTAAAGCTTTTTAAAGATTTTCAAAACTTCATTTAATAAATCAAGCTTTGAGATGATATTTGAGACGCTTTCAAGTTGAAGAGTCCATTTCTCGTGAACAGATCCGGATGAATCGATTAGAAAGAGGAGATCGGATTGACAAGCTGAAAAAGGGATCAAAAGTTGATTCATTTTTCATCTGATATTGATTCAGTATTTCAAATTTCAAATTTAAACTTGATTCAAATCATTTCAACGTTCAAAAGTACCAATTTTTAAGTATACAAAAGTACCAAACCTATTTCCTTCAGGAAAACAAAAACAAAACCATTACCGTATCTTTAGCATTCTAAAACATGACGATTTTCAAAAACTACCATAATTCTATCATTTTCTTCTCTATTTTCAGAAAATGGACCAAGCTGCAAGTGTTTTCTCTTTATAAAATACTTTTATTGTTAATATATTTCTTTGATAACCGTTATATTATGTTCGAGTTACAAATTAGAACTATTTGACAACGTTTTCGAATAAATTGTTATTCAGCAAAAAGACAAAAGTTTAAAAGAGTTGATTTGTATTTAAAAACCCACCATTTGTTCCTAGACTTTTCCAGAAAAAAGTTACAATTAGAGTTAGAAAAATGAGCAATCTCATGATAGAAAAATGAAAATATCAAGCGTCAACCGGGAAATTTTTTTTCGGAATTTTATTTGACCTTGATCATGAGATATCACATAATAAAATCTAACTCTTTTACTATTCGAATAGAAAGAGGAAAAATCTCAAGGAAAAATCCTGTGAGTGCTGAACTGGATATTCCTCAAGCATCAGTTATCCGGCACCTTCACGCCCTTGGAAAGATCAACAAAAGCTGCCGAGAAGTGCCACATGATTTAACGGAAAATCAAGCTCAAAATCGTGTAGACACTTGCCGAAAACTGCTGGAAAATCCGCACGATGCCCGCTTTATTCGCTGAATTGTGACTTGTGATGAAAAGTGAGCCTATTTTAGTAATCCGGGCAAGCAAAGTCAGTGGTCTCATGATAGAAAAATGAAAATATCAAGCGTGGGAAATTTTTTTTCGAATTTTATTTGACCTTGATCATGAGATATCACATAATAAAATCTAACTCTTTTACTATTCGAATAGAAAGAGTTTTCTCAAGGAAAAATCAAGAGAATATATCAAAAACAGATTTCTTTCCTTGAAAAACTTTAGCTGTACATTTTCTGTTGAATTTTTAAACGAAAGATAATAAATTTATTGCATTCACGGAAAAAAAAACTGAGCTTTTTCAAGAGAATTTAGTGAAGAGTTATAGAAACAGATTTTTAAATGTTAAAAAAACAGTAATTTCTTAGTCTCACTAAGGAAAAGCAAGCACTTGCCGTAGCCTTTATGAAACGAGACCAAACCCATCTTATAAAATCGGCCACGGGAAAAGCAGATTCGAACTCAGCGTGGTCGATTCTATAAGATGAGTTTGGTCTCGTTCCACGACAAGTGCTAGCCTTTCCCTAGACAGTATCCCAAGATATTCAGTGAACTGGCGATGGCAATGTTTGATATTTTAGAGCTTTTGTCATTTTTCAATAGAATAGCACCAAAAAAAAAGGAAAGAAGTGAAGAAAAATAACTTAAAAACATTAAAAATTCTAATATTTTGTGATCTTTAAACCCTATTTCAAATTGTTTTTGATTTTGAAGGCACTAGGGGAAACAAATAGCACTCTTAAGCAAAAAAAAAGCGGGGCAAAGACACTATAAATTATTAATGGAAAAACAGATATTTAGTCAGAATACAGTAGGATAATATGCAAATTTAAAAATAAATGGTATATAAGTTAGAAATTAAAATTCTGAGATGACCAGAGGAAATGTCAACAAAAAGAGGAGGAATTTCTTTAAGAAACGATCAATTTTCAAGTAAAATTGAATAAAATTTCCAATTTTAAGAGATAAATTATTATTTTAAGTCATTGGAGTGAAAACTTGAAGCAAAGTTTTGGCAGCTTTCGCTAAACCGTACGCAGCTTGACAAGTGGCCTCACTGTTGAAGTTTGGTGAGTTGCATTTAGCGGCCAAAACCTGGAAATCAACAATTGATATTTTAAATGTAAAGTTTCATTTAAATCAAATCCTATAATCACTTTCTTTCTGTAATTTTTGCTTTTGTCGTCTGTAAACGTCTAAAAAAATGAGCGAATTGGATTTTTTCAGATTTTCTCCGTTCTACTTAATTTTCATTCCATTACATTCACAATTTGATTTCTCATCAAAAGAGATCAAAGTTAAGTACTCCAGGAGTGTTAGATCTCTAAGCGAGTTTAAACCAGCGTTTATTTCCAAAAATTTCTTGAAAATAATAAATTTTGGGGGTAGGCTAATTTCCGCAAATGGGTCGTTTGCGCAACTCGCCATAACTTTCTTCTAAGTGCACCAATCTTTATGATTTTGGTTTGATTTTGTAGATCTCAATAAATGCAACAAAATGAAACCAAAATCATAAAGGTTGGACAAAATCATAAAGGACTTAGAAGGAAGTTATGGCGAGTTGCGCAAATGATCCTATTCCGCAAAAAAAAAAATTGCGGAAATTAGTCTACCCAAAAATTTTGCTCATTTCTCAAGCGTTTATAAGCTGACATAGCTGAATATCTTTTATAATAGACTGATATAGCTGAATATCCTTTGTTTTCTAGGCAAATTTGCACTTAAATTTGCATTTAAAGTGACAAAAACCCTTGATTTTAAAAATCAATATTTCGGTTTTTTGACAATCTTCTCTAAAAACGTCATTTTCGCGTTCAGTACTTTAAATTAACCCAGAAAAGGTGAGAATTTCAAAAATACAAGTGAAAATACAAATACTAGTACTTAAAATCGTAAAGATTGCTTAAAGATTCCGGTGGCTTTTCAAAATTACACCTTTTAGAAAGCGCATTGCTCACACTATTACAGGAACAAATTTTTGAGTGCAAAAGCTGAAATACTGTAGCTTGGATATAAAAAGTTAACTGCTTTAATGATCAATTCTAATATGATTGCTTTTTCCATCAATTTCTCTACCATTGTCGCATCAGTCATCGCAGTCGAAGCCTCGTCAGCAGCCGGGATTCCCGTTGGAACCATTGCAAGCATTTGGTTGACTTGCGTGCAAATCTGCAATTGAATTTTAAATATTAATTAAATTTCAAAATCAAATATTTCCAATTTCCTATTCCCTATTTCTTAAAACTTTAGTTTTCAGCTCAAAAAAAAGTTCAAAGCTATCATTTTACATTCTCCCACGCGCCGATTCATTTAAAGCCTATAAAACTTTAGTTTTTTAAAGAATTCATATAATTTTAATAATTCTTACCTTATGTGCATGTGTTGGAGCTTTTGGTTGCAAATCGCCTTGTTGCGCGTCTTTTAAAACGACTCGGATCAATTGTGTTAAACGTTCCGTTTCAATCACGATATTGTCGGGAAAGACTAAAAGTTTTCAAGATTAAATATGCTCATTTTTCTCACCAGAATCTTGAAATATATCTTGAATCCTTGCTGCGTGATCTCTTGCATATTCTTTGTTCGAGAAATGATCTCCTCTCTCTCGATCTCTTTCTAATCTCTCCCTCAACAACTCTTTTTCTCGACTTTCCCCACGAAGACGCTCAATCTCGATTCGACGCTCGGTTTCTCTGAAAAATAGATATAAAAAGTTTTTGATAATGCTAGAAAGCTCTTTTTACTTTTAAGTTATTCTCTATTTCAGGTAAAAGAATGTTAAATGCTTTTAATCTAAGCCCAAGTAAGTAATCTAGATTTATCAATTTAAAGCAATGCGATCAGTTGAATATTTTGGTGACAAACCTTTGATGATCAGCACTTCGACGGCCAGTCGGTGTCGATCCTTTTTGAGTTCTCGGGATTCGTCTAGCTGGATCATCCAAATCAGATACTAAAAGGGAATCAATTTATCTACTAAGTTTATTTGGTTCTTTGGGTTCTTTTTGCACTTACAAGTTTGCTTTGGCATACTGCTAGCGCGTTCAATCAGCGATTGTTGCAAATTTGATCCATTTTGGTGGAAGAGTGAGGTTGTTGGTGGCTGTGAATGAGTCATTGGGGAAGGGAGACGTTTTTGAAGGGAAAGTTGCTGTTGGGCATCACTCAAACGGCTCATCTGGAAAAGAATGGAGATAAAGAATCAAAAATGATCTGAATAGCTAGCTTTTAAAGTTCTGAACTGGTAAAGCCAGTTTCTTGTTGACTGAATTTCTTAAAACTTGATATTCAAGATATTCAGCCAAAGAAATAAGAAAACAGCGTTTTTACTTAGCATTTCGCTAGAAAAGCCCAAACCAGCCCAGACATAAGCCAAACCGCTTCTACTCAAGTAGCAAAGAATTTTACCTGCGTAACTCTCTTGCCAGCTTAGAAACCTGTTGATTAAGTGTTGTTAGAGATCTTAGAGAGCTTGAGAGCTTGAGAGCTTGAGATCTTGAGAGCTTGAGATCTTGAGAGCTTGAGATCTTGAGAGCTTGAGATCTTGAGAGCTTGAGATCTTGAGAGCTTGAGATCTTGAGAGCTTGAGATCTTGAGAGCTTGAGATCTTGAGAGCTTGAGATCTTGAGAGCTTGAGATCTTGAGAGCTTGAGATCTTGAGAGCTTGAGATCTTGAGAGCTTGAGATCTTGAGAGCTTGAGATCTTGAGAGCTTGAGATCTTGAGAGCTTGAGATCTTGAGAGCTTGAGATCTTGAGAGCTTGAGATCTTGAGAGCTTGAGATCTTGAGAGCTTGAGATCTTGCTAACTTCTAACTCTAATGAGATTCTTTTACTCTTTAAATTCTCCCCAACCTCTTGTCTCATTGCCATATTCTCGCCGTGTAGCTTCTCGATGGTGTTTTGAAGACCGGATACCAATCTAGATTTTGAATTTTAAAATCTAATTAATTTAAAACAAAAGATTCAGCTAAATATCGTGAATATTATTACTTTAAAATCTGTGAATTATTTGAGGTAATTGTCGAGATTTTCGACTCGACATCGGCCACTCTTTCCCTCAGTTCGAGCACCTCGTCGCGGAGATTTGAGTCCCCTTGAGAAGAGGATCGCATTCTGAAGTTTAATGAGTTAAGTATTGAGTGTTGAGCATTAAATATACTATTCTACTAATATTCTGATTTTACAATGCTCACTTTTTTCCCGAATCTCTTTTCGCGTTTCTCGCCAACGCTGAACAATCAGCTACATCATCGTAGTCTCGGAAACCGTCGGAAAATCCGTGAACACTGAAAATTGATAATTCTAATTCATTTAAGAAAGAGTTTATAGTCTATTTTCAAATTTTACATTTAGATTTTGATTCTATTTGATAAATTAGGGCACAGTAAGACGCCCGATTTGGCATGCCTATGTCTAGTTTTGCAAAAAAAAGCTAAGAGAGCTCTTTATCCCCAGTGTCTACCTTTTTTGTTCTCTCTTTTTGATCAATTTCGTCGCCTGAATCGCTATTGGTTTCACTACATTCACATGAGGATTTGTGAAAATTGGTGACGACAAAATGATAGGCGGTGAATCGTAGTCAGAGATTTGATTTGTCAATAATTCGGCTGACTTCATCGATTCAGGAGTCGGCATGTGCAATCTCAGTTGCTTCTGGCGCTCAAAATCCTCCGGTGACGGTAAATGGATTAAATTCATCGTGAAAAACCTCTCCGATTCAAGCGATCGAATGGATGGAGTGGGCTGGGTTTTGGGGAAACACGAACAGAATGATTGTTGAGGGGTGCAAAGTTTAGTCATTCTTCGAGATTTGAGACTTTTCAGCGATTTGTTCGAGTTTGAGATCTGTTCGCTTTTCTCAAGTTTTTTTTGTAACCCAAGACCTATCAATTATGGGTAAAGGGGAGACGCGAGCGGGAGAACGGAGCACAGCTTAGCCCCACCCATTTTGTGTGTCTTGAAAAGGAGATGAAAGGTCAAATTTGAGAAAAGTCAAATGCTAGATAAAACAAAAGATACATTTTTAGTTCCGCTAATGCCCTGTTGATAGAAATTATCATATCAGTCAGGAAAAAATTCGTTTTCCATCAATCCTGATACTTTACCGAAGAGAAATTCAACCTAGTTTTATGTTCAAAACCTTTATTCTGTAGATTACTGTAGTTGCTTTGACATTTGACTACTTTATAATTTAGCTGTATTACTTGGATAAACCTACAGATAGACCTAAGAGCTTTTCCAGCTCTCTCCCTCTTTCCTCTAAGATTTTTCCTTTCCCATCCAAGGATGAACACTCAACAAGAACAGTTAATTTCTCACAATCAAAATCCCGTTTGTGAAAAAATGAAAGAAACCGACTTTTCTTTTCTTTTTTCAATTCCACTTAAAAGAGGTTAACTGCTGCTGGCAAGTGGAGGCTTTAAAGTATGATTAACGATCGGAAATGTCATGTAAAGAAGTTCAATTTAGTCAAATCCTTGATAAAAAATAAAGCACAGAGATTTTGAACCCATGATTGACGTCAATCGATCGAATATTAAAGAATACAGTAATTTCTTAGTCTCTTGTCTCATTACAATCTTATTTTCTCAGTCTCTCCTCGATCGATTCCTACCTTGGCGATGAAATTGTTGCCTGGTTGTGTGAAGTGTCCGCGATTTCGTCTTCTTCAGGTTCCGGTGGTTCACCCGAATATCTAAAAATTTGTCTTAAACTAGTAAGATGTGCTAAATATTTAAATCTCAATTCAAATTCTACCTTCTTTTTGCTTCTTTGAGCACATCAATGACCAAAGCGGCAAACTCTCGCGTATCATATTTGGCCAATTTTTGGCGCATTTGATTTCGCGTAGCTGAGAGAGCCGGATTTAGCTGTAAAATTGATTTTTTTATATATTTTTTGAGTTGCTTCACTGACAGGCAAGAAAACAGCGACGACATTTTCATTTCCGAGGTTTACTTCACCCTTTGTTGAAGCACTCCACGCTGCCACTGTCTCGCGACGATCCACCTGGGAAATTTACATAAAATATTGGCTCAACCAGCCAAAAGTTGCCTAACGGCGGGTTTTTCTGGAAAAAAAGGTTTTTGGGTTTTCTGAAAACATTTAAAGCAAAACGGTTTGGAACCGGGAGTCGAACCCGTCGTCCGGTTGGGGCACTCGTTTTGTAGACAGGACGCTAACCACTTCGACCACGGCCTCTTCCCCTGCAGCCCGGCAAAAAGGGGCATAGGTAAGAGGTTTTTCTGATTTTTACGGGTTTTTGATGAAGAACCTTTTTTTGGCCAAAAAGTATGTACCTATTCATTTTTAATTCCCTATCGATCAAAAAAAAGTTTGTTGAAATCGGTTCACGGGGAGCCGAGATCCAGAGCGTGACGAACAGACGCACAGACGGACACTTCTCTTTTATAAATAGTAGATAAGTTACCCTTACTGCTTACAATTCTTTTTTGAAGATCTTGCCTTAAGATTGCTAACGATATCAACAACTTGAAGTAATTGCTAACTTTTCTCACCTCATCATAAACATCTTGACTAATCTTCTCAAACATATTTGCATTCACTGCTTGCAGTTGTCGACGAAAAGTCTTTAGGCTGACAAATGCCGATTTTCCCGTCAATTCTGGGATCAAAAAATGATGTCCTTTTTGATGATCGGGCTTTCGGCCACACAAGAATATCGATAAACGATTCGTCACTTCAAAACATAGCTCAGTTAAACGATTCGAGAGATCAACCTGAAATGATTTTTAGAAATAAAAATAACTAACATTTAGGACTCACAAATCCCTCAGCTTTGGCCACTTGTGCCGGTGTCATTTCTCCGTGGTTGATTTGAGCTGGATCCGCTCCATAGAGATACAAGAGTTCAACCTAGAAGATTGCTATGAAAATATCAGCTTTTATTAGATTTATTTAATAGTATAGCCTTTAATATTATTGTTAAATATTATTAAACTTATTATTATATTTACTTGTAAAGTTTGTCCTTCTTTTGCCGCAATATGGAGTGGAGTATTTTGTCTTTCCGGGTCCGCATAATTCGGATCAGCTCCCATAGCAAGCAATCTGAAATTGAGCTAATTTACTTTTTTATTGAAAAAACGAAAAATCATGTTTACCAAAGCTTTGACTGATTTCAGAACTATTGCAATAAAGTAGTTTAGAATATTCCTGATAAACCTCAAAGTCGTATCAACATGTCCTGTCCTGACACAACTCCATAATTGTCTATTCAAATCATCCACATCCAACGGGGCATCATCTTTACTCGGTCGAACGGCAAACGCGTGTTCCACATATTTCGCTTTGATGAATGCTTCTTTCATGGGGAATACCGGATCGCTAAAGAATCTGGTATTGTAACAAAAGATTTTCTCACTATTGTGTCGGTTTTCTTCTTCCTTTTGATACGTAGGATGGATCCAAAAGGGCGTGTTCCCATACTCGATTTGCTCCCGCCTAAAAGAAATTGATTGAATCGATGTTATCTTGTTATTTGATTTGACAAGCTACTCGGTAAGTACAAAGCTACTAAAGTTACCAATTTTGATTACCTGATGCAATGTGTAAACCAATTCGAGCTGTGCTTGTTCCCAGATACCTTTCTTGATCGAGCGAATCTGTGAGACGTGACGGCCTGAAATTTTTGGTTCACTAAGACTTCTATAAGCCCAAGTGATTGATGATAAACTGATTAAACTGTATGACTAAATTTTTAAACAAACGGGGCTGGGTAACTGAATTGAATAAAGTTATTTACCTAGATTTCTATGCACAAAGCAACACTCGTTACAGACGAGTACCCCTCGATTCAATGAGGCCCACGTTGGGCCATCGGCTGAGCAATCAGCACACTGGAAACCGGCTTCGACACCTGGAAAATGTTATAATTTTGGATTAAAATCATTGAACTTTTATGGATTAATATAAGTTTCCAGTCTTTATCACAGTTTTAACAATCATTTAACTCTAACCGATTACTCACCGGGTGAAATTAAAGGAACAGTCATTTTCGCTCGCTGTCTTTCATTGAGATCTAGAATTGAATTTTGGTTAAAGCTTGGAAAGCAGCAAAAAGAAACTTATAAAGTTTAAAAAAAGCAAACCAATGTTTCATTCAGAATTTCAATTCAAAAAGCTAGAAATTGTACAAGAAAAAATGAAATCGTTGGCAAAGCAAATAAAAGAGAGAAATGTTGGATGTTTGGTTGGAGAAAAGGTGGAAGGGGACTTCTCGTTGAATTCCCCATCAATCAGTGTGTGCCCCGATGGATTGTAAATTCGGTTTGCATAAAGGAAAGGATTTCGATGGGAATGCGAGCGGTCGCGTTGCGGTTGAATGAGGAGAAATGACAATAAGAGGCACTGATTGCAAACAATTGGTGCAAAGAGGCAAAGGCAAAGGGTTTGTGGTTGGGTTAACACTTTAGAGTGTGATCTTTTGAGTAATACTTTTCTAAAAAGTAGGTCATTTGGAAAACAATCGTAATCTTGCCCTCAGCTTTTGTTCATTCTACGTAATTTTGATCCCGCTTTATTGTTAACTTGATTTCTCATCAAATAAGATTACCTAAGTAAATTAGATAAAATCTGAAGGGATTACGGTAATTTTCCAGATTACAAACTTTTTAGAAAACGCAGTACTCGAAATTTAATACAGTGCAGATTTGAGCAATTACTATTCAGTTCAATGTTTGCAATATTTTATTAACATCTCCTTGAAACACCTTATTTTAAAGCTCTCTTGACAAAATCACAATTGTAGACACTTTTGATCATAGTCTTTTATACCGTCCGAGAAATTTCCCACATTGCGAGCAAAAGTGATCGACATCCATACAAGCATCGATGCAAAACGGGCAACAACAACAAATCCAGAAACTGAAAACGATTTTGATTCTTTAATCTGTTTTACAATGAATCTACCGTATACTCTCTAATAGTAGTGCGCACTACTATTTTTTGAACCCCCTCTTGGACCGCAATACTATTAGAGAGTGCACTACTATTAGGGAGAATACGGTATTCATAATATCTTTTCGAAACAGACCCAAAAAAGAAGAGTGCTCCACAAAGAAGCCAAGAGAGAACTCCACTCTCGTGTTTGATCCGAGAACGGGTATGCGTGTGGCAGAAAGGGCATACCACCTCGCAGGGTTTTGGTCCGAATTTAATGTGGAGAATTTCTGAAAGTACAAAGATTGTGTTCGTATTTAAAAGGTTCCCATAGGAAAATGTACTTCATTGTTTCATTGTTTCAAACTACGGTAAACCTTTGGAGACGGCTTGTGTTGCTTGTATCATTTTTAAAACTTACGTGTCACATTGTAAACAGGTTGTTGTTGCGAGTGTATCGGCATTGGCTGTGGTTGTGCCGAATGCATAGGTGGAAGACGTTGATTATAGGTGATTGGCTCAGAGACGGGCATTTGACGAGAGTAATGCGGTTGAGAGATTTGTGCGTAATGGTGTTCCGGCTATAAGAATGGTTTTTGAGGAATTGGTTTAATATTTTGACTATGATTGACTAATGTGTACGATCTTTCTCGGCGAGAAAGACACGAAGATTATTCAACAACAAACCACTTTTTCTCAAGAATCACTATTCAAGTATTGTTTAGTTTTACTAAACCAGATAAAAAATTGCATCTCGAGAATACGTATCTAGGAGCTTTTTACACAAACCGGTGGTGCACTAGGCCCAGTTCCATATGGAGATGCCATATGTGGCGAAAAAGTTGTTTCCAATCTTGGTTTAGAGTCTAAACACTTGTAAAAATGAGCTAAACTTTGAAAAGAACCAGAAGAATATGTCGTGTATGGAGGCGGGGGTTCAGCCATTGAGATTATCTAGATTATCTAGATAATTGTTGTTAGTCGTAAAACAGTGAAGATATCGAGAAAAGAATAGGTAATGAAATGGAAATTTTGGAGACTGGGAAAATCGATAGGAGGCAATGGGAGAAAGGCTCTTTTCACTACATGCTTCTCTCGATTTTCTGGTATCTGAAGAGGAGCAATGGGTAACCAAAGTTACGGAAAACACCAACACGTGTTAGATTAAAGAGAAAAACATAACCCTCTTTTATTCACCTGCTCAATGAAATTAGACCACAACAATTGTTTTTTTTTCTTTAAAAAGTAGAATACTATCATTGATTCCACAAATAACAAAAGAAAGCTTTACGCATCATTCAATGGGAATAGGTTTCATTTCGATTTCTTCTTGTCGGCTTTCGTCTTGTGGTTTGGGAAGATTGCGAAAAATCAGTGAAATTCGACGATCTCTTGGCACCGAAAAATAAAAGATTAATATTTAGATGATAACAGTTACTTAAAGTAGAACAACTCACTTTGACTCCCATAAATTCGGAGTTCGATTCTCCAAGTATCTCATGGGTGAAATCGTATCGGCCGATATTCCTAAAATAAAGAGTTTCAAATAAAGATTTTCAGACTGTTATGTTCATTTAAAACTCTATATCGTCTACAGCACACATTCAATAAAATCTACAACATTTTATTAAGCAAATACGGGGAGAATATTTGGGAAATAACCAACGACAATTTATAAAGACTCCTTCTTGCTAGATACAAATCCGCAATGAGATCTTTGCAATCTTTGTGTCTCAATCGCATCACCGTATTCGAAAGTAGAGAAATTCCCGTAACAACGTCTCCACAATACTAAATATAAATGTAATATTTTCTAGTGAAGAGGGCTTAAAGTTTAACATCAATTCAGTAAATAACTTTGAAAATCTTAATAAAACCAACCCTGATGCTATCAATATGTGCCTTTATGACGCCATCTTTGTGCAAATCGAGGATGTGAACATAAGTGAGATGACGAGTGAGATTGGGAAATGAAGCTTCTCTGAAAATAAAAGATATATACTGCACTCACAGTAATTTTTTTCCACATTCAAAACAACGCAAATTGCAGATGCTTATCATGAAATCAAAACAAACCTTACCCTTTGAATCACCATTTCGTTCGCGTCCGACCATTTTCGTTGCTCTCGCTCCCGGTAAAGATGAATCGCCTAAAATAAGTTTTTTAGAAAAAAGAGGAACTGTTGACAAAGAATCAAACCCTCGACTTTTTACTTTTTAACAAGCCTATCTAGCTTGCAAAAAAAGATTTTAAACCTTTAACAACTCACATCATCCCAGTGTGACTTCTCATAACGGAGTCGCTTCATATGTGGCTCAACTTCGGATATAAGGCCCGCCTCTTCGCGATCAGAAATAAATTCGCTAAAGTCGAAAGCTTTATAAACTAAGGCAAGGTAAATATAATTTTAAAAAAACTAACCCCACAACTGTGACATTTTTCTCAAAAGACTCCTTAATATTTTCGGGCCACTGCGCAACGTTGTGAAGATGAATGAGCGATGAAATGGATCTCTAAACATTTACTGGTTAGATAAAGCACATAATATAAAATTTACCCGAGTAAAAGTGGAGCTTGCTTTCTTTAGAGGTGTAGCTGCAGCCATTCTAAAATGTAAACTTAATAATGAAGCGATTGGAAAAGAAAAAGTTATAAAAAGTAAAGATCTAATAAAGAGAAGAAGAAATAAAGCCTGAACCATAAAAAAACCCTATATAGGTACTTGGTTTGGATTTGACCATAACTGAATACCCTGAACTACTGGACAAAACAATTGAATTTCAAATCGTTAGCTTTTCATCTCGCGCTTTCGTTAACGATTTCCGTGAGTGAGACAAATGCGACATTTTTTTGCGTACCAGGCGCATTAGCGCACCCTTTTTCTCGTTTTAAAAAAGCTAATATTAACCAATTTCTATTCCAAAAGTTGCTTTTCTGGGTAATTTGAGGGCGTAAAATCCAAATTTTGACATATCAGAGCTTGTGGAAGCAAACGGACGGAGTTATACATAGGGAAAGATCGACATTTCCTGTAATTAGATCTTGCCATTTTATCTTTCAAATTGGTTCCACAAGCTCTGATATGTCAAAGTTTGGATTCTACGCTCTAAAATTACCCAAAAAAGCAACTTTTGGAATAGAAATTGGTTAATATTAGCTTTTTAAAAGGAGAAAAAAGGTGGGCCGGCTGCGCAAAAAAGGGTCTCATTTCTTCCACTCCCCAATTTCCCGCTGTTTGGCTGACTTTTCTCTCGTTGAAGCAGATCTGAAAAACCTTAGTTTTTTGCTCATGAACTCGTTACCTAGCAAGTTTAATCTGACTCACTTTTCTGGCTCTAGAATCATAGTAAAGACCGCGCTTGTAATTTTCTAAGTTAATCCCTTATTGTATTGTATTGTCAAAGTGGAAAACTAATTTTGGGCGTTAATTCTTGTTAAAGTTTGGATGAGTAGTTGAACGAAGAACTGTTTGCATTTTATTCATTTAGTGATGTTTCGATCGGTGAGGCCAAAGGCGCAACAAACGAAAGGGGCAAAAGACCCGGTGTTGAAGTCGATCGCAACGATCAAACACTACGAGCAAAACGACTTCGAGATGTTATCAGTGAATGGACGACTGCCGACTTTCAAGAAATTCCTTTACGATCGATCCGGGGAAAAATGCACTTCAGCTAAGGTAGCTTTTTATGTAGCTTCAGTTAAGGTCGACAACTAGAATTAAAGTGTGTTGTACAATGTGATGAGTTAATCCTAGCGTCGGATTGCCTAGGGCATAAGCTTCGATTTTCATAAATACAATTGTTTAGCTTGCCACAGCGGGCTTCTGTAAGCATGGTAAGAAAGACGAGCCGGATGCAATTTGCCTATTCTGTGGAAAAGTCATGTCGTTTGATCCCGATGACGATCCTTGGTACCTCATGATTCTATTGTTTTAGCACAAAAGTGTTTAGGGAAGAACATCAATCACATTGCCCACAATGTCCTTTTGTTCAAATCGGCAAACTCGACGAGACGACCTGGACCGTTGATGATACGATACACCTTCTATCTGCTCTTGTGACCCGTAGTAAAGTAAGTGTTTAGTGATTATAATGAGAAGCAGTAACATTTTATTTAGAAAGAAGCCACCCTACAATTGACGAGAGAACTTTCTTCGATGATAGAAACAATGACACAAAAACTCTCGCTATAAAACAAGCGAATATTAGATTTTTGTTGGCTCTTGGAGATTGTTGTGCTTTCATAGCAGTTTATTTTTGAGTAAAGATTATTTCTCGTGACTCTTTGAGTTTTTTGTGCTTTCGTAGCGGTTTATTTTCGAATAAAGGTTATTTTTCTCTGTAAATATTTGAAAACGAATTTAACTCTCGCCACCTATCTTTGAAACTAATTACAAAAACAATTTTGAATCAGCTTTTGATCTTTATTGGCGTTCACAACTTGAAGTTCTAGATTGCAGAGATGCCGAACAATCGCTATGGATCTCGGCTTGGAGCTCTGGCCGCGCGACGAAGGATTTCTGACACACCTTGGCCTTTTCAAGCCCCAACAAAGAGCCCACCACAACAGATCGTCGTCACAAAGCAACCATCTCTAGAGGAAAATCTCGAACGACAATTATGTTTGAAATTCGGCGCAAAGCAGCCCCCTCCAGCAGCAAAAAAAATGACCAAGCAGCAATCACCGCCAGAAAAAGCAGCAAAAGTGCAGTCAATTCCCGTCAAGCAGCTCGTAGCTTCGTATCATCCCAGCCCCATCTTTCAAGGGCCAGAAGATCCCGAACAAGAACGATTGACTCGCTTGGCTAAAGCTATCAGGAAACTTCGGGATGATTGCGTGGTAGAACTTTTATTTACAACTATGAGACTTTTCTTTTTAGGGGTCGGACGAAGATTTGCAACTTAGAATGGGAAGCAAATACGGTATACTCTCTCTATTGGTAGGTAGAATTTTACTGCGTAACTTAAAAATGACTCAAAGATATTTGATATTTTAGCAAGGAGAATCGACCGAAATTGAAGAGAGGTGTAATTCAGAAGCATCGGTAACTTATCCGAATGTTTCATAATAGTTTTTTACTTTAGACGTGGGAAGCCGTGCCAAAATGTGGTAGAAATTTCAACGAGGGCAAAGTGTGCAAATCAGATCTCCGTTTTTCACAGGCCAATTCATATTCGACACTGGACAGAAGTTGGTTTCTTGCTCTTGCAGATTTATGTGTTTAAGTTTGGTTTTTCAACTTCGGTAGAGTACAGGGCACTAATTTTTTGCGCTCTAATGCACCGTTTATCACTAAATTTGAAACACGTAAATTTATAAAAAGCTGTCGTTGATATTATTTTCTTTTTTTAGAACAAATGGAGGACGTTGAAGCAAAGAGACGACACAAAGCGAAAATCGTTCAACTAAAAGAGTGGGAAGATAGGTCGTACAAAATGACCGGTGAGGAACTAATCGAACGCGATCGTCGTTATGGGCATCGTCAACCCGGTGCCACTTTCACAGTAAAAGTACCTGGCAATTGGTTAAAGAATCGTTGAATCGATTCGATATCTTTTTGAGCTAATAATCATTGATAGTAATTAAAAATGATTTTGTAGTATTTTGTTGTTATATGTTGTTAATTGGGCTTTATCAAAATAAAGATTAAATTTAGCAAATGGTTAAAACTTGATAACTGAAGGTATAGGTTTTATTCATTCATGAAGAGAAGTTTTTGCAAAAGTTGTAGTTGCTAAATTTTTCAAATTGTTTGATACCGTGTTTCTGATTCACCTCAGGGTTTGCTCGTTGTAGATGATTTTCCAATTGAACCGCGCAAGTCTTAAAAGTTATTTTAATGGTAGCTATTATGGTTTGTATCTTACTCCAAACGTTGGACGTCGAGTCGAATCGTAATACCAACAGTTTTCGAAGAAATTGAATCTAAATGAGAGAAATTTTAATTTAAAGTCTCAACAAACAATTCTTCGTGGCAATACTCGGGTCTTGTGGTGATTAAGCGCTCGTTTTCAGCTTTCAGCTCTTTTTCGATCTCTTCTCGTGTCTTGTTTCCGTAGGGAGTTGTGCCCAGAGTGAAAAGTTCATAGAGAACGATACCGTAAGACCAAACATCGGCCTGGAAATTGCGGTTTGTTTAATTGATGACAATTTTCCCAATACTCACTGCTGGACTAAATTTTTGTGAGAGAAACGCCTCGGGACTGATCCAATTGGCCGGTTGTGCGGCACCTCGCCTAAAATAGTGACGATTAAATTTCAAATCTTGTTATTTTTTTCCAGCATACAATTGTTGGTAATAGTTCATCGATTCCTCCATTTGTCTAGCTAGTCCAAAATCGCAGATCTTTACAATCCATTGATCGTCAATTCTTTTTACGAGAATGTTTCGAGGAGCGAGATCACGATGGAGACACTAACGATTAAAATTAACATTCAAGTAAATTACGGGATACTTTACCTGATAAGAACACAAAAATTGCATTCCAAGCGATGTCTGATAGCCGAATGAGAGAAGATCTGAGGTGGTGAGCTGATCAGATTTCGAGGGTTTCACGACGTCCCCACGCTCGTGCTGAAAATTAGGCTAAAATTAGTATATATTTATGATTTTATTCTTATTTTTATTTTTGAATTTGAATTTTAACGCATGAGTTTACCTGGTAAACCATTTTTGTAGCCGTTTTCAATTTCGCAGCTTCTTCATTCTAAATCGGCTCTAATTCAAATCAAAAATTCGCTTGCCTTACAGATAGATGACACAATTGGTTGATGAACTTTTTATCGCTTTTTACTTTAAGTAAAATGTGTTGAAGATTGTCATCACAAAGCTCTAAAGCCATTCGAAGTTGGCCGCTAAAAAATGTCGAAATTTCTCAAAGTATGAGTGGAATTTTAAGACTTTTTTAATCAAAGAGTACTTCATTTTGGTAATTTGCTTGTTCAGGAATCTTCAACTCACCCCTCTTTCCATCCCTTTGTCACAGCGCCTTTTAGCCGAAGCACATTCATATTTTGTGGAAGAAACGAGAGAAGACAAGCCTCTTGATACAGTGATTCGCGTGCTCGAACGTCAAGCCAAAACTCTGCATATCCTATGTTCACATCTTTTGCGCACTAAAGCACTAAAGAATTTTTAAAATATTCTGCTTAATATTTGACTTTTATGGCCGCCTTTTTCCCATCAAATGTCCCTTTGACAACCACACCAAAGCAGCCACGACCGAGCTGGAAATTCAGCAGAAATAGAATTGAAACTTTTCAAGTTTAGATATGCTCATTTTTCTCACCAGAATCGAATGTGCTTTTTAAATAGAAAGCGAGATCTATTGTATTTCGAATTCATTTAATGTATTGAAAAGGTTTTAAACTCTTTTTGTAGATTTTATAGAATAATGCCCTCATTTTTGCACTCACCACTTGTTGTTCATCACTCGGATCGGCTTTTATCCTTTCCGAATTCACTTCATAATTTGGGTTAATGATTTGCTGAAAAGAGAAAACTTTCTTATTTTGAGAGATCTTATACATTTTGAACATTTTGCACAATCGTCTCCGCGGCTCCAGCTATCGGCTTTAAATCAATGATCGATCGCTTGAATTTTCTAGATTTTTTTCTTTTCTTTTCTTTTCTAAAGAGAGAGTTTTAAATCACACTCACTTTTGTGGCAAAAAATATGATGAAGATTTAATCTTCTTTCGATTCCAAAAGATTGCCAAAGTGAAAAGAGATGGGATTACAAATAAGAGAAGTGTGCCGGCAAGGATTATCTAAAGAAATAAAATGATTTTGAAAGATGGATGACTTACGGGACGAAAAAGTTTCGCCTCAAATGATGGTTCATCGTCGGATGGCATTAGAGGAAAATGGGAGATCTGGAAAGATTTGAAATGACAAATAAACTATTGTCTAAAACTTGACAGCTTTTATAAGTTGCTAGTTTTACTCCAATCTAGCAACTTATAAAAAATATTGAAGGATCCAAAAAGTAGATGAATCAAATAAAAACAGACAAGAGTACGGTGAATTTCGAAAGTTGATCGATTTTTGTGAAAACTCTAGCTTAATAGTTTAATAGTTTGCTTTGTAAAGTCAAAAGTTTTAAGGAAAATGATTGTAATGTTGGTTTTAGATTGGTAATCTTTTTCAAAATGATTCCCGTTTGGGAAAAAGGTTTTTTTGGTTCTCTCATTTTTCAGCCATTCCCTCTCTATCATTTCCTGGAACAACATTTCCAGTTTGTCAGTTTGTTTTCGAAATCCCGCCTCAAAACATCAATAGTAATCAAGTATAGATTCGCATCTAGACAAAATAGATCAATCAATTGTGACTTAATTGAACAATTTATTTAAGCAATGCATCAAATTATATACAAACAAGTATCTAGTAAAGGATAAAAATCAAATTTTTCAACTTTTCTTTGAACAAATAAAATATGCTGTTGTAGTATGATTTGATGTCCAAAATGGGAATCGCTTCTCGTCGTGGGTGAGTTCAAGCTGAAATTCGAATTTGTTTTTGTTTGCTTTGATTCTACTTCCAGAAATGGTACTTACCTGCACTCGATCTTGATTTTGAGCATCACTGATGTTGTGATCGGCCATGAATTTAGCAAAGTCTGCCTCTGACTCATCTGTCCAGTGAAATTGTTGGCCTTGAGAATGCTGAACCGTTTGTTTTCTTCAATGACTCAACTTCAATGATTCAATGATCCAATCCTATCAGCATTTTTAGTTTTTTAACTTAAAGCAAATTGGTTGAACTTGTCCAAAGCTTTAATAAACAATGCTTGGAATTGGAATTGATAAGGCTTAAGTTTGATAAAGATTCTAACAAATCCAAACCAAATCCAAACCAAATCTAACAAAACCAACCATCAATCCAATCCATATCCTCTCATCATCGAAATCTTCTGTGAATACCCCTAAATATATTTTAGCTTTTTATCTAACTTTAATCTTTGCTTTTCTAACAAACTTGCAAAATATTTCCCCTCCTCTTCGTTGTGAATCGACAAGAGATTTGCATTAAAGCTCACGCATAACTTTTCCGCTTCATCAAATCCCAATTTCACTTCGAATTTCTATTCTGAGATTTTATTTTAGACTTAATTTCACTTTACTTTATAACAAATATCTCGTTTTACATAATGATTCCATTTATTTTCACATGTTTCATTCCGACTGCAAGTCATGAGATTCTCATTGAGATGCGAACTGAAAATACAACTGAGTGCAGAAAAACTATTTACCTTCTCATATCAGCTTGTTGGTGAAGCTTTTTGGCGAGTACACTGAAATTTATTCAATTATTGATCGTTTATTTAGATAACAGTTAATGTCATTTGTTTTGAAACAAACTTGGAAAAACTGAGGGCGACAATGAAACCGATTGATCCAAGAGAATAAAGAGCGAAAAATATGAATAGGATGAACCAAAGAAAGCGATGTTTGGCCAGGGAATTTAATCGGTTTTCACTTAAAGGACCCATGGGAAATCGAACTGAAAAAAGTGATTAAAAGTTTAAGAATTTATCAAAAAAAAAACAGCCGAACGCCTAACGGCGGGCTTTTCTAGCTGGATGTTTTGGGGTTAACGTCGACGTCACCGTGGCGGAGTCGGGACCACGCTTGTCTACAGTCCATGCGAACCGGGTTCGACCCCCATAGTGCCGATTAATTTTGAATTTTGAATGGCACAACTATTGGCTTGGTAAATATGAAAGGTTATTTTATTGATCATTTTTAACATAACAGAAAATATTATTTGAATAGTTTCAAAATCAAATGTATTCACCACAGGCATTAATAACTTCTTTCCAACGTCGTTCCAAATCACGAAAAAAATTCAAGATTTTTAGAGGCAAAATAGTTGGCAACCCAATTTTCGATGTCCTGCTTTTGCTTGAACTGCTTTCCAGAAACCAGAAACCGAAAGAGGTGGTAATCCGATGGGGCTAGGTCAGGGCTGTATGGTGGGTGAGGAAGAAGTTTCCATCCCAACTTATCGATCTGTTCGTGGGCGACCTTTGAAATGTGTGGCCTAGCATTGTCGTGAAGAAATCTGACCTTTGATGGATTGATCCGCTTTTTCCTCAGTGCTAGATCGACTCGACTCAGTTATTCTGCATAAAGTCTTCCATCAACAGTCTCGCCTTTGTCTAATACTTCAAAATAAACCAATCCCTTAGTATTCCACCACACACAGAGCATAACTTTCTTCCCGTGTATCGGAGGCTTCGGGATTGGATGAGGGGTCTGCTTCGAACTCAGCCACTGTCCATGGAGTTGAATGTTTTCATACGGAAGCCAAGTCTCATCAGATATCAAAAAATACTTTCAAAAGTCACGATGGTGAGCTTTGCGTAGAAGAAAAGAGCTCAGGGTGACTCGTATGGCTTTGTGGGCATCAGTGAGGTCTTGGGGGAGCCATTTACCGCTTCGATATGATTTCCCGAAAACGTGTAAATGGTTTTCAATGGTAACATGAGTGCATCCGAATTTTTCTGCTAATTTTCTACACTTTTGCGATGGATCAAAGTCGATCTCGTTCAGTAACAGCTGATCGTCCTAAGTAATCGGTGGCTTTCCATGTGGTGCATCTTCCAATGACTCATTTCCCATTTTGAAGCGATCGTACCAAACCCAACATTGTTTGTAAGTAAGAGCAGCTTCTCCAAAAACAGTACAACTGTTCTGATGGCATTCCGTAGCTTTCTTGTTTAAATTGAATTCAAAGAATATGGCAGCCCTGATTTTAAATTTTTGGTCATCCATCTTTGTCGAGCTGAAACAATACAAATATTATTCAAAACAAAAAAGCTTTTGCAAAAAAAAACATAAGCACATTTTGACATATTATTGAGAAAACTCTTAGACAGCGAATGTAACGACAGGGCAATATTTTTTGTAAAAAATAACCTTTCATATTTACCAAGCTAATAGTATCTTTTTTCTTTTTGACCAAGCTAATATAATATATTCTAGGGTTTGGTATTGGTCAAAACGCTGAGAAAATGCCCGTACAGACAGACAGACAGACTGCTCTTTTATATATCAAAGAAAATGGTACAAAGTTGTTGTCGGTGTAGGTGATCTGTCAAGATTTTAACTTTCAAAAAATCGAACAAGGAAATTAAGCCATAACGTTTTCTAACGGTGCTCATTCGGTTATGGTAACTCAGCTCAATAAAATAAAGTTCGTGATTACTGTAATGGTACGCGAATCGATGAGATGCCCCAACTCAAAAACTCATCAACAAATCTCTTCATAGAATTATGTACCTAATTAGTTGCTCAAATGAAAAACAAAATCTTTATGCCTTAAAGAAAATAATGATAATCTGTGGATTGATTAAAAAATATCGAGAAAAGTTGAGAGGGGTGAGTAATGAGAGAGAAATGACAAAAACAATCTGTTTTCGAAAAGCGATTGAATGATTTCGGCGAAAAGGAATGAGAAGAGTCTCCTCTTGTAAAGGTTTCTTTTTGTTTTCTTTTACGAAATCTCGAAATCAATTTTAGTGATGATCAAGTTGTTACCAAAATCTCTGAATAGATTTGAATCATTTTTTGCTCGTTTTTTCAGGATTTCCAATTTTCAGCTCCTTTATGCGGTACTCTCCGATTCAAAAAGTTGTCTACCGTAGTTATTTCTGGTTTATCGCTTTTCTCATTGTTGTCGCTTATTCAATTTTATCAACTGGATATATTATCTATTTATTAAGGGATTTATAGTAAGTTTTTACAAATTACAAAAGTTTTTTTTACAAATATTCAGTCTACATGAGCTGGACTACGGTATTTAGTGTAGATTGGGTATTCAGTCTAGATTGGCTGGATTACGGTATTTAGTAGCACAGATAAATATAAAAAGATTACGTTAGTTTTTGAGAATTCATGTTTAAAGTTGATTTTTTAAAACAAGCTTTTATGTAAAAATGTCTTTGAGAGCACCACAGACTAAAATTAGAAATGAAAAGGCAAATATCATTGATTTCTTATTACTTATTACAATACATTATAGGATTTGTTGTTCAAATCGCTTACTCAATTCCTTTTTTAGCCATGGAGCCGCTCATGATCTTCGATTGATCGACGAAAATTTGTAAATGATTTTGTTTTTTTTCATTATCAAAATTTTTCAATTCCAGACGTACGCTGAGTAAAAACCTATCTTTATGTCATGATGGGAAGTGAGTTGAGGAATCTTATTCTTACAGAATAATCTTTCAGATTAAAAATCCCAGTTATGTGCCAGAGTGGATGGAAATATTTGAAGAAAACGAATTCCTGCTATAGAGTAAGTTTGGGTTTTAGAAATTCGCATATCGTTTCTAGGCTTTCGATGTTGAGTTAAGCTTTACGGATGCACGAGCGATTTGCAAAGAGAGCACAAATGATCGCTCACAAGTCGATTTGGTGTCAATACAGAGTTTAGAAGAGAATCAATTCGTTTACGGTAGATTTAAAGATAACATATTATTATTTTTTAAATACTATTGTCTTTGACTCAAAAATCTTTACAGATCTCTTTCCTGAAGCAAAGGGAGCTGCGTGGATCGGTTTAGAGGTATCAAAGAACATTTGATTCATGTACATGAATCCTCAAATAGATAAATAAAGTAAAAAAATGAATGGCCAAAAGGTTTGGGACTTAGGGGAATCGAACCGCTAAGCTTCCGCTCACGGGACAGATGCTCTACCAGTGAGCTATTGGCGCTTGATTATACCGAAAAGAAATGGGAAACACAAGGAGGAAAGAGAGGGAAATACCCGGTTTAAAAATCAGATCCCAAGCATTAGTAATAGATAGAGAACATCAGAGAATGTGTTTCGATCAATGATTCTTCCAGAAATTCGCTAAAATCCCCGACTTTGATGGGTGGACAAACGGGAAAGTGCTCAACTATCGTCTATGGGGAAATGGAGAACCGGGAAAAGATGATGGACATTTGGGAGCTGTGGTAAAGTTTTAAGCGAAAAACCACCTCCTAATCTTCCAGATCCAACTCGGTTATGGAGATCTCGATTGGCAACACTGGAAAACGGTTGACATCATGAAAAAACATCAATTCGTTTGTCAGCAACGATTGGAAAAAGAAACAAGAGATTACCTAGCAAAACAAAGTACTTTTTATTTCAATTTTCATTTATAATTTAAAAATGAGAACGGGAAAAAGCGATGAGCAAATGCATGGATTGTATGTGCGCACAGGAGAATTGTCAAAATGATATCGGTTGTGTGGAGGTTTGGGGGAGGACAGCTTGTGGAAACTATCAGGTGAATGATTAGATTCGACTAAAGTGTAATGAACTAAGACCCTGTAAAACAGAAAAATCAGAAAAAGCAAAAAAAACCAGTCTAGTATCAAGTCAGACAGTTGGCAGCTCGAAAAGGAGGTTGATTGATCTGTTGATAAAAAAAGACAAAGCAAAAAATCCCCAGCGAGAAAGGGGAAAAAAAGAGAAAAACTTTAAAGAAAATAGGGTTAAGGCAAAAGGGCATGATTTTTTATTAACATCAAGGTAGCTAAAGGTTAAAATCCGGGCCTTTTTTTTAGAATTATTTTTTAGGCCTAGTATCAGATTTAGTATATGAAGTGATCTCCTACTTGAATAAATACGGTATTCTTAAAGTTCAAGCATATCTTTAGATTACTTTTGACTATTACATCGATTGCGGAATGCCTAAATGGATGGGCATGATCGAGACGCAAGAAGAAGCTTGGAAAAGGTGAAGAAAACGTATCAAACCAATCAAATAAATAGCATAGATAAACTAAAAGCGTTTCTATAAGTAGTTATTTAAAACACATTTCAATTTCAGATGTTCTCAAGATATTTCTTGTTCACGAGAATGTATTGCGAACTATTACAATCGATGGGAAACAAATTGTCCAAATAAAACAATGACGATTTGCGAGAGAATGATACGATTGCATAAAGGAGGTATTGAGGGTATTTTAAAGCGCGGGAATTTACAAGAACTATCGTAATCTTGAAATTAGAGGGAACTTCGAAAGTTGGCATGTTTTAGAAAAGCAATAATTTGAAATGAAAAGTTTTTAGGTCCAAACGGATGCAACCAAAATATGACGCTGCCTTTTTGGAACGCGGCAAGGGATAAATGTTCATAAACTGTGATTTTCATAATTTCTTTTCTTGTCTTTCATTCATTTTCACATCAAACCCTTAAAACATAAGTCAAATTGAGTGTTTATTTGGTTATAGAATCTTTGATTTCAATTTGTTTCACTTCAAAAATTCTATAAACTGATCACATTTGTTAGAGCGATTAATTACAAGAAAAATTAACTGAAAATTTGAAAAATATCGAATTGCTGAATTGCTAGTAAAGTAAAGTTACACAGTACGCAATTAGCAATGATTTTAAACTACAGTTTTCTCTTGTTTTTTACTGTTATTGGTATGTTTGCTTAGTTTTAACAAAAAGAAAACCTCTACAGCTTAACAAAAGCAAAGCAAAGGATTTCCTAATAGGGTTGTTGTTTCAAAGAGAAATTTTCGAGTCAAACTAGGCTCAGATCAGAAACCAAGTTCTGACTTGGCTTTACTGCAGTTCTGGCTTCCGGCTCTGGACTTGATTAGCCTAATCTAGCTATATCTAGTTTAAAGTACAACCTTTGCGCTGGATTTTGTCAAAACTTACGTTTATAAGCCGAACAGTATACCAAATTTCAATCCAATCCAATGAATTTTGGTTTAGCGATAGGAAGATATTGTTTCACATGCATTTGTCAAAATGAAATAGGCTGTAAAGATCTTGGATGTCAAACAAAGAATGGAATTGAATCATTTGGATGGATTCATGTGAGAAATTAATGCAATTTAAAAGAGATATAGATTTAGATGAGATTTCAAGGATTGCGATATGTCAACTTGAAAGAAAAATGGACTGGAAACAGTGCAAGAGGATTGGAAAAGGTTTAAAACAATAAAATATGGTGAAATTTTAAAATCTAGATGTGCTAGTGACAATCTTTGCACAAAACATGAACTATAAACATCTTTATGATTTCCTTTGTCGAGATGATCAAGATGATTGTGAGAGAACGGCAAGATTGCATAAAGGAGATCGTTTTTCAGTTAGAACTAGAATACTATTGTTTTAAAATAGTTATCAGCTATTTTCCAGGTTCAAAAGGATGCACGAGCGGTGACTGGATAGATAGGTACTAGACTGCGGTGAGGAAAATGCTTGTGAGAGCTTCTTCTGACTTCTCTGGTTCAATTAAAACATTGTTCCACTTAAAAACAGATACATACAGCTATCTACTGCACTCAAATAACTCAACTTGTGCTCCTTGTCAGATCAAAATCTTCACAATGTTCAATATTTAACTGTTCATCCCATTCCCTTTCACAATTTCACTAGACTGCTCCATTGAAAACAAAAAAAAGACAGCTGATTTGATAAAAACAAATAAAGATCTGGTTTTTGAACAAATGACATTTTAGGGGAACAGTTTATCGAATCATGAGAGATCAAAAAAAAGAATGTAAACAGGGGATTGTAAGATTCTTACTGGTTAGTTTCATAGGAAATTATTGAAGAATCTATGAAACTAGTTAGTTTCATAGATTCTTCAACAATTTTCTCTTAAAATAATTCTCCATTTCGTTTTTGGTTTCATAAAGTTTAGATTTAATTTTCCAGTTTCTTTTTGAAAGAAAATCAATTGAAGATCGAGCAATTCTAAGAAAATGATGAACTAGAACTATTTTTTTTAAAAGCTGACTCACATTTTGAAGAAATCATCATCATTTTTTTTGGTAAAACTAAAAAGCTTTTACTTGTGCAATCTTTATCCTTTTCTAATTTCCTATATTTAAAAGTCAAATCTAAACCAATCTTGTCTAATTTTAAACCTTTTTTTTATCTAAACCAGGTATACTTTGAGGTGTACACAGATTTTCATAGTTGAATCTTTTTTTTAATATAATAATTTGAAATTTAAGATATTTCTTATCTAAAACAACCCAAAAGATGCTTAATTTTTAAAAATTCAAAAACTTTCAGCTTGATGGAAGTGCCAGAAGTGCTCAAATTCGCCCTAAGAGTCAGCGATATCGCTGAAGCGCCCGAGAATTTGCGACGAATGAAATCGATTGACGAATCATTTTCCATCCGATCAACATCAATTTTCGCTTTGGGAAGAGCTCTTTTGGCTGAGGGAATGCTATGGAAAATGTGCCGAAAACGTTTTAAAGAACGAAAATTCTGGCTTTTCAATGATATTCTCGTTTACGCGAAAGTGATCCGAAAAGAGAAATGTTTCCATTCACAAAGAGTGATTCGGTTGGAAACAGCTGAAGTTGAGGATTTGAGGAATTCAATGTTTACAGAAAATTCAACATATCCATGGATTTTCAAATCACCGAAGAAATCTTTTGTGATTTGCGCGAATCGTGCAGAGGAAAAGGTGGAATGGATGAAAAAATATAGAAGAATGCATAAAAATGGTCAAGTTTAAAAGAGGAGAAAATCGGAAAGAGGAATATGCACCGATTATGATTCCCGATGATGCGACGAATGAATGCATGAGGTGCTATCAGAGTCAATTTGGATTGATCAAGAGGAAACACCATTGCAGGTTGGTTTCTGAACGATAGCTAACATCTGTATTAAGGGGAATTGAGAACTTTTTTCCGGTTTGGTTTTAAACCGAATTGTTTTTCGGTTTGGTTTGGACGTTCTCCCCAGCGAGGGAAATCTTCAGCTTTAAGCAGAATCAGATCCAGAACCGGAACTCCAACCAAAACTGAAATTTTCTTTTCAATTCGGTTCCGAACCTGAACCAGAATCGATCTCATGTCCAATATGCTGGATATAGTCTATATCTGTCTGGATATAGGCTCGTACTTTGTCTCTATCCCAAGCGTGTCCATTGCAATGAAGACAGCTTTTGAAACTCTTTAGCCCAACTTTTCTTCTTTTTGTCAAGAACAAAACTCAAAAGCGCTTTTAACATGGAAAGTTAGGTCTTTTAACATTTGAAGACTTGTAGCTGGTCGAATCCTTTACAAAATATTAGGTTGATGCAAAAGTCTTTTTCATTTTTTTCGTACTTCTTTTGAAAAATAACAAAGTCATCAATTAACCTATGGTTTGCTCTAAATGAAAAGTGTTTATTGTTGAATTTCCCATCTTTTTAAGTCAATTTGGGTTCACTTTCAAGCAAATTCGAGAGTGAAAACGGGTTTTTCATAAAAATCTATAAAAATCTCTATAAAGAAATTGGTTGAATGAATTTCTCTGAAAATCTGAAAAAATATCTAACTTTTTGTGCTCTATCTTTTATTTATTAACATCAAGATTGGTTTCCTTAGCTAAAGCGTCTAAAATGCATCATCGAGCCGTCGCCTTTTTTGACTACCCGACTTCAGGCTCTCAAAAAAAATCTAGACATAAGACATTTTAAACTCGTTTTAATGTCATTTTGCAGAAAAATAATTGGCCTTTCGAATGCAATAAACCGTTGTTCAATTGGTGCATTTGTTACTTTTTAACGGAAGTACGAAAAAAATGAAAAAGACTTTTGCATCAACCTAATATGTAATATATGAGACTTATATGATATGGTCAATCTTTCCAGGACAGTTCGGTCCAATTCAAACAATTAAATTTCTAGAAAATGTGGCGCCATCGTTTGTGGTGAGTGCTCATCAAATCAAATGGTGATCAAGGGACAAAGTGATATCCCGCAAAGAGTTTGCATTATTTGCTTTGAGAGGATCAAGATCAGAAGTAAGAAAAGCAGTATACAGTCTAATGAGTGATGGAATTGTTTATTTGAATAAATTGATTTACATGTACAGCTTTCGAATCAAAATAATCAATTAAATGCGACGAATGAATGGAAAAGTTGTTATCAGAGTCAATTTCAACTGATCATTGCAACTTAGTTTTTCAGTTTTGCTCTTATTTATTTTGTCCCGCTTTCTCAAGGGGACTTCCAAAAATTGATATATACTCATAATTGTTCGTCTGCACGGAGATCTTTAGTAAAAGGCGAAAGATTTACTCGGTCAAATGCAGACGAACCAGAGAAACGAAACGGAGGAAAGGAAGCGGTATAAGGAAAAGGAGCATGCTTCTAGCCTCTGGCCAAGATCAATGTGTAGCTTCTAGCCTCTGGCTAAGATCAATGTGTGGCTTCTAGCTTCTGGCTCAGACCAATATGTAGCTGCTGGTCTCTGGCTAAGATCAATGTGATCAATAGTGAAAGGGTAAATTGACCTAACAAGAGGAAAACACCTGAAATGCATCGACTCAAATTAGGGACTGGCTCTCAAGCAGCTTTCGAAAAAAACTATTAGAAAACTTTAGTTTATCAATTTTACTTTAGAAATTCCCCTCATTCATTTCTCTTTTCATTATAGTTTCCTTTTTGATCCCCTACTGGTCATCCGAAGAAGAACTATTGGTATTTGCGTGTAAAATGGTCACTTCTTTTTTCCCATCCATTCTCGTCTTTTTCTCCTTCATGGATCCGCCGGGTATCCCTTCCTTAAAAAGACCAAAAGCTTTTTCCGCATCAACCTCTTTTTCTCTTTTTTCAATGCCGGTGAAACTAGCCCCTCACCACCTTGCGGCAACGGAAACACTTGGCATCTCCTTCAACTATACCTTCAAGAAACACTTTTATACACTTTCTGTCAAACAGATACTTGACTCCTTCGATTTCTTGATGACTAATATTTTTCTAAATGGGATACACGTGTGAACGAGTTGGCACCTTTGCTGCGTTGATCGCTTTTTGCTTTAGGTGGGTTTCACTCAGCTGTTATTTACTTGATGCTTTGTGGAGTCTTAACTTTCCTTTGTTCTTGTTTTGTCCCGCTTTCTCAAGGGGACTTCCAAAAATTGATATATACTCATAATTGTTCGTCTGCACGGAAATCTTTAGTAAAAGGCGAAAGATTTTCTCGGTCAAATGCAGACGAACCAGAGATACGAAACGTAGGAAAGGAAGCGGTATAAGGAAAAAGAGTATGCCAGAAAGATAACGATTATGTGCGCGCACAAAGAACGCCCAAAGGAGCCATCATACTGGATTACGGGCGCACAGAAAGAACAAGAGAGCACACAGGGGAGTGGGAGACTGAGAAAATTGGAGTGGGGACGGGAAACAGAGACATCGGGGGAGGCATAGAGAAAAAGAAGTTGTGGAAAATAGTGTGCAATCTTTAGAGAACTCTTATGATTTTTTTGAATACGTTTCCAATTTTGCTGACAGGACTAAAATCTCGAATTTTAACTTAAAAGAAGTTCGGAAAAGTCCCGATTTCAAGGAGTTTAAGGCTTTTTTATTGAAATAATTACGGTAGTCTTTCTATAAATTTCTACTTTCAACAAAACATTTTGAAGATCTTTTAACGTAACAACTACAACTTTGATTTGAAAAATTTACCTTGGACCAGTTAAACAACAATAAACAGTTTTTGAGAATAACTTGGTTTAATAACAGTTATCTGCGGTTTATGGTTGGTAGAAGAGCAATACATTTGAAATTCTTGTCAATTGCTCATCTATTTTGCTCTAGATCTAGGTACGGCATTTTGTTAACATATCTATTTGAAAACGAGAGTGATTTATCTTTAAGGAAACATTTTAATGGATTTGTAAGAATTCTATTCTTTATTTAAGGCAGAACTTTGATAAATCTTGATGGAGATTACCACCTTTTTCCCTAAGTAAAATAATTGTCTTGTAATAAGACAATTAATTTCTTTAGGGAAAAATTAAATGGAATTTTGAATGAAACAGATGAATTAAAAAGAAAACCGCCAAAGGAGATACTGAATGGAAAAGAAAACAGACAATTTTGAATGGAACTACGGTATTGAACATCTGGAATCTTGTCTAAATAAGGATTGAAGGATTAAAGCTATCATTCGATATCAAAAATTCGATCAAATGCCTTTTCGCTTTTTGTTGTTCACTGGTGGTTTGGCTGTGGTGGCTGGAATGGTGATCGAAGTTGAGTGAGTGCTTTAAAAGTTTAGAATTTTGTTTTTTAAAGATATTCAAAGCTTTTTCTATTTTAATTTAGGAGAAAAGGTTTTTCTTCACAATTATCGCATAAAGAAGTGAATCCATTGAAATGTGATGAGGGTTGGGCTCAATTTAATGCATATTGCTACAAGGTTTGTTTTATCGACTTATTACTAATGTATACGTAGTTATGTTTGATTTTTTTGAGTTATTCAAAGCTGAAATCTTTAAACCCTTGTGTTTCTACTAGTTTGGGAGGAGTGAGATCATCAGAAAATTTTCTTGCAGGAGTCCTTGTAAGTCACATTTTTTTGCTAAGGCATTCAAAAACCTTTGACAGAACTTTGATCAATAAATCTCATTGCCATGATTAAACCCTTAAATGTTATTTTTAAAACCAACCACCATGTGCACGACGGTGATCATCAGAAGGTAAAAAAGTTAGAAAAAGTACAAATTTCATGTCTCGAATAGGAAATCAAGAAAGCAAAGCCAATTTCACAATTTTATTGAGAACTTTTTAGTTGTTTATCTGTTTTCAAGAGATAATGTTTCATTTCGAAGACTAATTGTAATTTTAATGAAAAGGTGAATTAAAAAGGAAATCATCAAAGAAGATGCGGAATAGGTTTTAAAGCATAGATTTTTTTTGTCAAGGTATTCAAAGGCTTTTTTTACAGAATCATCCCGCAAAAGTCTCCTACGATGAGGCGAAAAAGATTTGCCGAAAAGCGGGCAGTCGATTGGTGACTATTCACGGCTATTTGGAGAATCGATTTGTGGAGGGTAAGTTCAAAGAGAATAATACAGGGTTCGCTAAAAGTTTTGCCATTTCCCTAAAGTTGGACAAAGTTTAAAACCTGAATTTTGTTTCAGTTTAATGAAGAATATCATAGAAAATAGTAGAAAAAAAATAGTAAAAACATTCTCAAAAAGCTATATTGATGAGTTTGAGCCTTTTCAAAGACTTGAAACATTATCATTCAGTGCCATTCCGAGAACTGTTCATCTCTTTTCTTTGCGACTCACTAACTCATTTGGTTCTTTAGTATATCAATAATGTAGTCTGAAATGTATAAAAGCTTTATAAGATATGGTTTTTTAAACTATCTAGTAGCGAGGTTTAATGGCAGAAAAAGAAGCTTTAAAAAAGTCCAGAGTTGATTGGTATTTGCTTAAAAATCTCTAAACCCAGTAATGTAAGAGAACTTTTGGCGTACTCTGTACATTATGATTTAATTTGCATATAATCTATTTCATTTAAAAACCTTATTCAGAGATGCAAACGGCTGCCGGGGTCGCTTGTTGGCTTGGATTGCGGGTAAGCGGGGAATTAAAAAAAAATTTTGTACAATAAGCCTAAGCTACGGACAAATTTCTTTAGCATTAAAGTTTTTAACTCTCTATATCAATTAAAATCAAATCTATTTAGCGAAAATGTTCTAAATTTGGATTCGAAAACTTTGCTTGGACGGACGGGAGCGCGAACGAGTTTTCGAATTGGGGAATCGGGAACCCAGATCCAATAGAGGGGAAGATCAGGAATTGGGTGGTCGTGAGTTTTGATCTTCAACAACTAATAGATATTAAATTTCAACGTGTTATTCAAAGATGCTGCCGGCTGCAGATGTTCAACAACTCATAGAAATAAATAAAAAAACTTTAAATTAGATACAAGCTATAAGGTGCGTTGCAAAATGATAGGACCAGCCCTAAATTTTAAATTTTTTGGCTATGAAATTTAATCACGCGCGTAGCTTTTAAATCCTAGAAATAAATACAAAAATAGGCATCTATACCATTTATAACATTATCTGAACAAATTGCAACAAAATTATAACATTTTCTTTATTTAACACCTGTTGCGAAATGATAGGACCACATAAAAAAATAACAATAAATTTGAGAACAAACAAAAGAAAAACGAATAAATAAAGTGAAAAGTTCACTAATAGATGCTCCCTTTTTCTCGATGACGTCGAGTAGTCGACTTTTCATCGAGTTCACTAAGTTTTGAAGCGTTTGTGGTGGAATTGACGTCCAAGCTTGCAAAATTGCTTTTTTGAGTTGCGAAATCGTGGAACAAAAGGAACAAACTTAAGAAACTTTAGCTTAGCTAAACAAAAGGAACAAACTTAAGAAACTTTAGCTTAGCTAAAGAAAAGGAACAAACTTAAGAAACTTTAGCTTAGCTAAACAAAAGGAACAAACTTAAGAAACTTTAGCTTAGCTAAACAAAAGGAACAAACTTAAGAAACTTTAGCTTAGCTAAACAAAAGGAACAAACTTAAGAAACTTTAGCTTAGCTAAACAAAAGGAACAAACTTAAGAAACTTTAGCTTAGCTAAACAAAAGGAACAAACTTAAGAAACTTTAGCTTAGCTAAACAAAAGGAACAAACTTAAGAAACTTTAGCTTAGCTAAACAAAAGGAACAAACTTAAGAAACTTTAAGCTAAACTTAGATGTAAACTCGATAAAACTAAGGAAGATCTCAAGAACAACAAGAAAGAAAAAAGAACTGACCACAAATCCTTGCTCTTCTTGCACACCACCTTCGCTGCGGGAACGTCGTCGTTGAAGAAGACGATGTTGCTGTTGTCGAGTCCGAGCCATTGTTGAAGTTCCAGAATGATGAATATCTGGAAGAAAAAAAATGTTTATATTGGTAAAACATATGTAAAATTTCTGAAAACAGATGTAAAATATAAAGTGAAATGAACGAAGGAGATCAAGTGAGAAAGTGGAGAATGAATAGAAAGAATAAAAATGAATAGAAAGAATAAAAATGAAGAGAAGAGAAAAGAGAGAGGGAGCAGAGAAAAAAAGGAAAGGTACCTTTTAGAAACCAGGATTTTACAGACAAGTTATTATGTAATCTCAAACAGTAACCGTTTTTTTTAAAGAATTTATTGTAGAGAAAAGATTTTTAGGCAATAAAAGTCTTGAAAATTGTGATTCAAATCATAAATCAAATAGTTTTTCTTTTCAGTTATACTACGGTCGTTGGTGGACTGAAGTAAGAGATATCGGCGCATCAGCTCTCTGCAAGAAAGCTGCTAAACCATGAAATCTTTAGTGTCTATTGTTCTAATTGTAAAATTTTGTTCTTTTTATCTTAAACTTATAAATATTTGTAATAAAATACATTTTTTAGTCTAACAAATGGGAAAACTTCAAAAAAGATCAAAAATATCGAATGAAAATGGCAAAAATAAAGAGAAAACAAAGAAATGTGCAAAAAAAAAGATATTAAAAATGTTAAATAATTGACAATTTTTTGGTAAAACTCAATATAATATAGTAAAATTTTTCAATATTAGACTTTCTAGGAAGTCTTTTCGTTACTTTCCGTTGAAAAATAACAAATTCACTCAATTAATCTATCGTTTTCTCTAAATAAAAAGTGTTTATTGTTCACTTTTTAAATCAATTTGGGAATAGGCTAATTTCGGCCATTTTATTTGCGTTTTTATAGTTTTTTTATGAAAAAAAACACGTCGTATTTGCTTGAAAATGAATTCAAATTGAGGGATAGGCTACTTTGCACCAAATTTTTTGCGCAACTAGGTCATTTGCGCAACTGGGTCGTTTGCGCAACTCGCCATAACTTTCTTCTAAGTGGACCAATCTTTACAAATTTTGGTTCCATTTGTAGATCTCAATAAGTGTAACAAAATGACACCAAAATCATAAAGATTGGCCGGCTTAGAAGAAAGTTATGGCGAGTTGCGCAAATATAGGAGCGTCGCGTAGTCTAAGTATGATTTTGGTGTTATTTTGTTACACTTATTGAGATCTACAAATGGAACCAAAATTTGTAAAGATTGGTCCACTTAGAAGAAAGTTATGGCGAGTTGCGCAAACGACCCAGTTGCGCAAAAAATTTGGTGCAAAGTAGCCTATCCCTCAATTTGAATTCATTTTCAAGCAAATACGACGTGTTTTTTTCATAAAAAAACTATAAAAACCCCTACAAAGAAATTTACTGAATGAATTTCTCTGAAAATTTAGCTATCTACCAAACTTTTTATGTTCTATTTTTTATCTATTGACACGAGGATAGGTTTCGTTAGTTAAAGTGTCTAAATCGAATCATCATTTTGACTATCCGACTTCAAACGCTCAAAAAAATTCCAGACATAAGACATTTTAAACCCGTTTTAATGTGATTTTTACAGAAAAATAATTGGGGCCTATCCCAAAACAGCGCCGCCAAAACAGCGCCGACCAAAACAGCGACGAGCAAAAAAAAATTATTTTCTAGATTTTTGCTTTTGCTTTTTCTTTGCTGTTTTCAACTTTTTCTGTCCACTTTTTGTGTTTTTCGGGTAAAAAAGCTGGAGAATCTGATTTTTTAAGCCTTACGCATAGAAACCTGCGATAGCGTTCATTAAAGTGATCTTAACCAAAAATAACAAATTTTTTTCCTTTTACGGCCTGTTTTTTAACGTTTTCACTAACTTTTTATTTTTGTAGGTAACAAAGCAATCTGAAACTGAACGAGGCGTTGCTGCATACTCATCATCGTCGTCTTATCATCACGGACCGACGTGAAATTTTGAGGTATATTTTCTCAGCTTTATGGACGTGTGACTTAATATTTGGTTCGCCTAGCCATTTAGCATTTTCATTTTGCAGGTAATCAGTCAGCCACAATCAGAAATCGAGCGCTGCTGCGGGTTTCAAAAGGACAAACGTGGCGGTTAAGGTATATTTTATCAGCTTTGTGGTAATATGGTTTGTTGGTTTATGATTTATGGTTTGTTAACATAGTTTTACGGTTTTTTAGTTATTAATTTATTTTTCTAGGCAGAATGACAAGCCAAAAAGGACGGTCACTGATTTACGACTCAGATGGATTCGAATATCGAAAGGACAAAGCACTTAAATCCGGTGTACTTTTGAGTTATAGGTAAAGGAAGTATAATTTATCTTGTAATACCCAGTTCTGTTACTTTTTAGGTGTTCAAAGGCGAAATGATATGGCTGACCCCATCACAACAAAGCAACCGGCATTCTTACGGTCACGAAAAATCACGACCACTTGCCACCAGAAAGCAAAAAACAGGTAGATGATCAAGACATTGTCGCTTGTGAAATAAATGCGTTTTTAGATTCGAATTGTGTTCGAAGATGTTAAACACCAAGCAAAGATGGGTGTCCCCGTCAAAGAAATTGTACGGCAGACGATAAAAAACAGTCCACCCGACGTAACACGCCTACTCAATGTTTCCAGTTTTCAACAAATGGTGAGGCGACAGCGAGTAATTCCTGGCGCAAAAATGTGGCCAAGTCCGATCGATGATGGAAAATTTCGTACGCTTTTTAAATTATTCATATAGAAATTAAAATAAAGGTACAAGGTTTCTACGTTGCGAGACTTACGATGTACACATCTTGGAATGAAAAGGCAATGAAAGTCTTCTGAACCGATTGGGGAAAAGAACAATTATTGCAGGTTAGCTATATATTTGTAAAAATTTTTCATTGTGCTTTAGAATGCCATTTGGTCCTGCGACGGAACATTTGCTTCCGCTCCTGCAGGATTTAAACAAGTCTTCATTATTGGCATCGAGGTTGGTTTATTTTAATAAAAGCCCAAATTTAAGAATTTTAGCATGAACATATGTTTGTTCCGTGCGTGTATGCATTTTTGAATCGAAAGGATGCTAACACCTACAATTCCTTGTAGGGCTATCTTCAAGCAGCTGGCATACCACCTCCGCACAAATTAAAAACTGGTTGGATTTAAATATATTTTGTAGTTTTATAATTTTTTTCAGATATGGAGCTGGCGTTGTACTGTGGTTTCAATCTTGCCTATCCCCACTCTGCAACGAAATTGCACTATTGTACTTTTCATTTTTTCAAGAGCGCTTATGGAGCTATTCAGGTTTTTAATTATAAAAGGTTGTATTTTAGAAAAACAACTTGTCTGATGTATACCAGGACTTGGACTATTAATTTGATGCTATTTTGATGTTTTTTATGCATCGTTTAATTGTTGGTCATGTTATTTTTAAATAAATTATCAGAATTAAAAGCTGCCAATAAAAAAAATGAATTGTTGTAAAAGAAAATAAACTCTTTTTTGGGATAGACCCGATAATTGTCTTTCCTAGTGAAACAAAAACGTCATTCGATTGATGCATTTTTTTTGATTTTAAACGGAACTACGAAAAAAAACGAAAAAACTTTCCTAAAAAAAGGTTGATTAACACAAAAAAAACAGTCCGAGAAACGTCTAACGGATTTGGTGGTTAACCCAGTGCTGTACGACTTCCTAAGGCGGGCGATTTCCATTTCGGCGTTTTTTTTGTCTATTGAAAACTGTTAAAAATTTCGAAAGGCACTTTCCTAGAATCAATTTCTTAAGCTCTTTTCAAAAAACACAGTTTAAAATTGATTCAAAAGGTTTAAAATAGATAAAAATCGCTCTGAAAAGCACACAAATTTTTGCCTCTGATTGAAGCCATTAAAAATCATCTTAAGCGTTTGCATTCTTAAAAGTCTTATAATGGATCATGTAGAGCAAAAAAAGAGCTTTCAGAATCTTTTTGGCAGCTGTTTGTGCAATGATTAGACAGAATGTTACAAGCCGTCAAAGAAGAGACACTTTTTTGGGTGTAGGTATCTTTTTGAGCGGTACTGGATAGATAAATGTTTATTTCATTATACCATTAAAATCTGTGTACTTTGGGTTCTTGTAAACACAAAGTTTCTGGTTCATTTTAATGCTTCATTAAGTATGGGAGAAAGCTTGCGTTTACTAGAGTACAAGATATAGACAGATCATCCAGTCACATCATATTTGTCTAGAAAGAGATCAATCAACGAGTATTGATCGTGATTCCATGAAAATGAAAAGAAAACAATCACATTGATTAAAAGGGATAATTGGAAAAGACAAAGAAGGAAAATCGAGACTCTGAAATGGAGATTTAAGGGAGAATTTTCTGAATAACTCACTTTTTAATCATTTCGTTATTCTTTTGTTTACTGGTTGATCGATATTTGTCGAGGATTACCCCGAAAAAGACTGACAAAATGCATAAAGTCAAGCAGACGACCACAAACCATCCTACAAACTTTAAATGTTTTTTGACGATTAGAGAAATTTCTTTAGATAAGGAAATCGTATTCTATAGAGTTCAGTTTCTATAGAGTCCTATCGTAATCCTAAGATTTTACTACTATACTTTAGCTTTTATAAAATCTAGTTTCTTTTGAATATTTCCGTATTCTTTATGAACTTTAAATGAATTAGAACAAGCTTAAAGACAAGAAGTAGTTCAAAAAGTTTACATGCTTTAGGAAAAGAATTGTTTGAGAGAAGGTAAAAAGATACAAATGAAAGTAACTAGATTTCAAATAATATTAACTGATTTTTGCACTCACCAATCAACGGAACTGTCGCTGCTTTTGGTACATTATCTGCGACAACACTCAACGTGATTGAAAGAGCCAACATTGATGTTAAACCGATTGTTACCTAAAGCTTCAACTAGTTTTCATTTCAAGAAGTCTTTTACTGGATCACCCGTTTGTTCACCAAATCCTGAGATTAAAACCCCGGTAATTGTCAAGGTTGTGACGAGAATTGCTGGCAAAACGATCACAAAAGTGAAATAATATGTTTTTCGCTCAAGTGCTGCTATGAAAAAGATCTGAAGTTCTGAAATAAAAATGAAAAGACTTTCTTTCACCGTATTTGTTTCCTTGATTAAGCTTTCTTTAAGCGTGAGAACTGTGTAATTGATCATTCGAAACTCATTGTTGCCCTGAATTTAAGTTATCGAACATTTGATACCATTCTTTTCCCATTGGCAATCTAACTTTCAGCTCAAATATCCTGGCGTTGGGTTATTCAATTTGAAATTTCTTGATATAATAATTTCAAATCGAAACCGATTCAGCCGATTCCCACAAAAGACTTTCGAGAAAAGAATCTGATGATTCCATCACTCTCAATTTTCACAGTTAAGAGCTATTCTCCTGGCTATTGAATATTTGATACGCTCCCCGTCCCTTTTGCCATTGGCAATCTAACTTTCAGCTTAAATATCCTGGTGTTGGGTTATTCAATTTAAATTTTTTTGATATAATTGAATGCACCAAGTCTTTCTCTATCGATTGGTATAAAAACTATCTAAATTGAACAGCCTAACATCAAGAAGTTTGGACTTAAAGCTACCAAAGATTTGATAAAAGCCCTTTTCCCATTATCAATCTAACTTTAACCTCAAATATCTTGGTGTTAAGCTCTCCAATTTGAATCTTCTTTATATAATTGAATGTGCTAAGCCTTTCTCTATCGATTGGTATAAAAACTATTTAAATTGAACAACCGAACACCAAGAAAACCTTCATTCCCTGATCGGGTGCTCGATAACCCTGAAATCTCATCATCGACATGTTTGCCAATGTATTCTCGATTTCAACAGCACAAAATTGAATGTCAAATGGAAATCTGAAAGATTTTCAAGTTCAAGACTTAAATTTTAAATAATTTCAAATCGAAACCGATTCAGCCGATTCCCACAAACGACTTTCGAGAAAAGAATCTGATGATTCGATACGCGTCCATCACTCTCAATTTTCACATCATCCAAGTGTTTATCGAACATGACTTTTGTGTCAAAACTGAGAATTGATCGGAATGAAGTTAAACGTTTTCACCAAACGTATCCGATATTTTGTAGGCTGGCCTCCAAATCTCGCTTGCTGGCAGTAGAAGTTCTCTGTGTCCACCAAAGTCTTGAGGATTGAAGGCAAGTCTCGGATCAATCCATTCCTAAAGTATTTTCGGAGATCATGCTAACCTATTTTCAATTGTATACAGTATTTTCTCTAATAGTATTTTCCCAGCAAGCCGAGTTGATGGCTATTTTATGGTTTCCAAGTTTTCACTAGAAACTCAACACTCAAATCCCCCACAAGATCTCATTGTCAGCTACATTTTTTGATCTCACATCGATAGGTTCTGATAAACGGTTTTCGAGATTTTGAGGAATTTAGGCTTAGGGAAAATACGGTAGTCGATATTGATTCCGAATAGAATAAGAACAAGAACTTTTTTTGACTTTTTGGACAACCCAGATCAAGAACTAGTTGATGAACAGCTTTTGATATGCTAATAGGCTTAACGAAACGAGAAATGCTTTGAATTTGAAAGAGTTGTCAAATTGGTTTGAAATTTGAAAAAATCTATCATATTTTTATAGTAAAAGATAGAAATTTTGAAATCCTGAACTACTTACAACATTCAATCCATAGAGAAAAGTGGCTTGATTTTCTTGATTGACCACTTGTTCCAAAGTGATACTTGGTACTGAAAATTTCACAAGCACTGTCTTATTCGTGCTAAATTTTTCAAAATTACATTTATAAGATAAATTTTACATGTAAAATGGATTCACTCGTTTATCATAATTTTCCAAGAGAGCCGTTGGAAGAAGAGAGAAAACTGCAAAGATTTTTTAACTTTAAAAGATAAAAAGTTATTTGGATTAAGTATTGCATTATATTGTACAAGTTTACTGTTCTCTTAACGGTAAAATAAATACTAAAGTTGTGATAAATAAAGTTCTTTCAAGTTCACAAATACTAGGTACGGAAAAAATGAATGTCGTATTTTTTCACTAAAGTTCAAACGTTCATAAAATTTTTGATTTCAAAAGCAATTTAATCGAAGTAAAAACCAGTTGAATCTATACATGATTGCCAACGTTTGGCTAAGTTTTCAATTCCTAAAGTGCAGAAGGCGGGTCCCATTGAATCGATAAACTCCTTGATGCCATTTTCGACCTCCCCTTGAGTAGCAAAGCATTGCTCCGATAAGAAGTGATCGAGGAACTTGAAAAAGTGGAAACCCGTAGGCGACAAATCAAGAGAATATGGAGCATAAGCATCTGCAGCCGCGTAGGCGTCGCCAGAAAGTGAGACCCACAAATACGACATTCATTTTTTCCGTACCTAATATGATTTTTTTTTGTTGCTTTGTGATTGATGTGATTAAAATAGATTCACTCGTTTATCATAATTTTCCAAGAGAACCATTGGGAGAATAGAGCAAACTTCAAAGATTTTTAACTTTAAACAATAAAAACCTACCATATTCAATGTAGAATAATATATATAAAAGTAATAACATGATATTTCAAAAATTTTACATTTAATTTTTCATTTGGTATCTTTGAGAAAAGCTCTTGAGTTCAAGGAGCATAAGTGGGTAAATAAAAAATGAATTTCAATTCTTTTTCTACTCTAGGATCTTTGGAAAGCAAGTTTTCTAGTTTAAAAATGTATAGAAAACGAATAAATTTGAAGAGATTCAAGAAAATCTAAGTGCAAATCTTTTGTTTTACAGGGTGCGTCATAATTATTGCAACAAGAGTTCAAAGACCGTTTTCCAAACAGCTTTCTTATTTTTTTGCCCCCTTTTTTGTTGTGTTGCGTTCTATCTTCTTTATTCTTGCCTAATTGCCTCCCGCTCACACGAAGAAGACGGTTCAGGACTGGTGTGTGGCCAACTTTCCCTCAGTGATCACCAAGGATGAATGGCCTCCAAACTCACCGGATCTCAATGTGATGGACTTTTCCATTTGGGCAATCTTAGAGGCTAATGTCTGCTCTTTGGCCTTGAAGAAGTTTTTGACCAAAGGATGGAAGGCGACTCCTCAAGATGACATTCGGGCCGCAGTGGAGGCATATCCGAACCGATTAAGGGCTGTTATTAAGGCAAAAGGCGGTCATATCGAATGATCTCTTGTTTCCTTATTTGTTACTGTTAAATAAAGGTATTTCTGTTTAAAAATCTTCTTCCAGTGAAACTTCTTGGTGTGCAATGCCTTGAGTATCTTGTTGCAATAATTATGACGCACCCTGTATTTAAAAAACAAACAACAAGCTATTCTGAAGGATAAAAAAGTGACTTAAATGAGCTTTATTTTTGCATTAAAACATTGAAAATCTATCCAAATTTATCATTTTCAATTAGACATGAGTATTTCGCGTTGATCTTTTCGACATCCACCTTTTTGACACTTTGGCTCCTAAATTTGTGCAGTAAAATAAGGAAAAGTTTTCATATAACCAAAATATGTAAACTAGAACAAATAGAAGATATTTCTTTAACTTTTTTTACCGTTTTACAAATGGAAGATTTATTCTAGGTAAAAATGAATGAAGAAAAACCCACGAAATCCTCAAAAATACCACTTCTCTCACAGCATTCACTTCCCTAAACATCTTGTCAAATATTTCTTTAACTTTTTTTACCGTTTTACATTGAGCTGAGTGAATACAACCCGCTCCATCAGCGTACTAAATTTAAAAAAGATCAAAATTGAATGATTGAAAAAGATTACCTCACATTTCCCAAACTCTATCAAGACGATAAAATAAAGAACCAAAAAAAGTCGTTTCATTTTGAAGTTGAACTGAAATTTGAGTTTAACTGAGAGATTTGATGCTTTCGATGCTTTCGATGGTCAATTGACTGGAACATTGTTGATCACGCGAAAGGGAATACTCAAATTAATGTGTGTTTCAAAAAATTGTTGAGAATTATTTAAAAATGATGAATTGGAGACTGAAAAATGATTAAATTGTTTCAAGTTTCTAAATTTTGCATTATTTTTTTTTCCTTAGAATTATACAGTTTCATGATTTCTTTAAAAAATTAGGTTCCCAGCTAGAGTCTAAAATGAATTCTTGCATTTCTTAGTTGTCAGTTTGAGTGCTGCACTTACATGTGTATAAGAAAGTACTCAGATAAAATTGCTATGACAAAACTTGACGTCGTTCTTCTTGTTGAGTCCTCCTGGATTGAATTGTTCTTCTTGTTGAGTCCTCCTGGACGCTAAAATTTACTATTTATCTAAAGCAGATTATGCAATCAATTACGAAAAGTACATCAATAGATGTACTTGATTGTATTGTACATTTTAGATAGATTGTACAATAGACTTGCTTCCAAGTCTTCAATATCAAGAGGAACATGCTGTGAAGGAGTTGGCGTTGTGAATTAGAATTAGAGTTTGGAAAATGTCAGTTTGAGTACAGCACTTACATGTGCATAAGAAAGTACTCACATAACATTGCTATGACAAAACTTGACATGGTTCTGTTTGTTGAGTCTTCCTGGAAGTGCTTTGAATTTCTTTGTTTTAAAGCAAAAAAACTTTACATGATTCAAACGATTCAGTTTGCCTTACAATTGAGAATTCTGCTTTGCATTTTGTTGTCTCTTTGAACATTTTCAATTTCATCAACAAGTTCTCCAAAGTTTGCTTATCAATCATTGAAGTGATCAAGTGTTGCACAAGTTTATTCTTCTCTTCTCTTCTCTTAGCGTAAAGTAAGTACTAAACTTGTGGCAACCAAAGAACCAAAGTTCGCAAATATTATTTTATTTCTTGCTTTGTAATTCATTGCCTAACTTGCTTTAGATAAATAGTAAATTTTAGCGTAAAGTATACGCAATTCGATCCAGGAGGACTCAACAAGAAGAACGACGTCGAGTTTTGTCATAGCAACGTTATGTGAGTACTTTCTTATGCATATGTAAGTGCTGTACCTAAAAGGGACGTTTTCCAAGCACTAATTCACAACGCCAACTCCTTCACAGCATTTTCCTCTGTCAAAAACTGTCAAAAAAAAGCGCTTGGGAGTCTAAAATGCAATGTGAACCTTTATATACCAGAATTAATTCTACCGTAGTTCTCGGCTAGACTACGGTAAAAATTTCTCACCCTTTAAGAGCCAGCAAAAGACCGTTAAAGATATTCAGCTAAGCAACTGAAAGTTAATTAACGGTTATTTAAAGATTTTTTTCTCTTTCTTTTCACATCTTTGTGACCATCTTTCACATTAAGTTTTCCGCCTCTTCTACCCCTTCTTTACATGTTTTTTTCTTTTAATACTCTTTAACCTTGTTTCTTTCTCTAAAACAAGGAGATAAACTTGCTTTTTGTTTTACAAAATGAATACGAGCTTGTTTTTTATTCTCTTCGATAGTTTTTACGATGTTAAAGAGGTTATTGATGTCAATGTTGAGGTTCTCAGGCAAAATCTGCATTGATGATCTTATAAAAGGAATTGACTACGGGAAATTGTTCCTTATTCTGCAAAATGAAGCTTGACATTTGTCTGGCAGTAAAAAGATATTACTGTATTAGAGTGTCATCTTTCTTTTTTGCATTAAAAGGTCCGTTCTCTTTGTGCTCTCTGTGCGGCGGCGTAACCACTCGCTTTTTGGCACACAGCCTTTCCCAGATATCGCCACCATTCCCTTCTCTAATCAGCTTTGCGCAGAGGCGATAACGTGACCAATGAGGCTTAGCCGAGGTGCGTTTATTGCTGGTTGAAAACTGATACCAATTACCCGTCGCTTTCTGCCCTGAAATGTGGGTGTCAGCGCAATTTTTGGAAGGCCCTAGGGGCCAAAAAAGCCTTTATTTCAGAGATTTGGTCGAATGATTGCTGTACTTTGCTGACATTCTGATCCAATTATACATGTTGTCTCATCTCATAGCTAAATTCTTCATTCTACATATTCGTAAACACCTTGGCCTCAGCTAATCGCTTCCTGAAAAATCTAATGAAAAACAAAAAAGTAAAAGCCAAATGAAAACGAGCGGGTTTCGAACGCTTGGGGGTTGGCCTCTTATGTTGAGTGGTAGAATATAGTTTATATTGTGTTTTATGTATCTAAAAATTTCATCAATTTTTTACTTTTCTTTTAAAACTTAGGCCAAATTAGTGGAATCTCTTGGCTTATGGAAAATAAGAATAATTACATATTTGCTGTATTTTCCGTCACTGGTAGTTCAGTGGTAGAATATTGAATCGAAAAAGATTTATCTACACAAAGAGATGCGTCCCAAAATCCACTATTCTTGGAAATTCTAAGCAAATTTCCTGAACAAAGAACTCTGATGGCTTTGCTTGCATCGCTTAGTGAATGTGGAATCCATTTTCCAGCTTTATTGAGCTTGCCCAATTCATGCAAATGGTTTTCGGTTGTTTTATGATCACAATTAAAATATTCCGCAAGTTCATATGTAGTCTTTATCGGGTCACTTTCGATTATCTGCTTCAAATCGTCGTTTGTCCTCGTCCCAGATCTTCCAGACTTCCGTCACCCATTCGAAATCTTTTGAACCAGTTTTGACATTGATGAACAGTGATAACACCTTTCTCAAATACGTTACAAAGTGATTCATGCGATTCAGTTGCTGTTTTTTCATGTTTAAAATCGTACGGCAACAAATGCGAAGTCGAGATTTTGAGGTCATCTAGCATCTATAAGATTTTTTTAGTAAAATTCTTCAACTAGAAATAAAGAAAAGACGCGCAATAAAGCACAATAATTATATCTTTAAAACAGAAGAGATTGCGGTGGTAATGGTATCCACAGTGTTAAAATCCATAAAGAGAAACGCAAACGAAATTTCAATGTCGCCAACCTAATAAATGCACATCAAGGTTATTTGGAAGTCCTGAAGGTAAAAAGTCAAAAATTGGTTAAACAAGATTCGTAAAGCAATGGCAACTCCCCTGACTTAACTGTGTGTTATAGCACCATAAGTTCTTCACTCAAAAAGTTCAACTTTGTGTACTCGGGTTTTCCCACCCCCACTGTGTATTCGGGCTCGTTCAGCTCGCTCATATTCGATTCGTCGCATAAATGTTTGTGCCGAGCGTAATAGGCATTCGTGCAGTTCAACGAGCACTCGTAGTCCGATGAACACCTTTAGATTTAGCTTTCCGACTTTTTCTGGTGTAATTCATTATCAATGTTTTATATACGTACCTATCTCTACAAGGGTATATGTACGATCAGTTCATAGTCTGGAGTCCAGAATTGGTTCAGACTCGGGACCTTATGCCTACCCCAGGGTTGTGCCAAAAGCCCGGCTTGTTCACTTTTGTTTGGCCGGGCCTTCGTTGAAGTTATTTAAATCTTTATTTTGCTATTGTTCGTCCTAATTTAATATTTATTTCAAATTAACGTTCTTAACTGAATATTTTACGGACCCACTACCTTTTCCAAGCCGCCTTGACCGTGTCGCTTGGGAGTTTGCCCGGCTCGTGGCAATCCTTGTAATCTTGATTTGTCAGCTGAGTCTTGTAAGTGAATTTCTTTAAAATATCACTAAACTTGAAAGTATCCTCTGATAGTCTCTCTGATGCAGCCCCACCTTTTGCAGTTGCCTGTCTCGACCGCGCAAATGCAATCGTTGCAATCATCGGCCAGAGCTGAAGAGGCTAACTTTATCCCTTGTCACTATGAAGGCTCAACTCTATAGTCCGTGGCTTTTTCTCTTGATCTAATAATAAGTTATGGATAGATGTGTATTCAACCAGCTGCACCACTTCCCGAGAACTCTGTAAAAACACATTCCCTAATGATCAAGCAAACATACATGAAATCTTTGGTCGAATTTCCATGAGTATCAGGTCGATTTGTACGATCACATGATAAGCGGTGACGATTTTGAACGGCAGATCCGAGTCTCCATTGGCCACATCATCGAGACGAACGGGAACCGTTTCAACTCTCAAATTCTCTTTGATTGTCCTCACTTCTTCTTTTTCTTTGCTTGGGATTTCAAGCAACATTCTTTTAGAGTCAGTCTTCAGTTTCGCGAAGAAAAAGTAATTCGGACAATCTCGTTCCTCTTGCAACTCCATCTTCAGATTCACTAATACAGGAATCAAATCCTTGTCCTCTTTTGTGATATCGAACTTTTGCATTAGCTTAAAGAAACTCGAAAATAATGTCCTCAGCTTCTCATAGCTTTCGTTTTGCCATTGGTGTGATTTCACAAAGAGACCAAAATTTGTCAAGGCCTTGTTGATGTCAAATCGTTAGTGAATGAAGGGAAAAGCATCGCTTACGGCTGGGAAAAGCTGTGAATTCAGTTTTTTTCTCAAATTTTCCCCTCAAAATCAACGCAAACATATCTATATGAAAGCCGTAAAGATGCAACTCTTTTTTCTTTCTCAAATCCCAATTTGACAGCGAGTCTTCAAAGAGGGAATTCACGTTCAGATTGTGCGAAACGTCAGCGTCACTTTTGAGAAAAATGTACGGATCTTGCGAAAGCACGAAATATCCCGTTAAACCGAAACGAAATACCATAAGGATCCCGTTAAACCATTGTTTTTTATAGTAATTCTTTGAAAGCCTGTCTTGCAGATGTGCAAAGAGTTGTTCGGCATCCGATCTCAAGCTAGCTTGATCCGCTTTTCTATCAAGTGCCATTGACAAGTTCATAATATTTTTCAAAAAGTTTTTGTGAACCTGATGATAGTTCAACAACGATTTCCAATAATAGTCTGAACAATTGAATAAAAGACTTTTGTTGAAAGAGTTCTCAGGTGCTTTTGCCATATCGAAAAAGTAGGATTAGGTCATAAGCATTGTATGTGCAGAAATGGGTGCTCGACGAAACAATATGCTTGTAATAAGGCCATGCACATCGGCGCGAAATAAGGCAAAAATGCGTTTTCTATCTGATTTTTCCGGGAGTACCTTTTTTAGATGCGGAAAATTGTGCTGATTCCGAATCTGAAGGAATTTTTCAAATCCCCTTGACAGTTCTAGACCCTGATTGTCGAGTTACGAGCCCCAAACTGCAGGGTACCACAAAATTTCTCATACAAAATGACCAAAAAACCGCTAAAACTCAATTTAAAAAATTTCTGTCAAGGGGATTTGAAAAATTCCTTCAGATTCGGAATCAGCACAATTTTCCGCATCTAAAAAAGGTACTCCCGGAAAAATCTGATAGAAAACGCATTTTCACGCCGATGTGCCATGTCCTCTGCAGCAGTAGATGTCATCACAGTAATCCTTGCTCAAATAAGTAAAAATGGATTTTTATTTGTGAAGTTATTTTGATTTTGTATTTTCTTGAGTGGTTAACTTAAAGTTTAATAAGTTTGTGATTTTGCTTGTGATAATTGTTGTTGGTTTTGTTACAGATAAAGCATTGCAGGCAAACAAATCTGTTGCATTGCTCAACCTGAAGTTTTAAAATAGGAAAAATTATAGAATACGGTCGAATTTGCATTTAAACTGACCCATTCGTAAGGTTTCTCTCTTTAGAAACTGCCAATCACTTTCGGCTACGACATATATATATAGTATTATAATACAGTGCGCACAAACGGACAACCCTCAATTATATATAGTAGACAGATAATAAAATCTAATAGAATAAACTGTTGACCTGCACGGATCGGTCAGATCGGCATTGGCGACCGACTAGCATTCGGGCGATGGCTCCAATGCGTTCTCGAACGTGTTGAAAGCGCATTCAAGGGTCTGTTCGGCTGGAATTCGCTTTTACATTTCAAAAAAAGTGGTAGCTGATGTCATTGTTATTAGTTTCTCTAGCTTGGTATAATTTTTTCACTCTTTAGCATCGTTTTTTGTTTAAGCTGGCTAGGTAAGTATTCTTTTGATCCAGACTGTCGCTCACTGCCCGGCAAAGTCAATGGTTTAGCCATTTGGTTGTATGGGATGTGTCAATCTGAATGTATCGACTTGAAATTCCCCCCAGTCGATTCTCGATGTCGCATAGTCGAAACTCGGCCTGTAGGTCGAGGGTTCAGCTCCCTCTCAGTTTTTTTGAACAGCTGTTTTATAGTTGAAATTAATGAGAACGAGAGCAAAATGTTAAAGTATTACTACTCAATAAATAAAGAAAAAAACAGAAATTGTGAAGACATTTAAAAATAGCTCAAAGGCAAAACATAAAATTTCTTTTCAAACACCGCATCGATAAATGCATCGATATTCGATAATGAAAGTAATAACAAAGCGAAAAGACAGCATCAACGGACAAATTTCAAAAATTCTGAACAAATTTTGATTGTTTTCCGACTTTATGTGCAAATATTTTATATATAGATACTTTATTCAGGACATGAAATAAAGTGCGTAATATTTTAAGATTAATATGTCGTAGCCGATTATGAATGAAATTTTTTGGTAAATCTTTCTAGTAGAGCAACCCTTTAATGTATGAGGACAATATTATATCATCCTGTAGCGAATTAAATTCTGTGTCGATTGGTACCAAATTTGTGAGTTTAGGTTAAAAATTGCCGGCGCTACAACGTTTCATTCGAAATCGGCGGGACCCCCGTAGCCGATTATGAATGAGTGGGTCTAGGAGCGTCCAACCATCAAGTATTTGGTATCATTCAACGCAGAATCATTAATAATTATGTTAAATTTTTAAAATTAGAAAGATTTGATAAAAAGAAAAAAAATTAGAGCAAAAAAACTGTTTGTTCAAGAGGAAACTTTGAGGCCCCATAATTTTTTTCTTTTCATCAAATCTTGCTAATTTTAAAAATTCAACATAATTATTAATGATACTGCGTTGAATGATACCAAATACTTGATGGTTGGACGCTCCTAGACCCACTCATTCATACTCGGCTACGACAAATACACATGAACACGAAAAGGGCCGATAAAAAGCAACACGATAATATATGGGTAGCACAGATAACGTCAAGGATCCACTAGAATCCAAGAATCCACTTCAGGATCATCTACAGATAATTTAAATGAGAAATTATGTGCAAATGCAAATACCAATATGTGCAGAGATTTTAATTGAGATCCTTGTCAAATTCTTCAATAAATTCCTAAAAATACAGCTTAGCTTAAAAAAAGTCTCAACTCACCTTAATTTTCGTCTCATATCGACGCAAATGAGGCATATATTCTTCGGAAGTCGTCTCAAAACCCTCTTGAAACTTTCTAAATACGAATAAATGTTTAGAATCTATGATATTAGCAAATTTACCTGCATTCTTCCAATTTTTGCTCTAAATCTCCAAATTTTGAAGTGTCCTTGCAGATGTTTTCTTTCAAAACAAGTTTCTAAAACATTAAACTATAAAATCACAATTTAAAAAACTCACCTTTCCGAAATCCTTGATATTCTCCAAAACTCCTTTGTGCATTTCTGAAAACAAATCTTCATAAGTCTTGACCACACTCGTAGAATCTTTTTGGAGAGCATCGGACATCTCATGAGCCTAAACAAAAGATTCACCATAACCAGAAAGCAAAGCACCTCTTTTTCCATGAGCTTGATTTTCTCGTGTGAAGTGTGTTTTTCCATGAAGCAGAGGGTGCACGCCTAAACAAAGATTTTATTCTATTAATTAGCAACCGAACTGACCTTTGAATTGCACTCAACACAATGAAGCATTTCCTCAATGGCATCCTAAGCACAAAGATACTTTATATTATTTCTGCCTTATCTATTTTACCGTTCCCTTGCATTCATCACAAACATACGCGTTTCTCGGTCCTTCCATCTGACGTGTCAGTTCGGGTAACTCGTCCAAGAAATCTAAAATCCTAAATAAGTTAAAAACTAACAAACGCAAACCCTGAAATTGATCTTTCCATTCATCTCCGCTAAAGCAAGAATTGCGACTACAAATTGGGCAAGTAAATCCGTGTTGATAATCGTTTTTCGTATCTCGGTCATTTTGTTTTCGATTCTTCAAGTAGCATTCTGTGCAAATAGTGTGATTGCAATAGAGAGCGAATGATTTCTTTTCCTTGCTCTGATTCGAATCTAAACAAAGCATTATTGATACTCAGCACTAAAAAAACTAACATTCGTCGTGACAAATTGGACACTCAGGGATTTTTAAAGGCTAAATTAACATTTGTGTATTAATATATGCAGGAAAAAACACCTTGACAAGCACATATCCATCACCAGTAGAAGAAAGAGCCACCGCGTCTTCTTGGGATAGAACATCTAAAACAAAAACGAATAAGTAGGTTATTTCAAGGAACATACCGATAAGGTAAAAGACAAAGACGCAATTCGCAAAGCAATCCTCGTAATTACATCGATGTTTTCTTTCCTCTACCTGCAACGGCATCTCATTCTCGAAACATTCGTTGCACACCACCACTCCGCAACCCAGACTTCGTGGTGATCGAGGCTCATTGGCTTTTCTGGCAACTAAAAACTCAAAGTTAATAAACATTTTTAAAGATTATTTTGTTAGCTAACAAATGAAACATTAAACTTACATGGTTCCTTGCAAAGAACACAATTGAGTGATTGAAAGACCTTCATTTCCTGAAAAATAAAAGTAATGTAAGTGAAAAAAATGAAATCCAGTAAGTAACTTGAGTTACATTTACATTTACAATACATTTACAATATGATGCAGAGTAGGGAAAATATGGCGAATCTGGGAATGAGCAAAAATCGATTTATTTCGATAGGAAACGATCCAGAATGGGTCAAAAAAAGACAAATTTAGGCGTCGCTCAACAATTTTTAAGGAAAAGAAAACATTTTGTTGCGGCATTGCGCATTGGCATTGCAAAAAAACAAAGGACATTGAGATGCATATGTTTTTTATTTCTTAAACTTCTTGCAAAATAATCGCTCTCACAAAAACGATCTTCCTGCAAGCGAATTAAATAATAAATGACAACTGAAATGCTTAGAGAAGAACTGTTGCTTGAGTATCTTTAACTCCGTAATTTAATAAACTACGGTAAATTATCCATTATTTCGAATTTACACTTGCTTTAGTGACTGCTGTTGCAAAGTGTACAAAGTCGTCTAAATGTCGTAGCCGATTTTGAATGAAATTTTTTGGCAAACCTTTCTAATCAAACAAACCTTTAATGTATAAGATTTGTTAGTTAACGAAACAATCTTTAAAAATTGTTTTTTAACTTTGAGTTTTTAGTTGCCCGAAAAGCCAACGAGCTTCGATCACAACGAAGTCTGGGTTGCGGAATGGTGATGCGCAGGATAAGTTCTGACTCAAGTTAGCTTATTTGAATGAGCTGAAGTCAACTTCAAGGCTTAATTCGAGTTTCAGATTCTTTTTACCCAATGTGTCATTGCACCAAAAACGAGATCACCTTGTGCAATGACATCTCCATTGATATTGGCCAAGTTCGAATCCAATCGGATACATTCCAAGGAGCCAATTCGGTTGATAGATATTGTGAATAAATGACTGAATGAGAAGTGATACGAGAGCTTGTGAAAAAAGTTACAAATTTTTCAGGTATTTGTGGCTATTTTCGGCACTGTGATTTGCGTCCGTTTTCAGTGCCGAAAAGAATTAAAAAGTAGGCTATGGCGTTCGTGTGACTTTTTTTCGGCACTGTTAATATGTGCAAAAATTTTTGCATACTGAAGTTGCAAAAACTTCTTCCCTTTTAACCATGACAAAAACTTGTAGTTGCGCTAAACTGTTTTTTAAAAACACAAAAATTCTAGCTTTATAGAAAGTTTAAATGCAAAATTTAGGCCTTCAAACATGCCAGAAAATTTTGAAAATTTGCCAGAATACTGTAAATACTGTAATTGAACGCTATGCAAGTGTACAAGTTGCGTTTTAAATGTAAAAATTTTTATTTCTTCTTGAAAATTACTCGCATTTAGCCTCTTTTTAGCATACATTTTGTTGTTTTAATCTTTTCCTGCTTATTATATTATTATAAGTATTAATTTTATTTTTTATTGGGTTGGGGAGAATGAGTCGGCGCCGAAGATCAAAAAAATTTCTAAAACTTCTAGCAGACTTCGTCAAATGATACGTGTTTGACATCAGTAGAAAAGTTAACTAATTCTCTACAAAATGACATTTAAAAGAAAACTCAAACATCGTCTCAGCTCAAGAAAAGGTCATCTTTCCACAAAAACTACAAACTGTCATCTAGAAAAAACAATTGGTGGGATCTTCCTGCAAATTTGGCAACTTATGTAATTGAATGTGCTCTATCTTTTTTATATAAACACCAAAGAAGGTTTATGTGAAAGAAACTGTTCAAACGATGAGTCGGACTCTTTGCCATTTTGACTAGCTGTGTTTGGGAGTCCATAAGCTCCACGAAAGAAAAGCTTTGTGGAATCGCTGAAAAGTCATTTTGTAGAGAAATAGTGGATCCTTTTGATGAAACCAAACGTATATTTAAAGAAGGCTTTATGTGTGCAAAAAGTGTCTTTCAAGTTTGGCGCCATTTCATTCTCCCCAACCCAATAGATATGAATCTTGATGGAATGGAGGAATTTCGGGCTCGTCGCGAACATGAGAAAAACGAGGAATTCTTCAGGGAAACGTATGATGAGCTCACCGAGCAAGATGCCAATGAAAACTCGGTCAACGCTGAACCTGAGGGATCTGAGCCACCTAAAAAGAAAAAGAGGAGAGCCATCGATATGAAGATGGCTGCTGCAAAGATGGCCAAGGATGTTTTTTTGCAAAGATGCAAGGCCAAGGATGCAAAGATGGCCAGGCCAAATTTTTTTATATTTTTAAAAGCTTTAGCTCAAGCCGGCTGCTCGACCAGAACCTCCAGTGATTCTAAAGCACACGATGTTGATTCTACCAGCTGGTACTACCAAGGTTGGTTCTCTTTCGGACTCGGCAGCTCGGAGGCCAGAAACTTTTGTATGCTGTAAAACGCCAAAAATGTTTTGTTCTCAGATTGACGGTCCCTCGTGGATGCCCACCGACATCACCCCATTTGATCCGACTTTTTCCGAGGACTCTGTCCCAGGTGTTTCTTTCTTCTCATCTACAGTCTAACTAGTCACTAATGTGATTTTGTTTGTAGATCATCTTTTTTGAAAGCTGACAAAACGCTGAAATGAAATCAAAGGCTTAAAACTCGATGGCTTTAGCATTTCATCATTAGTGAGGGAACGGAAACAATCTAAGCTCTCATTTTTGTTTTCAGAAGAAATCTTCCCTGTCGATATTCAACATTATCCCACCGATCATGACTACGAATTCGTGAACGACGACGACGACGATTTAATCAGTGTTGAGGAAAAAGAAGGGATCAATCCAATCGAGAATCTCTTCAATGAGAATGTCTTGTTGGCTCAGGTGATAAACAACAACACTCAACTAAAGATATATTTCTAGAGTTTCCCGTTATTTGGTTATTTATTGGGAGCAGCAGACGGAGCAAAATGCGATGACCAAGTGGCGGTGATCGATCAATTCTGCACTCAACTTCAACAAGCCACCATCGATAGTGATCTTCTCACGTTTCAAGAGGAAAAGTACACTTTTTGTGAATCTGTTGATATAAATCTGTTGCCTGGAGCGAAACTCAAACGAGGCCTTCTTTGTCAAATTTCAGCATTCTTCAAGAGAATTTCCTAAAAGATGCACCTTCTCTTCTGAGAAACTCTTTCCACCAATTGATGAGACAAATTATCACGCCAGTTGGAGAATTATCGCCAGTTGAACTATCGTTTCAAGTGAATCAGGTAGAAAGTTTGATTTTGAAGTGATCAAATGCTTTACTTACCGTATTCTCTCTATTCTCCCTATTCCTCGTACGTACGTACGTACCAATAGAGGAAATAAGATAATCGGAATTTTTCAGGAAATCGTCAAACCAATTCGCGCATGTGTATCGTATTTGGTGAAATTCTTGCAAAAAGGCACCAATTTTTTGGCGTTTGAAGAGGAGATGGGAAAAAAAACGATTGATAATATTCTCGAGGCGGGAAACATTTCCCTCCATTACACACCAATAGTATCTTTTAAGGGCAAAAGAAACCGGGTTTTTAGAGATGTGCCGAGAACACATTTTTTTCAAACCAGGCCAGATCCTGGTTCCAATCCTGGCTTTTTGGGCATAACCCTGATGATTAGGTTCCATAAAAATAACATTTTGAGCAAAACAACAGATATCTTCTTCAGAATTTGACAACAATCCTCAAGGAAAAGGGCCGTTTTCTATATGATTGGTGTGAGCAACGAGTGAGTGAATGGGATCATGAACTTTACGTGAACTTGTTTACAATTCACAAGAAGTCTTTCCAATTGACGGTTGGAATCATCGATTTCTTGAGATTGTTCAAGCTGTTTAGAATTTGATGAAATTGTTCCTGATCGGAGCCAAATGTGAGGGAGATTTTGACGAGATTCGAGATTACATTGATGACTTCAAAATAATGAAAGGAATGATCGAAGAAATTGATGAAAAAGTGGAAGCATCAAAGAATCTTCGTTTCATTGAAGAAGTTTTAGTTTCGGTCAGACTTTGCCTACCTCGACTTTCTTCATCATCAAGTTCCTGAATTCGATCGCAATGTTGCTGAGATTGACTTAGAGGAGTTATGCTATAAGTTGGGAAGTAAGAAATGGTGAGTGTATGCAACTGCTACAAATAGGGTATTTGAAAATATCAACAGTCTTTGGAAAGATACCTCGAACCTATCAAATAAACATAATAGAGAATAACTTGGATGAGAGAAACGAAATTTGGCAAATTTCATCTAGAGAAAATTGAGTTTCTTTAAAAGTCCGATTTTTTGACAGCTCACGGAGAACTCGTCTCTGGGCTAACATTTTAATTCAAGGAGCGACACAGACGAGTGGATTAATCACTCGTCTCTGGGCTAACATTTTAATTCAAGGAGCGACACAGACGGGGTACACTCGTCTCTGGGCTAACATTTTAATTCAAGGAGCGACACAGACGAGTGGATTAATCACTCGTCTCTGGGCTAACATTTTAATTCAAGGAGCGACACAGACGAGTGGATTAATCACTACTGGCTTCTCAGTTTCTCCGTTGACAATAATCACTTTGATGTTGATCCCAAGTACACCCATGTGTGCGAATTACATCGAGAGACCGGCAGAATCTATGTGCTTCATCGACGAAGCTTTCATCTAGGTAAGAAAAGGGAGATTATGTGCAAATGCAGAATAAAGGATAACTGAAAGATTCTCTTAGCACAAGATCCTCCACACTTAAAGGCCACCTGGAATAATTGGCATGGAGATGAAATGAAAACGGTTGATTTTGCTGTCAGAGATGAGTGAGATGAGCATGTGATCGAAGTCAAGACTGATTTTCTTTCAGATGCAACGGAATTGATGTGGTAAACATCACGCTAAAGCAACTAATTGATCAGTGTCACATAAAGGCTCGTTTGGGTGCCAAAGAGTGCAAGGTCGGTTAGATCGAGAGAGTTCTTAGAAGAAAGTTCTTTTTGTAAATGTTTTTGAAGCCAGCTCATCTCAGCAGTGACTCAAAGCCTCATTCAAAGGCTGACTATTTCAGACAGTGATCACCACCGGTCAAATGGACTTCTGTTCCTTTGGCGAACACCCAAATGCGGCCGGGCGAGTCATTCGAATGTTCAATCGAATAAGCATTTTTATCGGATTTTAGAAAATCAACTTGTCATAAATGAACTTGTTAAACGTGTCACTTGTATTTGTGCATTAAGTGCGTCTAATTTTTGTTTCAATGAGGATGCGTATTTGAAAGTATTGACATTGCACAACATCTAAAACTTCAAAGGGATTCTTTCGTTTTTTTAGTTTCACATTCAAATTCAATTCTTTCTTCTTTTGTTAAAATAAGCAAATGCGATACTGTTCGGCTTTTTTTTGACATCAAAGCTTTTGAAGCAAGCCAATTCACGAGCCGATTCATAAAGAAGAAAGTTCTTTTGTAAAGTTGAGCTCAACATTTTACTTTTTCTGATTTATGAAATGAGTCTTATCTTTTTGAAGCTATAAAACGGAAATTTTAGTTCAAATTTGCACTGGAATGTGCTTTTTTGAACACGCTAACCAATCAAACTCAGCCGAGAGAGTTTTTTGAGTCAAATTTCCCGTGATGGCGACTTTTTGAGTGCTAATTAAGACGATAAGCCTTACTACAAAGAAAAACAAAAAGAAATTTTGATTTTGGTTGTGTTTTTGAGCAAAAACATTTCTGTGGGAACCACCAAAAGCAACCGTAATCGTCGCCAGCGATGACTCATCGGGGATTCCTCGCGTAAGCAAGACATTCACATTCCAATTTGCTTTCGTTTTCCCAAACAAAATTTACGATTTCTCCATCTACACTTCAACCTATTCCTCAAATGCTTCAACCTATCTCGATCTTTGCATTTCCCAGTTTTCCCGGAGAGCTTCGAGAGAAAATCCTTCAAAAAGTCGATGTCAAAGCTTCTCTGAAGTTGCTCAAAGCCAGCAAAACGACAAGAAACTATATTTTGAAGAACTCGGTTTTTGGAAACGGCGTCCATTTGATCAAGATCAAATTCGATACTCTCGATCTCGAGGGGAACCATCTTCGAGCCTGCTCGATAGAGTTTATCATCAAGAAGAACTCTGAAGACAGATCCTATTATTTTAACGTCAATCAGCAGTTATATACGGCTGATCCAAAGTTATTCAAAAATATAGGTGTGGTTCGAGTATTCCATATTGAGAATTCGTACGACTACTACAAAAGCAACGAAATGCCAAAAGAAAAGTTTCCGGAAATCGCCGCACATTTCGCAAATCTGAAAGTTGTACGCGTCATGAAAGGGCTCGGTCTATTTTGTCCCCTAGTGCAACAAGTGATTTCCCTGTTTCCTTTTCAAATCCTCGACTTCATAAAGTTTAACTTCAAAGAATGCCGTGTTCAAGTCAAAACGATAACCGATTGGCTCTTCGAGCAAGGCAAAAATTGTCGTTTGTTTCTTCTGGTGAACTTGGATAAGGCAGAGGTTTTCTTTGAGGAGTTCCAAATGGAGAAAGATCCACAAAAACTTAGTGACATTTCGCGAGATCTGAAAGAAAAGGCAAAGCTGAACATTGAAAGCTTTACATGTTACAAGAGGAAACTGACGAATGAAGAGGTGGGCCAGATTATTTTGGCGACTGAGCGAGAGATCGAGTATGATGACGACTATACGATCTCCTGTCGTGATGTGGACGGATGGTCGAATTGCAGTGATTGATTTCAATGTTGAAGACTATTTTTGGTGTTGTTGACTAAATTGTTATGTCAAAACAAGGAACACTCAATGAAAACACTCCATATACAAACCAAAACCACCCTAACAAGCAGTTTAGTCGAGAAAGACTAGGGCTCGAAAAAAAGCGACAAATGTTTTTTTTTGATTGAATTGTAGGAAAAGTTGGGTTGTCAATTAGAAGAAACTGAACGCCGAACCTAGTTAGTGACCTAGTTAGTGACTCTGTTATTGACTCCGTTAGTGGATTTGGCTTTAGATCACCAAACACATCAAAACCCACACAAAATCAGCGTTAACGGAGAGCTCAAGAACAAAAAAATCATAGCCAGACAGATATAATAGCTGTGGACTTCTCTCGTTCTTAACTTTTATATCTTCTTTTTATTCGAAGTGCTGCATGGTTCACATATGTTTGCGTTTTGAACGAAAATTAAGTGAGAGAAAGGAAATCGATCGAAATCGAAAAGGGTCACTCATGATTCTTTCCCAAACAAACACTTTCTCCTCTTCGTTTTTTACAGGGTACGGCAGGATTATTGCAATATTATTTATTGAATTTAATAATTGGAAAGCTTCAAAATTTCACATGAGTTCTTTACTATTGCTTTTCAATGTTCTTGGAGTTTTAAGCCTTGATGCTAAACTTGAAGATTAATTGAAACGTATAACTTGCTAGATATTATCTAAAGTGATAAAAGCACGAAAAAAGGTTAATTAACACAAAAAAAAACAGTTCGAGAAATGTCTAACGGATTTGGTGGTTAACCCAGACTTCTTAAGGCGGGGATTTCCTATTCGGCATTGTTTGTCTAATGTCTAATGTCTAAGCGTTCAAAAATTCCGAAAAACACTATTCTAGGGTCAATTTTTTTTCCGCTCTTTAAAGCTCAGTTTAAAATTGATTCGAAGGGTCTGCGATAGATAAAAATCGCTCTGAAATGCACACAAATTTTTACTCCTGATTCAAGCCATTAAAAATCGTCTCAAATTTTTGCATTCTTAAAAGTCTTATAGTGTATCTTGTAGAGCTAAAAGAGAGCTTTCAGAATCTCTATGGCAGATGCTTGTACGATGACAAGACAAAATGTTACAAGCCTCCAAAGAAGGGACACTTTTTTGGAGAGGTTATAATTTATAAAACACAAAGTTTTTGCGGGGTATCCCCCGCAAAAACTTTGTGTTGTTGAAGAGTAATCGGAAATAAATATTATAGATTTTAAAACAAACTTTTGCAACATATAATTTTGTTTTAAGGTTTCTGAGACTACCCTTGTAGTGACTGGCTTTAAGGCAGCTGACACTGGTTTAGAGTTAACACTTTAAGTAACGTTGAGTTGTATTTAAGTTTAGATTGTTTTATTCTTTATTCGATTGCTTTATTTGCCATTTCTTGATCGGTTCGCCCATGATGAGATCGGTCATCAAGGTGGCCATCTCGAGGCTTTTTCGACCCGTTTCGATCGCTTGCATGAACTTCCAGCCACAAGTGTCGTTTTTGAATGGTTTCACCAGAAGCTAGAAATATGTAGCTGAAAAGAACACTCACTATTACAGTGTTTACGGTAAGTAATCTATAAATGGAAAAATAGAAGAACCGGTCTTTTTTGGTCTACGGGACAAAACTATACTCCCCTCGCCAAAAAAAAACGAGTTTCGAAAAAACTATCAAGAACTAAAACTTTTGATTGTTATCTTTAGATTCAGAACATCAAAGAAACCATGTTTTTGGAGGGGTTTGTTGATTAATTTGTATACAATTCTTAAATTCTTAATTTAAAGAACGGCTACAGTAGACATGGGTACGATCGGTCGTTCTTTGCGCTCCGACGTAAACTGAATCGATCTGGCACATTTTTCTTTCATTTTTCTCGCAGTAGCAGTTTGGTATCGCGAGAAAAATTGGGATTTCAGTGTGCCAGATCAATTTAGTTTACGTCGGAACGCAAAGAACGCCCGACCGTACCCATGTCTAGGCTACAGCATATTTATAAGGATCATAGGGTCTTGGCTAGTTTGTATCGGATGAGCACGTATTTTAAAGGCTTTAAACTAGCGTAGTGTCTATTGATAAAAAGTCTGTAATATACCGTAAATCCTCTATTAGACCGGCACACATCCGCGCGAAATAAGGCGAAAAATGCGATCACCGTTAAATTTGCTCAGGATAAGTGCTATTCAATGCAAAAAAAATGCCCTGAATCCGAGTCTGAAAGAATTTTTAGAATCCGTCTGACAGATCTTTTCTAAATCGAAAAAAATCAAAAAAACCGCTATTTTTCCATATAAACGCCAAAATGGCTTCTCTTTTACAGGCCAGTTCTTGGCGAAAAAGAAATTTTGGTGAGTTTCACATACCAAACTTTATGCTCAAGGGTCTTGAGCACATTTTGACACCAAAAAGAGATCAATTGGATGCATCTGTGAAAAGTTGATGCCTTTTGAACGCAAAAGTAGCGTTTTTCAACTTTCTGTGCGCTAAAGCGTGGGTAACTACCGTAACCATTACAGAAATAAAAACAAAATAATAAAACAAACAAATGTGTTTTCATTTTCTTCACTTTTTTCTTCAAAATTTTGGCTCTTTTTTTATCGTTTACATAATTTTGATTACAACTAATGATTTGTATTTTACAGGTAGAGAAATGCCTCAAATCAATACGAAACAGAAGACGGGGAAAGAAACTTATCGCATTAGGACGTCAGCAGAAAACGATCGAAAAGTTAAGAAGGAAAAAAATGGGAAAAGTTCGACTAGCCAAGGCTCTCAAGGAACAAAGGAAGCGATCAGCTCATGCTAGACAAGTGTTGCCTCTCCATATCGCCAACAATATTCGTAAACGATATTCTCAAAGAAACGTGTCTCCGAAGCATGGTTTGGCAGTCCTAGCGTCTATTTCTCCAATTCAAACGTTGGCACTTTTTGCTAAATCCAAAGTGACGAGAGATGCACACAGAGCATATGAAAAGGCCACAGGAATTTTTCCAAGTGATTATCGTCTACAAGAGTTAAAAAAGAGGTTTTGGTCTAACGTTGAATATGTGTTCTCTGGAGGGAATATCAAGTTAAAGAATGTGCTTCAAGCTCAAACTAAAAACTCAAAGTTAATAAACATTTTTAAAGATTATTTTGTTAGCTAACAAATGAAACATTAAACTTACATGGCTCCAGAGAACACAATTACAATTGAGCGATTGAATTGAGCGATTGAATTGAGCGATTGAGCGATTGAGCGATTGAGCGATTGAATTGAGCGATTGAGCATTGAGCGATTGAGCGATTGAATTGAGCGATTGAAAGGCCTTCATTTCCTGAAAAATAAAAGTAATGTAAGTGAGAAAAATGAAATCCAGTAAGTAACTTGAGTTAACGCCAATACATTTACAATATGATGCAGAGTAGACATTAAACAAAATCTGTTTTCGGAAGAAACATAAAAGTAAAAAGAAATTTCACAAACGAGCGTCAAAATTTATCCGTATCTGAACAAAACTTAATTCGCCTATAATAGGATTCGCATAAAATTTCAGATAAGTACCGTAATTACTCCAATAGACGGTATACATTTCTAGTGCCCTCCCCAAGGGTCCCCATTGCCAATGGCAATGGCGACTTTGAATAATCTGTGACTTTTTTTCAAAAAAGTGTCCCCATTTGTATTTTGGGGTTTTCTCTTTACCAGTTCATCCGATTTGCACATTCCTGGTACCATTTGACTCGTAATGAGTTTCTCTATTGAATGAAACTAAAACTCGAAAAATCGGGTAAGCCGATCACGAGGAACACGCGTTCAAAGTCGCGATCAGCAGCTGCAGCTGTTGCCTATTTCGATAATGTATAGCATAGCTAAGTGTTTCAATAATTGCTTAATCGAGTCAATAAAGTACTACCAGAATCTAAATTCGCATATTCAAAAAAGGCATTTGAAAATATTCCAGCCACGAATGACTTCTGGCTTAATGAAAGTTTTAGAAACACCCGAAAAACTCCACTCGACGATTGGGTTACATATTGCCTTAGGCACGTGACGGTGTATTTAAATCCTATTATTTAGTTTTAGAGGGGCATTTTCAAAAAAATCCTACAAGTTTGAGCAATGATATCTTTACAAAAAGCAGATAAAAGCCCAACCGCGCCCAAAATAAAAATTGTTTTTTGAACTCTGAAAGGCCAGAAGCACTAAATGATTTCATTCTTTGACCGTTCTTCAAGTGATAACCATTGATTTCTCGCTCTTTCGGCAAAGCTGAGAAACGGACTCTTTGCTCATTTGAAAATGTTGTTTCCAATTCTTCTGCTCTTGTTGAATGTGGTGCATGGAGATGATGTGACATGTCCTCAGAATTTCACTTACAATCCCGATCTTCACACTTGCTTGTTCTTCGTCAGTGAAAGTGAGTGATTAAGAGCTAGCTCTCGTGATAAATTAAAGCTATTTTACTCTAGTCGAAACTTTCAAAATTCTGCGTTGCAAACAGATTAATCCTTTGTTTGTTGACTTTTTCAAATTTAACCCGAGATCAGGGTCCAGAAGTGGGTGATTCCTTTTGCAGATTCCCTTTGCGTCCAATGCTTCTTTATCAAACTCATTTCCCGTTAGAGCCGCTGGGTTATGGAACTTGCTCCCAAATGACATACGAGAAATTCAGTCACTTTTCATTTTCAAGAAACGTTTCGATGCTCTAGATCTAACGGCTCTCTCTCGTAGATAATCTGACTATTTGCATTTCATTATGTCTTGTATTATCTAGTATCGCTGTACATTTCTCTATCATTTTCTTTGGCTTTCACTTTATCATCAGAATAAAGTATCATTATTATTAAGAAAACTGCATTAAATCATCTTTTGCGATAATTCTAATCGAGTTTAAGTAATTTTTCGGTAATTTGACTAGTTAATAAAGATTGAAACTCTGAAATTTTTTGTATTTTGTATCTACGACAGTGTATTGACAGGAGTTAAGATTTTGAATAGATTTAGGTAAAAAAAGAAGTACAATGTGCTAATTTTACATGATCGATGCACCAATGCACTAACAAAAGATCTTTAGCTAGAGCCCAAACAAAAGTTTTCCGAAAATGTGCAATTTACAAAATGTTTAGCGGTATCGTGGGATGTGGCTCATGAGGATTGCTTGGCTCGTGGCGGTTTTCTCATCTCGATTCACAACGCTTTTCAGAATGCTCTCATCGCTCAAATCACCCTCGGTGAGGCGTTTTTCGTTTTTCCTTTGCATTCCCATCGATTCGTTACTTTTCCTTAGATTCAGGTTGTTCAATGACATCTTAGTGATTCGACTACGGAGATTTCAAATCTGCTGTTACTTTTATTTGATTGGCTCGACAGATATTTGGCATCCACGTTTTTGGGACTCTCAATAGCATTCTCAATAGCATTCCCCTTTAAATAAAATTAGAATGTGAGACTGAAGACTTGTTCAAATTTTAAAATGAAATATCAAGCCTGTAATTGAGAGCTATTCTGGAGAAATGGTTGAAATCCAAATTTTTGAATCGATCCGATGGTTTTGGCCTTGTCTCTTACATCATAACTTTCATTCGTAGAATTATAGACACAATTGGACAAACGGAAAGTTGGCTCGGCGTGCACTTTGACGAGCAAAATCCGGCTTGGCGCTGGTCGGATGGTTCGACTTTTGACTACAATCGCTTCGTGCAACCGGGTGAGCTTCAGATACGGGTTTGAAAGTCCATTTTGATGCAAAAAATCACGAATAATCTTTGAACAAACACACGCAAAGTAAGAGCTAAGAAATATAGGGCAAAGCAAAGCAAAGCAAGGCAAGGCAAAGCATATTTTTGAAAAGCAACCAAATGTAAAAAGATTTCAGTAGCCAATTGTGCATTGGTTGACTGCGATTGTGCCTTTTTGCTCAGCGACGATCAGGACTGGAGAAATACGGCTTGTTCCGACAAACACGTCTATCTCTGCGACGCTCCCCCGACAATCAACGAGTTGAAATCAAATTAATAAATAAATTTGAAATTATCGTAGCATTTCAAGTCATTTCAAGGCTTTAGAAGTCATTTCTGCCTAGTTTTGGTGTTTTTTTGCTTCTTGTTTGTCCCAAATTTCAGCCAAACCATTACATTCTCTGTAAATACAGTACTGGACAATGAAATATCATATTTGAAAAAACACTTTCGCACTTTCGCGCGTCTGTAACTCCCTTGTCTTTGAGTTTAAACTATTAGTGTTATACATTTTCTGAAAGCTCTTTTCAACGGCTACACAATGGTAATATTAATATTTAGAAATACGCTAAAGACAAGGGAGTTACGGGAATCCTAGACACTTACAATCCCGATCTTCACACTTGCTTGTTCTTCGTCAGTGAAAGTGAGTGATTAAGAGCTACAGTAGTGAGTGATTAAGAGCCGCGCGTCTGTAACTCCCTTGTCTTTACCGTATTTCTAAACAATAATATTACCATTGTGTAGCCCTTGAAAAGAGCTTTCAGAAAATGTATAACACTAATAGTTTAAACTCAAAGACAAGGGAGTTACAGACGCGCGAAAGTGACGATCGTTTTTTCAAATATCATATTTCATTGTCCAGTAGTGTAAATCATATACTCAGTGAATTTATCAAAAATAACCCTCCACAAACTTTCAATATAATGCAATAATATGATTTTTCAAAAAAATTCACTCATAATTGACTAATGAGCGCTCTCCATATTGACAAAAAGATCCCCTATTTCTCTTGAATATAATTAGAGGGGCATTCAAAAAATTTTTGTATGATAATTCAAAAAAAAGACTTTGGCTTTGCCAGAGGGCTTTGTCTTTGCTAAAGACCTCTTTTAAGTTTTAGAGAAATAAAATGTTCTCATAGAATCTAAATTGCAAAAAATAACAAGGATAGAGATTTTGATTGCAAAAAGATTTCAATCTTTCCCCATTCATCCAAAATTCACTTCTGAATGTGCTTTTTAAACAAATTTCCATTGTATTTTGATTTTTATTTTAACTAGGGAAATGATAATCACAAAAGTATAGTAATTATTGTAAAAAGTTTATTCACTTAAATGCAAATGATTGATTTTATGGACTAAATCCTCGATGATCTCCATGTGCTCCAGGCGCACCAGGCATACAACCACCTTTCACACATTTCGCAATCTAAAAAATGAATATTTATTTGTATACAATGTTAGCTATTTATTAGATACTGTATTTTCATTTATTTTTCAAACTTTGGGGTAGGCTACTTTGTGCCAAATTTTTTGCGCAACTGGGTTATTTGTGCAACTGGGTCGTTTGCGCAACTCGCCATAACTTTCTTCTAAGTGGGCCAATCTTTATGATTTTGGTTTCATTTTGTAGATCTCAATAAGTGCAACAAAATGATACCAAAATCATAATTGGCCCACTTAGAAGAAAGTTATGGCGAGTTGCGTAAACGACCCTATTGCGCAAATGACCCTGTTGCGCAAAAAATGAATTTGGCGCAAAGTAGCCTACCCCACATTCACGACTACTAATGACGATTATTTTTAGTGAAAACTCAAGTTTTGTTATTTATTTTGCAAGAAAGTTCTCGGTAAATTCGCCGTTTTTCAAGAGAAACTTTAGAGCCATCGAATTGTAAATTCTAATAGTTTAGTTTATTTTTTTTTCCATCAATGCTCAATAAAACAGTTATCAACTATGCGAATGCGTTAAAACAGACTTGTTAGTAAAACGGATACTTGTCATCTAGAAGAAAAAAATTTTGCTTGTTAGACAAGGCCAAATCCGTGAACGAGGCAATTACATGAAATTGTGATTGTCGACTGGTCGACTTAGAAGAAAGTTATGATGAGTTGTGCAAAAGATCTAGTTGCCCAAAAATTTGGCGCGAAGTAGCCTACCCTCTTTCGGGTTCCGGTAATCTATCCGCGTTATAGTGTGCCATAAACCAGGAACTACATTTTTATTTTCAAAAGGTTATAACTTTTTATAGGGTTGATCAATTTTTATGCTTTTGGTATCAAAAGATAAAGAAAAGTCCGTAGAATAAAACTTGTGGTTTACATTTTTGTTTTAGGCTTTTGTTTCCAAAAGTTTGCTCCAACAATAAAATACGGCTGAAATTTAACACAGTAAAACCACTAAAACTCGATTTTTAAAAAATTTGTCTAAGGGATTTCAAAAATTCTTTTATTTTCGTATTCAGCACTTTTTTGTGCGTCAATCGGCTATTCAAACGTAAAAATCCTATCGAAAACACATTTTCGCGCGGATGTGTACCCCCAAACTTTAAAAGCTTTACATAGATATCGACTCCAGGTGGTTGACAGCAAGCGCTTCCCTGTAAAGGTTTTCATTACAAATTTTCTTTTATAAAAACCAGTTTACAATCGGATCGTCCATAGCAGCCTTCACCGTCTTCTTTCTGAACGGAGAAACTTTTGAGTGACTCTTTGATAAGTCTTCATTTTGTTTGTTCACATTTTAAGTATATGTTGCTTCTTTTTTTTGCATGATAGGTTAACTCTTTGATAAATCAACAGAATAGATCCTGGTTATATTGATGTTTATATGTTAATCGATCAATGATTTTCAGAGTTTACATGTCAGATTTTCATGATTGAACCCTTAAATGTTATATCTTTTAAAACCAACCACCATGTGCACGACGGTGATCATCAGAAGGCAAAAAGTTAGAAAAAGTACAAATTTCATGTTTCGAATAGGAAATCAAGAAATCAAAGCCAATTTTGACAATTTTATTGAGAACTTTTTAGTTGTTTATCTGTTTTCAAGAGATAATGCTTCATTTCCTTGTTCAGCGAAAGATTGAGAGCGAACGCTTAGAAAAAATGACCTAGCAATAAAAAAAATGATATTTCATCAAATTTGATATTGGATTTAAATCCAAAAAGATATGACGTGAGATTGAGAAATTAAAGGAAAGAAATCAATAAATGTTATCCATGGCGTCGGGTGTTCTCGGTGCGACGGCGTAATCACGCACTTTCTGGCCCAAGCCCTTTCCCTATACCCTTCCCTTTCCTCCCTGAAATCAGCTTTGCGCAGAGGCGATAACGTGACCAATGAGGCCTAGCCGAGGTGCGTTTATTGCTGGTTGAAAACTGATACCAATTACCCGTCGCTTTCTGCCCTGAAATATGGGTGTCAGCGCAATTTTTGGAAGGCCCTAGGGGCCAAAAAGTGCGTTTATTTCAGAGATTTGTGGGAATCTTTGTGTGAGTTTTCTGGACTTTCTGATCCATTTGCGTGATAAAAGAAGTTTTAAAATCTATATTTTCTTATTTTGTGAATGTTGCTAACAATCTATGACCGATCGTGCGCTACAAAACAAAAACTCAACCGACGATTCAATCTCTGAAAAATCTAGGAAATAAACGCACTTTTTGGCCCCTAGGGCCTTCCAAAAATTGCGCCAACACCCATATTTCAGGGCAGAAAGCGACGGGTAATTGGTATCAGTTTTCAACCAGCAATAAACGCACCTCGGCTAAGCCTCATTGGTCACGTTATCGCCTCTGCGTAAAAGCTGATTTGAGGGAGGAGAGGGAATGGTATAGGGAAAGGGCTTGTGCCAGAAAGCGCGTGATTACGCCATCGCACTGAGAACAAATCGAACAGCAAAGAGCCTTTTGATATTAGTGCATTAGTGATACCCCCAGGCAATCCATTGTTCTCATTCCCGAGTTGAGAGGAAATCAATTCTTTGACAACCTTGGATTTTCTGTTTTGATCAGTTTTACCATTTGTTTGCTGTATATTATGTGGTCAAAATTTCTAAGGAAATCTCAAAAGAAGAAAGGCGAAATTTGTTCGATCAATATCGACCTAATTTGGAACTCTTGCCAAGTGCAACTTCCAAAGAAATTTAATGTTACGCTAATGACCTTCAACAGTTGTTAATGCTTCTCGAATGGGTGTAAACTAGAACGCTTTTCATAACACAAGACGTAGTTGTGAAAATGTTCATAAGAAACGAACATGTCTTTGTTTAGATCAAGAACAAGATAACAGTTTATCTGCAATCGTTTACTGTTTTCTTGGATAATGTTCTTGCTTCAACTTCTTTAGTTTCTTTAGTATTTCTCCTCCTTCTCCTCCTTACTTAAGTAAACTTTTAACTCAAAGACGCACCTCGACCCGTCGGCCGGATCCCTATACTATCAGACTGCCTACTTCTAGCTTTTCTTCCATTTGGTGGAGCTCAACTTTTCCGTTTTGACGGCTTCAGCACCAGCAACAGTTTCTATGGCCAGCCTCAGACTGTCTACTCTCCAATGCAATATCGAATTTAGGGCAAACTTGAAGAACTATTACCAATCAATTTTCCGCAATTCACTACAGAAAGTATTTGCAAAAAATAGCATAAACTTATTAAGTGGCCCCTTGGACAGTTCTTTGTGCCCGAGCGTAATCGCTCGCTTTGTGGCAAAGGGCCTCAGCTTATAGGGAGCCCTTTCCTCCCTTGCCTATCTCTGGTTCGTCTGCATTTGACCGAGAAAATCTTTCGCCTTTTACTAAAGATTTCCGTGCAGACGAACAATTATGAGTATCAACGAATTTTTGGAAATCTCCTTGAAAAAGCGGGACAAAATTTGCAAGCAAGAGAATGACACCTGGAGAAATTGGGGCTTTTATTTCAGAGATTTGGTCGAGTCTTTGTGTGAATTTTCTGGACTTGTGTTATAGCACACGATCGATCGTAGAGTCACAAAATCAGAAAATATAAATTTTAAAACTTTTTTTATCTCACAATAAGTTATTCATGTGTCTGTCTCAAATCACCAATTCTGTCCATTTCACAGCCTTGAGCTAATAAATTTGTGTCTTGAAATCAATTGACATTTGATTGTTGACAAAATGTGTTTGTCTATTGGATCAGAAAACTACAACAGAGATTCGGAGAAATCTCTCAACAAAACGCACTTTTTGGCCCCTAGGGCCTTCCAAAAATTGCGCTGACACCCATATTTCAGGGCAGAAAGCGACGGGTAATTGGTATCAGTTTTCAACCAGCAATAAACGCACCTCGGCTAAGCCTCATTGGTCACGTTATCGCCTCTGCGCAAAGCTGATTTCAGAGAGGAAAGGGAAGGGTATAGGGAAAGGGCTTGTGCCAGAAAGCGCGTGATTACGCCGTCGCACCGAGAACACCCGAGGCCATGGATAACATTTATTGATTTCTTTCCTTTAATTTCTCAATCTCACGTCATATCTTTTTGGATTTAAATCCAATATCAAATTTGATGAAATATCATTATTTTTATTGCTAGGTCATTTTTTCTAAGCGTTCGCTCTCAATCTTTCGCTGAACAAGGAAATGAAGCATTATCTCTTGAAAACAGATAAACAACTAAAAAGTTCTCAATAAAATTGTTAAATTGGCTTTGATTTCTTGATTTCCTATTCGAAACATGAAATTTGTACTTTTTCTAACTTTTTTTTTGTTTGTTGTTGCTTAGACTTTCTGTTGATTGGAGTTCATTTCGCCTTTTTTCTTTTGCTTAGAACTTTATCAAATGTCAGCGTTGATTGGTAAAAAAATCTAAATCGGTTCCATTTAATAAAGTTATAAGCAAAAGAAAAAAGAGTGACGAAATGAATATTTCTGTTCTTGTTCTTGTTCTTTTCAACTCATGATTGGATCTAAATTTAGTCTATAGCAAACTTCTGCTTTGTTTAAGTTCTTGATTAAATCCAAGAGACGATAGTGGATCCGAATTCTGTTCTCTTGGCTTCATAGAAGTTCATAAAAACCCTCATAGAAGTTTTCTCTGAAAAATCCCTCAAAGTTTCACAATTTTCCCACAAGTTCAGGGCAACATTTCCCTAGTTGAACACCTGATCTAAAAAAAGAAAGAAAGAAAAAAGAAAGACTCTAGAAATAAATGTTCTCAGAAAGTTTTTGGGGAAAACAAGGCTGTCTAAAACTGAAGTGAATTGGCTCATTTCACTCATTTCTTCAGAAATTATCGTGACAGATCTCGTTCGAAAATCGCTTTTCACTCAAATTTCGAGAAACAAATCGGTGAGCAGACAAAGAAAAGGAATTTTTTCGCTTGTCAAAACATTTTTGTGCTCTTTGCTCATCTGTCAATGGAATTTTAAAGAAAATTTATGAACAATACGCTCAAAAATAGATGAGACTAAAGTAGAGGGGAAAAAATGGAAAAAACTATCGTAATCTTCGTAGTGTAGACACAAAATTATAAAAACCAGAAAAATTTATCTACAATTATTGCAACAAATCGGTTGAATTGAATGTTTTTTCTATTTTGGAAAAGGAAAAGGAAAACCATAAACCCAATAAAAAGTAATAAAATGAGGTGCTTGTTTTGTTGTTTTTCCTTCAAACAACACTTGTTGTGATCCGAGAATAGGGTTTAGTTTCCAGAACAGTGCTCAGAGTTGGAATCAACGGAGCAGAGCGGCCGAATTCATGAGCTTTCTGAAAGTTGAATGAATAGATAATGGATTTTTTGACAATAGATAATGGTAATGGATTTGTTGAGTCGATAGATAATGGATTTTTTTTGCAGATAGATCAGAAATGATTTTGTAAGCGATCAAAGCAATGCTTTCAAAAGTTTTCCTCAACTTTGTCATTCTATTCTATCATTAATTCATCTACAACCTACAAGGCAAGAAAAATACCCTGAGCTGAGCAAGTGGATCCATTTGATGAGGAGGTGGTGGAGGATTTTGTTGATTGTTTGGTTGGACATTGATTGATGAATTCTCGATGAGATTGTTGTTCAATGTCATGGTCATTGATGCTTTACGAGAGGGGATTTTATGTTCTCCACGTTTCTTCACGCGAAGCATGATCTGAATGAGATTTTTAAAAGCTTTTTAATTGAGTTTTTTCGTTTTTAAGGACAAATCCTACAAATTATCTAAAAATTGAAGAAATTTTGTAAATGAAGCAAGCAAGACTCAAGACTTCTTTTGGGCTTAAGGCTTTAGGCTGTAAGTATGTAGCTTTTAATTTTAAACTATTATAGTAGCTAGATTTAGTTTTCAGTTATCATTTGTTGAACCTTACCGTATCATACGAATAGACGAGAATCCCGTGTTCGGCTTTTGGCGTCTCAGCCAATGAGAGCGAGAATTTCCGTAGCAACTCCACTGCCGCCAATTTCACTTCAGCTGTTCCAAAGTGTCTAGAAAAATAGTTAATACAATGGATATAAACTTTTAATTAATTTCATCTCTATTTTACCTTCCAGGGCAAACTCTTGGCGCTCCATTTTGTCCAAATGGTGCATAAACCTCATAGAGATTCTCGGGAAGGCGCTTGTTCAGCGGGTTCCATCTGAAAATTTGTATTTAGATTAGGGATTTCAATCTTTCAATTCAAAGTTGCATTTATACAATGCTAAAGTACCTTTCTGGATCATAAAGCTCAGCGTCTTCACCCCAATATTTCGGATCGCGATGAATTTGGTAGTAATTCGCGTAAACGAAGACACCCTAAAATCTTGCTATTGAAAGATCTCAAAATATTACAGTATTCTTAATGTAGATTAATAGGTTATTCTAGATTTTTGTGATTTCAAACCTTCTCAAGCTCGAGTCCATTGTCACCAACTTTACACGATTCCATGCATTCGCGAGAGATCGCTCTGAATAGAGACATTTTTTGAAGATTATGAAAAAGAGAAGAAGAAGAAGAAGGAGAAGAAGGAGAAGGAGAAGAAGGAGAAGAAGAAGAAGAAGGAGAAGAAGAAGGAGAAGAAGAAGGAGAAGAAGAAGAAGGAGAAGATTATTTTATTTAAAGAAATGGATAGTTTATCTATAGACTAAGAAATTGATGGAATTTCTGTAAACTCACGCCACGGCCACTGGATACAGGCGTTGATTCTCTTTGAGACACCAATCCAAGTACTCCATTTGAGCGACTACGTCCAAGTTGATATCTTCCTAGAATTAATTTCCTTTAAAAAACACTAACTGATTCAAGAGATAAGCCATTTAATGGAAAACTACAGTAATCTTGAATGGACTATAGTTTGTACCGCAGATTTTGAGACGTTTTCATATACTTCGTTACAAAGTGCCTCAAAAGAACTCCTTTAAGCATGTAAACATTTCTTACCCTTGAGTTAATATATTGATCGATCTCTTGTTGCAATTTCTCTTGACATTTCGGATTTGCGGCTACTGAGTAGAAGAATTGTTTGAGTGTTGTGTGAGTGGTCTCCACTGCTGCCAAAATCGTCATTGTCGACATCGAGAGAATCTCTTCTTCGGTCAGAATTTTTCGGATCTAGAACAGACGTTTTCTGTAATTCTCGTTCTATACAAACCTGAGTCTGGAATTGAGCATCGGCTTTCTTGTTAAGAACGCGGAGTTCTTTCAATTCCTCATCAGGGGCTCGATAGTCGACGAAGAGGTCCAGAATGTCACGGGCCTTAAAAAATTGGATTAGGAAAGATTTTGACTGATATATTAATCAGTTATAGCTATTCTCCTGGTTATTGAAAATTTGATACGCTCCCCGTCCCTTTTGTCATTGGCAATCTAACTTTGAGCTTAAATATCCTGGTGTTGGGCTATTCAATTTAAATTTTCTTAATATCATTGAATGCGCCAAGTCTTTCTCCATCAATTGGTAGAAAAACTATTTAAATTGAACAGCCTAACATCAAGAAATTTGGACTTAAAGCTACTAAAGATTTGATAAAAGCCCTGACCCTTTTCCCATTATCAATCTAACTTTGAGCTCAAATATCCTGGTGTTGGGCTATTCAATTTAAATCTTCTTTATATAATTGAATGTTCTAAGTCTTTCTCTATCGATTGGTAGAAAAACTATTTAAATTGAAAAGCCGAACACCAAGAAAACCTTGGTTCCCTGATCGGGTGCTCGATAACCCTGAAATCTCATCATCGATATGTTTGCCAATGTATTCTCGAGTCTTTCTCTATCGATTGGTAGAAAAACTATTTAAATTGAAAAACCGAACACGAAGATATTTGAGCTCAAAGTTGTATTGCTAATGGTAAAAGGGGTGCATAAAATGTTCTATAATAATTTTCCTTACCGGATCTCCTGGCTTGCGATTCTTTCTTTTTTCTTTGATCAAACTCGACATTCGAGATTCGATTTTGTAGAGTGGGTTTTTCACGAGAAGTGTCAAAAATTTGTGGAAATATTGAGTGTAGTCCGAGAATTCGTAAGTGGACACTAAAAATGAAGTGAGTCTGAAGATTTTCTAAGAAAACAACATCAAAAGTTTGAGTACAAGTTATTTTATTGAATTTCAGAGGAATCTTCGACTATTATCTACAAAATATCAATGAAAACTGAAAACTTTATCATTTTACAAACTTACTGAAGATTCTGAAGAGTTTATTCTCCCAATACGATGGCGGATGGAAGAACAAATCGATGAGACGAGAGACTTCGGATGGACCCGATCCAAAGGTCGACATCGGCTTTCCCACACACAAACGCTCGATGATGTCAGAGATCCATTCAAGGGTGAAACTGAATAGAAATACTCTAGATTTGATTCTCACAATAATCTTGTCAAATCATGTCACTTAAAATCCCTAGCACTTACACATGGAAGTCAACCGGTTGCTGACAATTCTTCTCCAACCATCCCATCACATTGTTGTTGCTGTCTTTGAAGACTGTCTGAAGAGAAATCATTTCCAATCAAGAAATTCTCTCTAACTTGATGAACTCTTGTCATTTTTTGATTGAATGATGGCTCGAACATTGCCCGAAGTCTTTTCCATCGAAGACCGCGAGAGATGAAAACAGAAGCGCGTTGATCAGTGTCCGGATTGAAGGGGAATGGGTTGATTGACTAGAAAGTTTACTGATACTTTAATAATTGTCCCCTGGCGGCCATGGACAAGGTCTCGGTGTAGCTCAGTGGTAGAGCTTTGAGTCTACCGGGTTCGAGTCCCGGCCCAAGCTTTTTGCTTGGGAGTCATAAAAGAACCATTGTTCAATTAGCTTCCAATTGGCTCAAAGATCTTGATATTTCTAGTCAATGCTCATTTCTTGGGGTTGGTTATAGTGTATTTTCTTGATCCTACCTTTCTCCCATGGAACTTGTCGAATTTGTCGACCCAGACATCTCTGATGACATCCAATCTCGATGTCAATATCACGTTCATACTTCCTTCATAATATCCGAATTGATCTCCATACTGTTTCACCCATTCTTGCAAGTTTTTCGTGTGCGGCGAGCGGCCGTTGTGGAGAGTCATGAGATTGCCTGGAGACATTGTTTATAAAGAGATTTGCAGATTTTGAATAGGAAACTACTAAACTAGAATATTTATCTATAAATCTTCAATCTAAATGTAATGTTTGAGTGCTTTTCAAGTCACTCACCTGAAAGAATCGAGTCAACAGGCGGCGAGGGGATGCCTCGACGACGGAAGTATTGTTGACGATTCCACAGATAACTGAAATCAAAAAGAATAGATTAAAGTAAAACTAAAGATTTGAATCTGTAGATTAGAAATATTAGTTATTTTAAAGGCTTACATGTAAACAGCGGTCACCACACTGAACACAGCGATCCAGAGTTCCGTTGAGAGCAATAACCAAAGCATTTTGTTACCTGTAAAAGAAAATTAGCTAACAAAAATAGAGTAATTTCGAAAGAAATAAGTCTTTGGATACAGATCTGTATGTGATGTATGTGGGTCTTTGGATACAGATCTTTGGATACAGATCTTTGGATACAGATCTATTTTTAAACAATTTAAGCTTCAGATAAGTTGGATTCAGATTTGAATCAAGTGAAATTGGAAAATCCAGCTTTAAATGACGATTTGGATGCTTTATTGTTAGAAAATGAGTCAAAAATCTAACTAGTAAGCGGAGTTTTAAAATAAAATGAAACTTTATAAGTTCAGCTTTGTAAAACTGATGTGATCTCGGTCCAAGGCTTTCCTTTTATACAGAAAAGATTCGAAATTTTCGATGAGAGACTCGTAAATCAACGATTATTGAAAGAGAAAAGAAAGACAAAGAGCCAGCAATTTATACGTGCTTTTTCGAAAAGGGTTCTGTAATTGGAAAAAGAGAAAAGAAGAAAGATGAGGAGAGAAATGGGCGGAGTCTTCTTGTACCCAGACATTGTTCTTTCAGGTTCAACTTTTTCATCTCTAAACTCTCTTCGAAATCTGAAAATTTTGCTTCTTTTTCTTCAATTTCTTTCAATCTCTAGATTCTTCATCGAAAATTTCAAAACCTCAGCCGATTTTCCTGTATTTTCTACAGTATTTCTTGCTTTTCCAAATCTTTTTCGATCTTTTTTCTTCTTCTTTTTAATCTCTAGTTGTTCTAGTCTTTTTAAAAAAAACATTTCAAGTACAACACAAGACACAAATCATTTTCCTTTCACTCTCATTTTAGGTACATTCGAAACACGTGTTTCTCTTTAGATGAAAAATCGTCTCGATGTTAGTTCACGTTTAAAATTAATAACCTTTGAAAGCTGAGAGAACAAGTTGAGATTAATGGTTTTGAAAATCTGACAAGTGAGCGTATCGAGATCAAACCTTGCAACACACTTTTAAACGTTTAAAAACGAAAAAACAAACAAATTTGGATGAATCAAGTCAGCTGACTTTATAGAGATAAGACAAAGATCATGTTTTGCTCTAAATTTTCCGATCTTTATCTAAGCACAAACTGAAGAAAGCTAAAATGAGAGCAATAAAGGATAAGTAGGCAACTTTAAGTTTTGTGATAGTACTCACTTACCGTAAATACTGTAATTGGGCTCCATGGGGTACTATTTATTCCCCTCCCCCTTTAGGTTGGCTACTATTTTACACTATTCAAGTGACCAAATCAGGATACATTCATTTTTTTATTTATTTATTTGTTCAAAAACAAACTTTTTCTTTCATTTTTATTCAGTTTTAACAATTTGCATAAATAGCAAAACGAAACGAAAACAACTAACAAGCGAAATCAATAGAAACATCCAAATCAATGAATTCATCATTTTCTTGATCATCAATTCCTCGATGTCCTTGAAATCCCGTCAATACGAGCGGCCCCAAGAGATCCTCGAGGTCTTTCTCTGTCCGAGTATTTCTCATCGCCTGTAAGTACAATAGATCCAATATGATAATTAAAGATAATTGAATCGACTAAATCAATAAATCGAACCTACAATCCTGAAGGAATCGGCCCAGCCGGCTTGAAACAATTAATACATGGTCCTTATCTTCATTTAAGGCAGTGCCAATACCACAAGCCTTAAATGATTTTCGAATCATATCTTCGGTAATTCGTCCCCAGGCTTCCAGGATCCAACCCAAGTAGGTTTCCATTGATGGAGGTTTGGGATTCCCGCCACCAGTGCCGTCTTTTCGTGATCCCGTCAAATCGGGAACCGATATCAAGATCTAATCCTCGTATTGCTGGCGAATGTAGGCCTTGAATGGGACATTTCATGAAACGTCGGCTGGCTGAAGAAATTTTGTCGTGCCGCCGAGAACATAGATCCATCTTCAACTTCTCCAGACATTCCTTCGTCGATTTGCTTTTGTGGGCAGGGTGTTGATCCCAAACAAGGAGTGGTGGTTCCTTTTTATTAAAAAATCCAAGTGCACCGAAAAAACGTTGCAAATATTCGGCCGTGATTGCATTATCAAAGCACTTGTTTTTCTTCTCTTTCCAACAGAGCAATACCTTCGATTGGAACTTTGTCTCGATCTTTTTGCTCATCGTTTCTCGAGGCACCACCACAAAAGGCCGCAGCTTTTTCCCATCGGAACGGACAGTCAGCATCATGGATATATTTGACTTGTCGTAGCCACGGGTGAGAACACCAACTTCTTTTGCTCCAACCGCTTCCCGCCTCGATGGACCTGCTCGTCAAAGCATCTAACCAAACCGCCGTCTCATCGCAAGCAATAATGTGCTTGTAATCGCCCTCTTTGATTGTCTTGTTCAGCCTCAGAATGTGCGCGACAATGGCCTTCCCAAACTCGTTGGGCAGTTTCTGAGAAGTTGTTGTTGGTGCCCTCAAAGAAAGTTGGTGGCGCTTCAAGAACGACTCCATCCAGCCATGGCTTCCTTTAAAAGAAATTCCAGCTGCTTCGAATCGATCGGCCGCTTCATTCCAGATAACTCGGCGTGTCACTCGTTTCTTCTTGGCTCGACGATCTTGTATCCATTCAGCCAAATCGATACCAATCTTCTCCGAGTTCAAGGGGCGTCTGTTTCCATCGAGTCTCTTGCGCTTTCCGTAGATTTTCTCGAGCTCGAGCTCTTTTTTGATGTAGGAACGCACACATTTTCGATCAATCTTGTAAAATGCAGCAGCTGCTTTGATCAAAACATCATTGCCCATCATTGCAACAGCCAATTTCGTTTTCATATCAATGGCCTTTTTCTTTTTCTTTGTTGGTGGCTCCTCCGATTCACTTGAAGATCCTTCAACTCCAGCGTTGACCGAGCTTCCATTGTCATCTTGTTTGGCTCGTTCATCACGCGATTCTTTGAAGAATTCCCTGTGTTCTTCGTATTTGCAATGAGCCCAATATTCCTCAAATCCATCGAGCGATTTCCCATCGAGAAGCATATCTAAAAAAATAAAATTAGTGAGCAAACGAGAAAAATTTAAAGGGGGTGGCTACTTTGCGCCAAATTTTTTGCGCAACGCGCCATAGCTTTCTTCTAAGTGAGCCAATCTTTATGATATGATTCTGGTGTTATTTTGTTGCACTTGTTAAGATCTACAATTATAAAGATTGGTCCACTTAGAAGAAAGTTATGGTGAGTTGTGCAAATCTAGGAGCGTAGCATAATCTAAGTTTACAATCAAAGAACCGCTCATATCTCGGCGCCCAGACATTTGTTTCAGCACGCTTAGGTATCAAATTAAAGTAGAGTGAATGGGTGCTTTTTTGAGATATAACACATATTTTTAACATTAACCAGTGCTTAGAGAAAAATGATACAAAAAATCGGCCTTTTTTCCCACTTTTCAATCATTTTTCTTTAAGCGCTGGTTAATTTAAAAAATATGTGTTATATCTCAAAAAATCACCCATCCACTCTATTTTAATTTGATACCTAAGCGCGCTGAAACAAATGTCTGGGCGCCGAGATATGAGCGGTTCTTTGAGTGTAAACTTAGGCTACGCGACGCTCCTATAGGAGGGCTACTATTACAGCTTTTACGGTCATCAAGTAAAAATTTTTCATGCAAATTTTACTTGAGCAATTACTTACACGCGAAAGGAAAACACTCTAGGTGCAATGCAACTTATTGCTCAAAAATCACTGCAATTCATGAATTAGACTCAAACTCTTAGCCAGAATTGGCTTTGAATATCAGCTCTATCTTCTTTTTTATTTGTCTAGTTCAATTTCAATTTAGATACTGCACGAATATCACTGAAATTTCTGTAGAGCAATAAAAAGTGTTCAAATGTTCAGGATCAATCATCGTAAAAACATTGAGTTTTTTCAATCAATTTCTTTGATACAAATCTCCGCAAGGAATCTCATTTAAAATCGATCTTTTCTCACAAAAATCACTCAAATTTGTGTTTTGCTTCGAAAAATCTTTATTCAAACATAAACTAAAGAAAGCTAAAATGAGATGAATAAAGGAAAAGTAGGCACGAGATTCAGAGTAAAATATGGCAAGGATTTCAGAGATTTTGTACAAAAATCAATAATGAAAATTGTTTAGATGTTGAAGAGGAAGGGAATGATTGAGACGACGAACGGGAATATCACCAACTGGGTAATGTAACCAAGAGATCACGCCGAGTACATCTTCACGAGAGGATTCTGATTTGTCTTGAGAAAGGGAAATGAATGTGCAAACCATGACGATTACCTGGAATTTGTTGGGATTTTTGTGAAAGCTTTGTTGTTAAGTTTAAGCTAGAGTTCTAAAAGGTGAATTATTTGGCAATACCATAGCGTTTTTCTGATTTAATTTGATCAATTTTCAATTTCATTTCAATTCAATTCAAATTTGATTTTACAGGGTGCGTCATAATTATTGCAACAAGATACTCAAGGCATTGCACACCAGGAAGTTTCACTGGAAGAAGATTTTTAAACAGAAATAGCTTTATTTAACAGTAACAAATAAGGAAACCAAGAGATCATTCGATATGACCGCCTTTTGCCTTGATAACAGCCCTTAATCGGTTCGGATATGCCTCCACTGCGGCCCGAATGTCATCTTGAGGAGTCGCCTTCCATCCTTTGGTCAAAGACAAAGGTCAAAGACTTCTTCAAGGTCAAAGAGCAGACATTAGCCTCTAAGATTGCCCAAATGGAAAAGTCCATCACATTGAGATCCGGTGAGTTTGGAGGCCGTTCATCCTTGGTGATCACTGAGGGAAAGTTGGCCACACACCAGTCCTGAACCGTCTTCTTCGTGTGAGCGGGAGGCAATTAGGCAAGAATAAAGAAGATAGAACGCAACACAACAAAAAAGGGGGCAAAAACAAATAAGAAAGCTGTTTGGAAAACGGTCTTTGAACTCTTGTTGCAATAATTATGACGCACCCTGTAGATGAGAAATCAAATCATAAATTGAATAAGATCTGAAAGAAAACTAAAGAAAAAGATTACTAAATAATCCATTTTTTAGAAAACCTTGTCCTACTTTAATCGTACTTGTTTTATTGATAAAACAGAGTTTTTTTTGAGTAAAAAAAATCAATTCAAGATGTACTTTGTATTGAAAAATGCAAATAGAAACAAAACACTTTTTCGCTTATTTTTTTTTAAAGTTTACTGCATTAGAAAGAATGTTTCTATTTTTAAATCAAAAATTAGATCTTTAAGAACAAATTAAGAACAATAGATCTTTAAGAACAAGCATCAGTCAAAAAGATTTAACAATCAATTCATTCCAATTTGGGAAAGGTAAATGGTTTTGCATCAACAGAAGATCACCAGAAAAGTCCCCAAATTTTTGAATACCTATTAGATCTCAAACATCACGAGCCAAGAAATCCTAAAGGTATTAGAAATTTGAATTTTATTAGAAAGCATCATGTTTTTAAGATTTATCTTTCAAAATTTCTTACCAAAACAACGATTCCCAATGCAAGTGCTAAAAGTAAAGTAAAAGCTAATAAAGAAGCTTTTGGACAACGCCATATTCGATGGAAGCAAACAATCTGAAACATTTGAAACTCATTAGAAACATTATTATTATATTATATAGTAATCATTCAATTTATTATATAAGAATGTTAGTAATTATATAGCAATCTTAGAAAAGAAATGAACTACCGTAAATACTGTAATAGTACCCCACCCCCATAATGACGGTGCGGAGTGTTGCGTGGTCTACCTTTGAACGAGTGTTTCTCGACACTGGTTTATGCTACAATGCTCGTTTAGGTATTAAAAAATAGCTGAGATTCAGGGCTATTTTTTGATACTTAAGCCAGTATTGTAGCATAAACCAGTGTCGAGAAACACTTGTTCAAAGCTAGACTACCCAACGTTCCGCTTTAAACGAGTTTTTCTCGACACTGGTTTATGCTACAATGCGCGCTTAGATATCAAAAAATAGCTGAAATTCAGGGCTATTTTTTGATACCAAAGATAATGACGGTGCGGAGTGTTGCGTAGTCTAGCTTTGAACGAGTTTTTCTCGACACTGGTTTATGCTAAAATGCGCGTTTAGGTATCAAAAAATAGCCCTGAATTTCAGCTATTTTTTGATACCAAAGACACATTTTTTGAAAGTACGGACGCTTTGAAAAAAATGAAATACTAAAAGACTTTTGCGATTACGCGACTGTACGAGGCGGGTGGGGTACTATTACAGTATTTACGGTAGGTTCGTGTGTAATCCCGTTATTAATATGATATTAAAATTTGTGCTTAAAAATTCAACCATTTTTACCTCATAAATCTCATCGTCGTTGTGATGTTGATAAAATTCGATTTCATCACCAATTTCCTCATCAACTCCATCACCAATCAACGCTGGACTCTCCTCGCATAACATTAATTTCATCTTGAAACGTTTGACATTCGACTTTTCTTCTTTTCAAACCTGTTCCTCATCTTCATAGAACTTTGTGACATTCAATTGTAATTCAGGAATCAATCGACTTTTTTCTTTTCGAGGGCTTTTCCCATGGTTGGTTAGTAGGCCTTTCTCGACATCTTTCATTGCCGAAAATGCTGAGAATTCATGCATAAGTTTGCTGAAAATGAACAAACTAAAGCAGAAACTAAAGAAACTAAAGAAAAAAGTCAGAAAATGTACTGAAAGAGCCAGCAATCGTAAGCTGGCTCCATGTGGTATGTAGAATTTTTAGAAAAATTGAGCCAAACTTAAGCCTTATTGGACATAATGACGCCAGTCGCTCACGAATCCTCCCCCTTTACGGATTTCAAAAAGGAAGCAACTTATCCCGGATAGGTTTGCCAGATTGTTAGCAATTACGCAACCACACAAACAACAAATCACCATTTTTATAGGGATTGTTCTTTTGCTTTTTAAATGATACAAAAAGAAGCTCTTGAGCTGTAAATTTGTATCGGGGGGTTTTCATAGACAGCGAATCGATTGGAACTATTCATTTTATACAGTCTATCTGTCGTAGCCGTTTACGAAATTCAGCCGCCCTTAACGAATGATTCGTTGACGGCTAGCCGTAAATTCATTTGAATCTAAGCTCGGCCGATTACAAAGTTTTCGTACACATCTAGTGAAAAAATTTCATTCATAATCCGGTTAGCCGCTAAGAATGATTCGTTAGAGGCTGAATTTCGTAAACGGCTAGAACACATCAATTGGAACTCGGGTTTAATGGATCTAAGCTTGCAGAGGTTTAATGGATCTAAGCTTTAATGGATCTAAGCTTTAATGGATCTAAGCTTTAATGGATCTAAGCCTTAATGGATCTAAGCTTGCAGATGCATTTGAAAAGTCTAACAATAAGCTCAAAACTGGCATCATCAATTCAATTTTATCGAAATGAGTGTAAATGAAACAACACTTGAGTTGAATATTAACTTTTTGAACTTAATAAGTAAAATTCAGGAAAAATAGAAGTTTTCAGGAAAAATAGAAGAATTGAAGTTCGTTGAACTCAATTTTCCAAGAATGTGACTAGTTTTCCGGAAAAAACGTTCAAGATATAGAAAGGTTTCTTCAAAAAAACGTGTTTCCCGATCCACTTCAACTCGGCCGAATGAGAAAATTTGGTGAAAAAAAGGGGAAATTCCTCAAAGAAATGGGTCCAAATGCCTCCAAAACGGGAAGTGAAATGAATAAATCAGAGATTTTTCGAAGTGAAACGAAAAATGGAAAAATTGAATTGTTAATTTGATAGCTTTTTCAAAAAAGTTTGATTCATTAATCCTTTTTTTCTTAGTGTAAATTTGTTCGAACCAGATTACCGGCTCTCAGCTTAATTTAATTCAAATTTACCTCTAGTCAGCAACTTGAATTTAATGTTAGAAAAATCTCCCATTTATTGCCTTAAATTTGGCTCTATTTTCGCTAAAAATTTGTTAATGTTCACAATTCCTGGGGCAAAAAGGAACGATGAAAAGAAAAGATTCAAGTGCAGTGAAGGCACTCATCAAACGCTAGCGCTTATAGTTTGCATTGCTAAATCTACAAGGTCCATTGCTCTGGATCAACCACAGTATGCTGAAATGAAAGTATTGAGCTGATAAGACTGAATATCTACTATATATAAAGCAGAAGAGACGTCTGTCCGTCTGTCCGTAGCGTAGACGTCTGTCTGTCTGTCCGTCTGTCCGTAGCGTAGACGTCTGTCTGTCGGTCTGTCCGTCTGTCCGTAGCCTAGACGTCTGTCTGTCTGTCTGTCCGTCTGTCCGTAGTGTAGACGTCTGTCTGTCTGTCTGTCCAAAAAGGGGCGGAGCTTAGATTGCGCGGAAAACGTGGACCTCCACAGTGGAGTGATCCCTTAAATAATTTGCCATAAAAGCATTAGAATCCACAGAGAAAGGGTAAAAATTGAGCTAAAAGCCTCTAAATCCAGAAATCCTCTAACAAAACGAGTCAGTTTTTCAGCTAACAGAAAAAGACAAAATTCTAAATTGCCAAAAAAAAACGAAGTAGAAGGAATGGCCCGAGGTCTCTCCAGAAAAAAGAGAACTCAATTAGATGAGCATTGAATTGAGTGAGGAATGGGAAATGGATAAAAGAGATAAGAAAGAGAATTGAATGGGGATGGAGTGGAATACGAATCGGCGAGGGGAATTCGATGAGGATCATCGACGACAAATGATCTGTGAAACACAAGAATCACAAGATATAAGACCCGGCTGACTCGAAATTGAATGCAAATCAGAATTGATAAATAAAATGGCTCGATTTTTGACCATTCCCATGAAGTTTCAGTATTAAAAGTATCAAGTTTAGTAAAGTATAAGCTAAACTGCCTTTTCTAACAAAAGTATAAGCTAAACTGACTTTTCAAGCAACATTTGTGAAGATGTGATTCAGAAAAATTTCATTAAATCCTCAGATTTCAATTCTGTTCGTTACTTGTCAAATGCAAGATTGTCAAGATCAGCTTCTTCGTCAAAAAAAGCTTCTTCGTCGGTTTTTCTCTCTTTTTTTTGAGAAATCTCAAACCAAAGACCAAAGAGCTCAAATTTCAGAGTCCATTAATGAAAGAAAATCAAGCAAAAATAGAAGTTGATCACAAAAATGCTTACTCTTGAGGTCAAAAACCTTTTGGTTTAAAAAGCTTTCTTCTTGTGACTAGAAATGGGAATTTTAAGATGAAAAAGAGAAAAAAACGGGGGTGGGACAAATGCGACCTTTTTTTTGCGCACCTGGACATTTGCGCACCTTTTTTGCTGGAAAGGCCTAGGAAAGGTCGTAGAGCTTCAAAAACGTTTTCATAGGAGGGAATCGTATGCGTAGATTCCGAATTTCGACTACGACTACGCAACTTAACGCTTTTCCGCAGTTTTTGCCTTTTAGCCCAAATTTGACGTGTCAGCGAGGTCTGATTTGTCGAAATTCGGAATCTACGCATACGATTCCCTTCTATGAAAACATTTTTGAAGCTCTACGACCTTTCCTAAGGCCTTTTCCAGCAAAAAAAAAAGGTCCGCTTTGTCCCACCCCCGAAAAAAACTAAACAAAATCTAAGCTGAGACATTAGTTGGCTTTCATTTAAGAACTAGGAATGCTAAAATCTTAGAAAATGTGAGGATTATGACATAAAATTTCGAAGAAATCAAATGTTTCTCGTTTACAGTAGATTTTCTTCTTAATTGATGATTAAGAAGAAAATATATAGCTAATGGGAAAAGTTTTGCGAAAGAAAACTTTCTCTGTCTATTTACTGAATGAATGTGAGAGAAAAGCTTCTTCTCTTTCCCCCTAAAAAAACCCATTCGTTCATCCAGAAAACTCATAAACAATAGACTTTAAAATATTCAGAGAAAAGGTTTTACTTTAGCGAGAAATCTTCTTTAAGGCATTAGCTACTAAAGTATTCAGGGATCTTGAATGAAACGGAGATCAATAGGCAAAAGGATAAAGGGTGAGAAAAGTTAAAAGTTTGAAATGAAATAGGGAAAATAATGCCAAATATAGTCCTTAGAAATCACAAATCAGATTCATTTTGAATTATAAAGTATCGGGAATCGTATTTGAATCCTTAGAAATCACAAATCAATTATAAATCTTGAATTATAAAGTGATATTTGAGTCCCTAAAAGCCATGAAATTTATTTGAAAACAAATTTGGTTCATTTACTAAAGCTTTCTATCGCTATAATGTTCAAAAAAAGGATTTAAATATTTTCAAATGCGTGTTAAGAATCAATAATGAGAAAGAAGAGTTCTGAGAAATTGAGATGAAAAAAAAAGGAGAAAAATGAATGAAGGAAAAGTGGACGATGTGGAAATTGATGGAATTGAAAGGGAAAGAGGAATTGATGGATCAGTGGGATTCTGTCAGCAGAAAGTAGAAAGTTCTGTCATCTGTCAAAAACGGAAGCTTTTATACGAATTTGATTGTCTTATCTTTTCATAAAAAGGTTTCAAAAAGGTTTTCTGTTCAAATCCCTATATCACTTTTTTTGGCCAGTCCCGGTTCTAATGTTTTAAACTAAGCAAATAGATGTAAACATATCAAACACTCAGTGCCACCTTCTTGGCACTGAGTGTTTGATAAAATAGGTCATTCTGAAAGGTTAAAGCATTAGATAAAATTTGCCTTAATCACAAACTTTCCCTATTTTAAGTACTTGATTTTAGGTTTTTGAATGAGACCCATTGCCTATCCATTAACCCATTAAAAACTTGTCTAAAGGTTGGTCACTCAAAAAGTGACCAAGTCAATTCAGCTGAAGAAATCTTTTATTTGTTTTTTACCTGAGGCTCACTCTGATTTATTTTATCAAAAACCTTATAGTCAAGTTTATCAAAAAATTTGAGAAGAATTGATGGCTTGGTTTTTGAGAAATCATCGTCGAAATATGGTTCCAATATGTTTCGAATATGGTTCCGATATGGTTCCAATAAGGTTCCAATATGGTTCCAATATGGTTCCAATATGTTCCTTCCAAGAATAAGGTTCCAATAAGGTTCCAATATGGTTCCGATATGGTTCCAATAAGGTTCCAATATGGTTCCAATATGTTCCTTCCAAGAATAAGGTTCCAATAAGGTTCCAATATGGTTCCGATATGGTTCCAATAAGGTTCCAATATGGTTCCAATATGTTCCTTCCAAGAATAAGGTTCCAATATGGTCCAATATGTTAAGTAACTTTTTAGTTTATTTACAAAAATTGCTAAAAAAGTTTCTATTATATCTTCTCATTTTTTAAAACTAATCTTCAAAACAAAGAAGTTGGTTTAAATTCAAGAAATGTGAATGTATAATTGCATTGTTTCAAAGTACGTAATAACTTCAATTTTGAGCTCAAAAGTCATCAGATGAAGAGTGAAAATTGGATGAGTTTGAAGAGAATTATCGAATCTAGGAAAAAAGAGAGTCAATATTCCCAATGCGAGTAAAGTTCAGTGTTTTGTTTTAAAGCCAACCTCAAACCATTCCCTCTTTTCTGTTTCCTTGTTTGGGGTTCTCTTTTTTGAGATGTCCCCTCTTTTTCCCGCTTTCCCAATGGAATCGACACTAAACAAATTGCCCCACACAGACACCGAGGATTTTCTGAAAAGGAGAATGGAGAAAAGAGATGTTTTTTCGTTCTCAAAAGCTAGGAAAAGCCATTTTATGGAAGAAAATTTGATTGAACTGAATTTTTCTTCGGAAAAGTTTATCCTGGTTCCAGGTGAGAGTGGATGAGTTAAAGTTTTCAACTTTGTTTATAAACTAACGTGAGACGCAGAAATGATTCTTAAAAGGGAAGGTCACGAAATCAAGGTGACCAATCGAAATGAGACCTAAACCATCCGATGCAGAATTTTACGCTGATCCCGGATCTGCTGTCCGTTTTTGCTGAATAGGTCGGAATCTCAAGGAATTTGACAAACAAGTTTTTTGGCCTCTCTTATAACGCTTGCGCTCACGGCACAAAGAAATGGTTGCGTCGTGTAGCGGATAACGTGTCGGAATGCAAAGCTCTAGGTCGGGCGGTCGACTCCGTTTCAGTGCTTTTTTTTGAACAGCATTTTTTTTTGAACAAGATTTTTGAATATTTAGCAATTACGAAGAGAATGGGAATTAGGGAACACTATAAAACAGCTGTTCAAAAAAAGAACTGAAAGGGAGTCGACTCCCCGACCTACAGCTTTGCATTCCGACACGTTATCCGCTACACTACGCAACCATTTCTTCGTGCCGGGCGGGCAAGCGTTATAAGAGAGGTCAAAAAACTTGTTTGCCAAATTCCTTGCGATTCCGACCTATTTAGCAAAAACGGACAGCAGATTCGGAATCAGCGTAAAATTCTGCACCGGATGGTTTAGGTCTCATTTCGATTGGTCCCTTTGATTTCGTGACCTTCCCTTGTTAGTACAAAATTGTTAGCAATAAAATGTTTAAGTATTCATGAAGTTAAACTTTTAGGTGAATATTTTGGTCATGTTTGTTTTATCTATAAAAAGCACAATAAAAATTGTGACTTTTGGTGTTGCGTTGCTGAATTTAGTTCCAGCGGTTGATTTACCTGTAAATTTTTTTACTTTGTAATGTAGTTGAACAATTTTCTCACAAACTTTTTCCTATTGCTTTATTCAAAAAAAAAAGAATGAGCGACCATTTGAAACGAATTTTTAAGTGAATTGTTTGATTTCATAGTGGAAAAAACCCGATCTGGGGGGGGGAGGGAGGGATTACGTTAGATTTAGGCGAATTATAGCAAATTATAGCAAATTCATATCACAAAGAAGCTTATTAAAAGAGAAAACAAACAAAAAAAAGCCAAAGCTATAAAGCCAATGCAAAACCGGAAAGGAAAAAAGAAAAGTGAAATTTTTGGGTTGAAAAAAATGCGTAGTTTAATAAAAAAAAAGGAAAGGCTTTTCGAAGAGTTGCACATTTTGTCATGAAAAAAAAATCAAGAAAAGAGTTATTTGCATAAATGCTGGTTAGTTTTCGAAATATTTGTTTCCCAATAATTTGAGCACTAAAAAAATCACAGAAAATGGGGGTAATCTTTGGTTTAAAAAGGATTTTTAAAAAAAATCTGGGTATAAATTTTTAGTGAAAGCTGCTTGTACATTTGTTTGTTTTGCTTGTTTTGTTTAAAATGTGCTCAAGAAAAAGCTACCGTACTTCGCAGTACTGTAGCTTTTGTCTAAAAAGTTACAGTACAGCCTTTTAAACTGCCAATGTTCTCTTTAGCTTTGCAAGTAAAATCAACCAGCAGTTTAGAGAGCTACAATGGTTTTTACAACGGTATCTTTTTTCCGGAATGCATCTTTTCGCAAACGGTAATTCCATTCAGTAAGTGCTTTTTCCCAATAAAGGTTCACTCAACGATAGTCAATCGGAAACGACCAATGGATCGCCTGAACGAGCTCCAGCGGAATCCGGATCCGCCTCGATGACCTGTGAATAGGCGCCGTTTTCGATCTGAATCGGGTTTTTTAAAAAAATATACTTATTCAAACGAATAATTTGATATAAACAAAGCACAGCCCTTAAGCCCTAAATGTAGAGAAGAAAAAAAGAACCAATCTGGCGGGATTGAACCCTTGACCTCTAGACTAAGATAGAAGGCTCTTAGCAAGTCGGCTATGGCGGCCTTGTTTCTGTGCTAACGGAATGGTGTTAAAGTAAGATAATGAGCGATAAAGAGACACTACTTTTTCAGCTTTTTCTTTAAGAAATTGGCCAATTCCTCAATGAATACTTCAAAAATTTGAATGTTAATTTGTTGGTAATTTGAGTGTAAAAGTCAACTTCTTACAACCTTTACAGTTTTACAACTCTTAGTTGATTTTATACTTTTCTCTAAACCCACATGAATATTGACATCTTTCCCACTCAACGAGCTCGACGCTCTCCCACCCGATTCACCCGTCGACGTATCTTCTGCACTCGCGTAATCCAACTCTTTCTCACTTCCAGAGTCATCCTAAAAGTTTAATTCAATATAATGACTATTAATGGATTGAATTACCATGAAAAACTAATCAAAAATCCTACCTGAATCGACATTTTATGTACGAAAAGCTTAGCGTCTTTTAACTCAATTCCATCTTGGGTTTCAACAGGGATTTCATTGATTGCATTCACCTAAAATTAAAGTAAAATGTAAATCAATCATTTTCTGATAATATTTTTTTAAAACCCACCAAAGCTGCTCGATTGATGCGGAAATTTTTCGGTGACGGTTCATCGCCGAGAATCGGTTGATGATTGAGAGGTCCATTTAGTGCTTCAACGATTGTCAGCGTTTCATATCTAAAGTTGTATTTAGATATTTGAATAAGAATACCAAAGAATCTTTCTATTTTATAATTAGTACCTTGGTTGTGTCCTGTTATGTGAATCGGTTCGTTGTCCGGCTTGGCGCAACGCTTTCACCGTCAAGAGTGCTCGGAAAGGAGAACGACAAATTGGGCAATTGTTTAACTAAATAATTAATTCACTTTAGAGATAATATTAATATTAACTTTTATAGTTTTAAGGAAGACCAGGTTTTTAGATGATACCAAATATTATTAACTTTTTATATAGTTTTAAAGAGGAAACTTCGGGGTTAAGAATGGTATAAAATAAAGCTTAACTGAATCATTAAATTTCATGGAAATCAAGAGACAAGGATCCTATCTCTTTTGGGATCTAAGTTTAGCGTCCTTTTAGGATTGCGTCTAATGCAATTTTAAAACATTTTAACAGACTAGAGACCATATCTTTGTCTTACCTTAAACCTTAAATTCTCCGCACAACCGGCACAAATGCAGAGATGACGACACGGGAGGATCAGGGTGTCTCGAACCTAAAATCTCGATAAGATTTTGCTATTTTACCCATTAAAATACCCATTATATTTGCTAGAAAGCATGCGTTTACAAGAGCACAAAGACGAATGAGTTTTTCTCACCTCTGTCATACAAATGATACACTCAAATCCTGTATCCTCATTATTTTCACTGTGTTCCTTGTTCTCAAGGCCAAAAATTTCCTAAAACTTGATAAATATACAAGAAATTAAGAAATATAAAAGATATTCAGTTATACTGACCTGTAACAGATAAACAACTCCGTCGCTGGCCACTCGTTGTCGCAATGGTTTCAGTGAGAAGCCACCAGAGTGATCGTTAGCCAACTAGAAATAGAAATTTAAATTAATAGATTTCTATATTTAAATTACTATATTATATACGTATATTTTTTTCAATGCGCCCACCTCCACAGTGCACATTGTACATTGCATTTGTTCGCTTTCCACTCCACTGGTCGACAACGCGATCACAACGGGGAATAGTTGACCGCCCTCGTAATGCATCTAAAAATTATTTTTTTTTAGATAAAGTACAGTAACTTTAGATAAACTATGATGGAACTATAAAGGAACTTTAAAGCAACTTTAAGGGAACCAAATAGGAACTATAAAGTGACTATAAAGGAACTTTAAAGGAACTTTAAAGCAACTTTAAAGCAACTTTAAAGGAACCAAATAGGAACTATAAAGGAACTATAAAAAGACTTTAAAGGAACCAAATAGGAACAAATATGTTTAGTTTATTGTCTTTTAAAAATTACGTCATTTAAATCGAAATCGTCGGCATGAAAGATGAAATTATTGAAGATATGACCGGCGCCGGCTTCGAAATGGAATTGCTCACTCGTCACGGGTTTTTGAGTTTTGTAGATGAAACTAAAATATTCAATGTTTATCGTAAAACATCTAGATTAAGATAAAAAAGATTTATCCTTATATAAAATTGATAGTTATTGTTATTAAAAGGTTCAAGCAATTTCGAAACAGCTTCTGTGAACTAAAAACGATCAATGATTGTCTTCGATTCACAATCAGTACCAGATAAATATAATAATTAATATAAAGATTATTATAAGACATTTCTACCAAAAAAAACTCACTGAAAATCTTTGGAATCCTTGCGATAAACCTCTCGTGCGTCGAAATGCAGCTGGATACAGCAAGCGCAATCAGCATCAAATGTAAACTCGAGTCGATACTTTTCCGTGAAAATTCCATCATCGTTTTTCAAACTAAATTCATTTTATAAACGAAATTTCACTTTTAAAGTACCGAACGAATTTCACAGTTTCTTTTCGAATGTTCACGAAGAGGTTCAATGGGCGGACGTGATCGGTGACTGGTTGACGAGCATAAGGGAACTGGAAAATGATTCATTGAACATCGAAAAATACTTTTCTAAAAATCTTTAAACTAAAAATCTATAAATCTTTAAACCCATACAGTTGTGGCTCTATTTCCAAGCAAATCTAAATCCGAATTTTCCCCAAAAAGATAGGCTTCCGGCTTGGCCAACTCGTAGCGCTCACCGCCCATCAGAAAATGAGAGCCAAAGAAGGATCCTAAAGTTATTGAATAAGGATTATTTTATAAAGTTAAACGCTTACCAATTGTACTACTGTAACATAGCAATGCATCTGGATCGGTTTCCCTTCTTTGTGGCTGTTCTCGACGAAAAAGATCCGTCACACGACTCGATGCCGTGCCCATCAAAATATTGAGAGCTGAAATGAGAGATTATGAAAAATCTAACGACAAAAAAAATCAAAATCTACAACAAAGATGAGCTAAATGAGAAATTAGGTCAGTAAAGTCATTTAGATTGGAAAAATCAATGAGTTTACTTTAGGGTAGTTGTAATTCGACCAAAAAGTATGAAAAATTTCAATGAATTTAAAATTTCATCATTAAATTAGTGAATTTGGCAAGTAATTAATAAAAATTCATTAAATTATAGGTGAAAGTGAAATTTTTTACAATAAATATACAATAAAAAAACCCAATAAAATGACAAAATATACTAAAAAACAAATAAACTTTTGATTTTCAAAAGCAAAAGATAAACAAATTTGATTTTAATCAAGAAAAAACTTTTTTTGTGGCAAAATTCTGGGGTGAGCCAGGCTTGAAGGTGTTCTTATAAGAAATTGCAAATTGTTAGACGATTACATAAGAAATATCGAGCAGTAAGCAAAAAACAAGTAAAGTCAGTTCTTAGGCACAACGTTTCTTGTAGTTGGCATAAATTGGGATTGAATGAAGTGAGTGAGCGAGTGAGTGAGTGAGGGTGGATGGGGACATCAATGTTCTCTTTTCTCTTTTCCTTTCCTTTTTCCCTTTTATTCCTTAAACAATCCGGTTCCTCTCAATCAATCTACCGTAATTCAATCTTCTCTCCAAGACTCGACTTTCTTCCAAAATCTTTCCATGAGCAAATATTTAATGATTGACAACGGGAAATGGAATGGACAAATAAAAGGTTTCGACTTGACTTTTGGCGACTTTCAATGATCTTTGAGTGTTGGAAATTTTTGATAAGCTGTAGTTTAACTCTTGACGATAAAATTAGCGTTGTTAACTTTTCAAATAAACATTTTAGCTTTGATTTTAAAGATTTTCGTTAGATGACTTGTTTCCAATTTGTCAAATTGATTAATTTAAGAACTTCATTAGTTTTTATATATTTTTAGTCATTCTTGGAACATTTACCACTTTATCCATAGACTTTGCCATAAAACATTGAATTGATTCAACTCTTTCAACTGAAAATTGTCTTTGAATTCTTTTAGAAAATGGAATCTAAATCAAGCAACTAATTGATTGAGTTAATATTAGGCTAGTGAGAAGTCTTGTGGTTCTTTTTGCGTTGTAATTTCTTAAAAACCTTTTCTTATTTATTAAAGATATTAACTATTTGCAAGTATCTTCCTATTTATTGAGCAAAGCGTGTAACCTTTTCTTACAAATGGAAGCTGACTTGACCCCGTTGAAATGAGCAAGGAAATTTGTTAGTCCTCGACCATTAGCCAAACGCTCGCTTGCCAAACCAAAAGCTAATTTCTTGAAAAAAGGAAAATAACTTGAAGCAATGTCTAGAGGATATAATGGTTCAAAAAGAACTTTTCAGCTTAAAGTCTACAGATTTTACTGATCACTTTTGGCAAGAGGGTCGGTTTTGTGTTCAATAGAGAAAATGACTTCCGTATTTGACCTCTTTTCTCCGCTTTTATCATCATCTAATTTATCTAGTTAACATCTAAAGAAGTATTAATAGTTAGCTCTTCAATAAACAGCACATAATGATTAGCCTCTTCGTTGCACTATCAAACTTTGTAATCAAAACCTTTACTAGTCAATTTTTGAGTTTGGTTTGAGCCTTTTGTTTTAATTATCTAAAGCCTATGCTTTTAAAAGTTAAATTTAAATACACATTTTTTCTGTTATATTTTGCTTGAATAAGGGTAGCAGGGATGATATTAAAAAAGAAAAGCAATCGCCGCAAACTTGCACTCTCATTTCAACCATTCTGTATGCCTACAAACATTTCAATCCCCATTTTTTAGACGAACCTAATTGATAGGAAATTTATTTGAATTTTATTATACACTCATTAAGTCTGTTCATCTGATCCGGGGTTTTTATCTTTATCTTTTCTATAATTTCTATTAATGTTAATATATCACAGCCACTCGGATAATTCGACCTCAGTTAATCTTGCTAGGAAAACCACTCTTTTAAATGCAATAAAATGAAAAATGCAATCCATTCTTTTAAATGCTAGCTGTCAATGGTCTATGGAGAAATCGATCCTCATAAGCATCATTAACTTTCTTTTTCATTAGGTGATTGTAATAGATTTTTAGAGTTAAAATAGAGAGACATGTCTAATTTTATGTTGCTTTGAAAAGTATATAAAATAACGATAAAAACAACAAAATTTTGAGATGCTATTTCAGTGGTCAATTCTAGTACCGTATTTTCTCTAATAGTAGTGCACCCTGAGCGTCGCCTAAATTGCTCGAAATCTCGAAAAGCGCTTATCAGAACCTATTGATGTGGGGTCGGAAAATATAGCTGACGATAAGATCGAGTGGGGGTTTAGAGTGTTGAGCCTCTGCAAAAGCTTGGAAATCGTAAAATAGTCACCAACGCGGCTCGCCGGGGTGCACTACTATTAGAGAAAATACGGTATACAAATCCCAATAGCAGCTGGACTTCCAGAGATTTAGAAAGAGAATGGTGAAAAAAAGGTGTCATCACTTTTTCATGAACCTAATAATTTTTTTGTTTGATTTAATAAATTCTACTCTTTAGCCTTCCATCCGATGCTCGATCTCGGTCGTGCAAATGGCCTCCTTTTCGGTTTTCTCATCTTCGTCACATCAATGTTGGGCAGCATTTTCATCTTAATGCCATTCATTCCATTTGCCTATTTGGCGCCAAAACAATTCAGATGGTTTGTTTGAAATGTTTTTGTTTTAAAAAAAGTCTTTTAGGATCGCTGATCGATGCGTGGGGTATTGGTTGACATTTCCGGCGGTGAGTTTTAATAAACGGTCAAAGATATCGGTTTATGTAGCTTGATTTGGTTTAAAAGTTTACAAGTTACAGATAGATTTTGAATTGAATTCAGTTCTAAACTAGTTTTAAAACATCTTCTCAGTTTTTCCAGTCACTTGTCGAGTTCATCTTTGGCGTTCAATTTCAAATCACTGGAGATCTCGTCGATCATCGAGAGCCGGCGATTATTTTGATGAATCACAGAACTAGGTGGGATAAAGTTTCAAAGAAAGGTTGATTATTTTTAGCTTCCGATATTTTCAGATTGGATTGGCTATTCCTGTGGAATGCTTTATACAAAATGGATCCATGGTTGTTGACGAGTGAAAAGATTTCACTGAAAGTGGGTTAAAAAATTCAGAAAAAGTTTCGACAAGTTGATTTTGTTTTTTGCATTAAAATTGCATTTGAAAATACAGATATTTTAACTTTAGAAAATGAATTTTCAATTATAAAGCTTTTTTCATTTTCAGGCTGGCCTCAAAAAGATCCCGGGTGCCGGTTGGGCGATGGGATGCGCTTCCTTCATCTTTCTGGATCGAAATTTCGAACAGGACAAAGAAAACATTAAGAATTTGATTAAATATTATAAAGATTCTGGGCAAAACTATCAGGTAATTGAAATTTTTGTTCTTTTAGAGTCAAAATCTAGATGTTACTGTTTCCCGAGGGCACTGATCGAGATCTCCGATCGATTGAGTTGAGTAGAGCTTTTGCTCAAAGTAAAGGTATGCAAATTGTTCATTTTAAAGCATTTTAAAGCATAAAATCACAAGGTTTAAATGAAAAAAATTTGAAATTTCAGATCTACCAATTTACGATTACTGTTTACACCCACGAGTTACCGGTTTCCAATACATTTTGGATCTGATGAGAAAAGGTAACTGCTAGCAATAGTTGTTAGACTTTATTAGCTTAGTCGATAAGTTTTTGGACACTTCTATTCACTAGCACACTTCTACTAGGGTTTATAAATGAAAAGTTTATCGATTGACCTACGCTTACTCCAAAAAGAAAATGTTTATTGTTCAATTTTCATCATTTTAAGCGAATTTGAGTTCATTCCAAAGTAAATTCAAGTCCAAAAACACGTTTTTCTCTCTACAAAGAAATCGCTTGAACACACCATTCTGAAAATTTGGCTATATACCAAACTTTTTATACTCTATCTTTTATCTATTGACACCAAGCTAGGTTTCTGTGAAAGAAAGTGTCTAAATCGTGTCTTTGACTACCCGACTTTGCGTTCTCTTGGAAATTTCGAGACTTTTCATAAGATTTAAATGTTATTTTGTAGAAAAATAGTAAGCATTTTTAGTGAAACAAACCGTAGATCAAGCGGTGAATTGCTTCTTTCTAAATAGCTTTTGAAATGGTGTTTAAAGACTTATCGGCAAGCTTAAATACAATTTCTAGAAAACTATATCAAATACGTCTATGATGTCACCGTTGGCTACCCGGAAAACATTGTGCAAAGCGAGAAAATTTTACTGAAAGATGGGCATTTCCCGAGAAGTGCTCACTTTGATTTTCACAAGATTGAGATTGGAGAGGTGCCGATGGATAAGGTAAATAATGGAAAGGGATTCACATTGTATATCGAACTTCTAATTAATAATTTTCTTACGATATTAGTTAGTTTTAAGTCAGAAGATTGCAATTTAAAAAAAAGTTTTGATTGCCTGATTCTTCATGAAAAACAAATTGGCGTTCTTGGGGTGACTTTTAATGCAGAAATGTATGCTCTCACTTTCCGAATTTACAATCTGATACGAGCCAGAGCAAATTGTATATTGAACTTCAAATTAGTACTAGTTTTCTTCACGGTATAAGTTTCCAGGCTGGCTGCGAAGTTTGGTTGAACTCTTTATGGCGATCGAAAGAGGCTAAGCTGAAGAATTTCTATGAGAAAGACAAGAAATTTGAGCCAAGTGGTAGCAGATATGTTTGGCCGGTGAGTGGAGAGGAAATTCCGTTTCAACTTTGGTAATTCTTAGCTTAAAACAACCGGTGTTGGTTATTGGATTGCTTTCTCATGGTGGGTGTTCACTTCAATGATGTGGTCGTATTTCACTTATCAATATTTCTTCGTCAAATTTTATGTCTTTCTCGGCTCATCCTTCTACATTTATGCTCTAAAGTGAGTGAAAAGAAAAGAAAAAATAATAAGAAAGCGATGATAAGAAAAATAAACAGCTATAGTTGAAAAATGCTTTCGTCATGGCTGAATATGTTTAAATCTTCATTGAAATTCAAAGATTTTACTTAAAACTAGATTGGATCATGTTTTCAGTCATGCAAATTTTAAAACTTTCATAAGCTCAACTAAAACCATTTCCTTTCAGATACCACAATGGAGTCGAATTTCTGGTCATAAAATGGTTTTACCGTCGATTTCCTGATTTGAGAAAAGATTTGTAAAGTTTCTTATCAAATTTTTATATTTATATCTATGCTCAATATTCAATCAAACCCATCAAAATGATCTCATTCCACTAATCTTCTTTTTGTCAATCAAAATCTAGTCTTGTTATTGTTGAACAATCCAAATTCTAATCTAGAGCTTTAGTTTTTTTGTATAGAATAAACCTTTCACTAACAATTTATTACACATTTGATCACAAAATAACACTGATTAGAATTCAAAGAAAAAGTACAATCAAATCACAATCATTCATTACATTTTCTTCCTTTCAATCCCTCAAAATTTCTCCTGATATTCCAATTTCTCTCCTGATGGGAAATCAATTTGATATTTGATAGTCAATTCTTTCTTATCTTGTCCACCAATTTCCACAGTATATTCAAGATTATTTGTCTGTGAATTGATCAATGATCCTTCTTTTCTTTCTTCACCCTCCGGAATGTGTTGAAGAGGGGCAGGAGTCGGTGAGAGGAGACGCACCTGCAAATTGACAATTCAGATCGTATGGAAAAGAGAAAGAAGAGAAGATCGAATGGGTAGTGGATATTGGACGTACTGCTATAGTAGAAGTGACTTCTCAAAATGGAGACAAGAGCTTAGTGATTCCCAAAAGTGAGCACAGCTTCTACTATAGCAGTAAGTGCCTTTACAACTTGGAATCTGACAATCCAGTAAAAGTTAATGTTAAACAAGCTGGAGTCTTGCAAACTTTTACTTGAATCCTTAACTTTTACTCAGTTTGAACGCACGATTTGAGATTTAGATCTAGAAGAATCTGATCAATAAAGTTGCTTGCTAGTGACTTGCAAAAAGAGTGCATCTTCTACTACAACATTGGATTGTTTCTAATCCTGATCCCTTTCATCTTCCCATTGAATCGAGTGGATCCTCACTCACCTTGATCTTCTCATCGGTACTCCTCGGCACATGTTCTTTAATTGTCACTTTCACTTTTTCCTTTCTCGTATTTTTCACAATCACTTTTTGTTCTTTCACTTGTGTATTATTCTTGTTGATCAATCCAGCCTAAATCTCGACGTCATTTGAAGATCTTCCATTCGTTTCACTCACTTCTCCTTGTTTGTTATGTGCCGGCTTATAATCGACTTTAATTGAAGCATCTTGTCCAAGAGATACTGCAAAATATTCACCCGGAGATACAGCTTTCAATTGAGACTGAAATCGATTATTGATTAGAATCAGACTATATTATCCTTTCGATACCTTTGTGATGAAATTTCCATCCAAAAAGATCGCCGCTTCACCGGGAAGAAATGGTAAAGAAGAAGAATTTCGAGTGGATCCAATCAAGTAGACATTGTTATTTTTTGATGGAACACATTCATGTTGAAGATTCGGTTGGAATGAGGCGGCACCGATTGTCACCTAAAATGTAATAGTTAGTTAAGATTTAATGGCCGAGGCTTAGCCCAGTATAATGTGGAGAGACAAAAGACTTTGTTTTCAGTGCTTATCTATATTTTATTATAGATAACGTTACAAACATTTATTTAAACTATTCCTTTATTACCTTATGCTCAGCTCCATCTGGTGGAATTGCAGCCGGACGAGCGATCACGAATTCCGATGAGAGAGCTTGCTCTTGAACAGTGGCGGTCTGAAATCAATAAAATCTCAAGTTCCAACTTTTTCATTATAAAAAAATTATTAACTTTCTAAACTTGCAAAAAAATCTTTATATCTTATTCTCATATTATTCTTATTCATCTTTACATCAATTCTTGTTTTAAATCTTTATAGCAAGGTCCTCTAACTCACAACATCCATAGCAGCATTTCCGCATTTCATCATCATGGGAGCCGCACGGGCAGCACACCTTTCCATTTGCATAACCTAAAACTTACAATCTTTTTCATTGGCGGAGCATCGTGGCGACTTTTTGCACAACGTTTTCTTTCGTGGGACCCGTATTGCGTGCGTGCGTGTGCTATTTCAGCCTACAAAAATTAAGTCACTTATGAATGAAGAAAGGGATTTTTACATATCTTTGCCCAACGCAATCTTATAAAAGGAATCTTGCCCTGTTTTCTGTATTTCAAGACTCAAAATGGATCACTTTCTACCTACTCATAAAAGCTGAATCCCAAGGACTTGACAAAAGGAAATTATATCTTTCCTGTGGTTTAGGGCAAATCTTTTTTTTGGCAAGAAATAAAATTGACTCACTCCATATCCACCGTAATTCTGTTGAGGATCAGGCTTCACATAGAGTGAGACATCAAGCGTTCCTAATTCGGGAATATTTCCACCAACAGATGGACTGGCTGTTGAGAGGACAAGTTGACAACCGGACCATTCTTCTCCAGAGTTTTGAGAGACTCGTCCAGAGTAGGTGATCTGCAAACATTCAATAGATGGACAATTCAATATCATAAAACAAAGGTCAATTTGGTCTTTACACATGTTACTCACATTCATATGTTTCTCCTCTTCTTTGCTATCGACTCGAATATCATAAGATGGCCTCCAGAAAGCATTGTACACTTGATAGTTCATTGTCAGTGACGCCTCTCCGGCTTCTGGTGACTCCAAGATCACGGTCACAGCCCTGAATTTGGGGTTTACTTTAACAATAATTTTCTATTCCAAATCTCACCTAACCGATCCCGGGTATTCATATCGATTGAGCTCATTTCTGATCACTTGCACTTTCTCGTTTGATTCGTTCTCTTCCTTTTCCAAAGACGATTCCGAATCACTAAAAATTTCATATTTCGAATTTGGCTGAATAATTTTAAATTACTTGAACTGAAGAACTTGATTCTCGTAATATTCAAAGAGACTTCCAATTCCTTCAAAAGTCTCCGCGTTGAACTGAACCGATTGAGCGCCTTGAGTGTTTCCAAGCTAAATTTTAAAAATAACATACCTAAACGTTTCATAAAGTTCTACAAGTTCGGCAAAATTTTCAACACCAAACCTTCCCAATGAGTGCATCAAGCGCTTCTCTTTTCTTCTGCAAAATCTTTCTGCGATTCTTGATCAAAGTGTTCTCCCTTTCGGCGACTTCAAGTTTTTGACGGAGTTCAACAGCCTAAAATGATCTGAAACTCAACACTCTTACTTTTTCAAAGCCAACCTGTGGACAATCTTTCTCTTTCTTCGTTGCCTCTTTCCATGCAACTTGCACCTCATGAATCGATGCATTTCCCGTTCCCGAAATCCTCACCGAATCATCCAAAATGTCTCCAGGAAGATTCTAAAACTTTTGTTAGATTGATATATAGATCTAGTTTTTATTTAGAAAGTTTTCAGGGGCTATAATGGCTGGGGAGGGACAAACTTTTTCCACCAAATGAGCTGATTTTCTGCAACCAGGGGTTTTTGACTATGCTGAATCTTGGTGATGGGTGATGGTTTTACACAACATTTCATAACTTTTAACAATGTTTATAACAAATGTACTTATTCTGGGATGAAGTGAGCAAAAAGTAGCCGTTGTCTTGCGTCATGTCCTCGTTGGTAACTTGTTGACATTTTGTTATTGTTATTTTTGTCGCTATTTGTTATAAACATTGTTAAAAGTTGTGTAAAAGCACCACCAATCGATTCAGAATAGTTAAAAAACCCTAGATGCACAAAAATCAGCTCATTTGGCGAAAAAAATAAAGCTATAAAAACTCTTTCTCATTACAATAACGTTTCAAGTCAAGCAAAATTCCTTCACCATAAATTACTAGAATTGTTTATCACTATATAAATATTAGGTATAATACTCACAATGATATTGATCTCATTCATGCCGGTCTCCAATTTCAACGCCACATTCCTCCTAATCTCGGCTCGATCCGAGAAAACGGTGACCCGCTCGATCGTTGTCGATTTGCATTCAATTGATTGCACGGTAGACATTGTTTCTGGAATAATTTCAAAATATATCTAAAGTTCAAGAAAGAATAAAAGAACAAAAAAAAATCAAGGTTTAAGGTACATTTCATGTTTCTTTTCCAGCATCTGTTTTTGTCGCGTTTCCAAGGGGAAAAACGCCGAAAAATGAAAAAGTGGATTCGTAAGGAAAATGAGAAAAATCTGTGACCGAGGTTGGGTTTCGCAAAAAAAAGCAAAAGAAAAAATACTAAAAGTATCCGCTTCTTAAAATATTATAAATTAAAATGGTAGTCGGGATTTCAAAATGAAAAAAAACGTTCATGACTGGGAGAGTTTTGGGGAGTATTTATAGAGGTTTGTGAAGGGACTGAGTCAGCTCTTCTTTTTCTCTTTTTGCCAAAAAGAGCTGTTTACCTCTCTTTCAGAAAAAAAAACGATTGTGAAAAGCGTTTTCTCATCGCTTTTTTTTTATTTGAAGTACAAGAACGATTCTTAGAAAAATTTAACAAATTTTGCATTTATTTGTTTTATTTTTTGAGTGACATTACAAAGTCAAGTCTATAAATTAGTGAGATCGAAGGGTCAAATTCTAGCTTGACTGCTAACTTTTGCAAAATTGAAAGAACAATTTGATAATAGATTCGAGATGAGAAGTTCGTAATCAATTTTTTACTTGAACCTTTACAAAAATGTATCCCTACTTTAAAAATCAAGAAAATGTTCGTGATTTTGCGGAATACCACTCCCCAAAAAAGTCAATCTTAAACCGGGAAATTGCAAAAATATAAAAAATTTGGTAAAAACTGTCTAGAAAAAGGTAAAAATCAGGAAATCGACAATTTTTTTTGGGTTTCCCATTCGAAAAGGAATCGATGGGAGAAATTGCACACAAATAGGCAGACAGAAGAAAAAAAGAAGGGAATTTGAAGAGAATGCAGAGTATTTTCAAGAGATCTTTTTGCTCGTTTCCAAAAGTTTTTATGCTTTTTTTTGTGAAACAAACATTTGAGCTGTCCCCTTGGAAATGGCTAAAGGTTATAGGGAAAAGATAAGCATTTGTGGCTCCATTTCCGAAAGTAAACAAAACTCGTTCAGGGGGAAAGTTTTTCAAGATGAAAATTGAAATTTATTGAGACAAGAATAGTATTTGCTTTGATATTTGATTATTCATTAAACTACGAATTTGGGAGTTAACAGATCGGATCCACACGATAAACAAAAGATTGATCAAAAGTTCAAAAAAACAGAAGATTAAGCATGTGGTCAAGTGACATGTAATTCTTTATTTTCACGCATTAAAAATGACGTAAGAGAAATAATTCAAATAAATATGAGCATAAAATCTTTACAAAAACTTAGAATCCGAATCCATTTTTGTTCACTTGATTTGTTGTGTGGAAACCGAAAGCAGTAAAAGAATTCAGATTCTCGATATAGCTCAAATTCTCCCCTAGCGGATATTCAATCTGATATTTGATTGTAATTTCTATCTTTTCTTCACTCGGGATTTTGATTGTCCATTCGAGATTATTTGTGTGTAAGTTGATGAAATGTCCCTCTTTTCTTTCAGTTTCTTCATCAAATGTCGTCACTTCTGCGTCAGGAGAGAGAAGTTTCACCTGAATCAAAATCAAATCTATACTTGAATAATTAAATCAGCTAGTACATATTTTCAAATATAAACATGTCTTTGAAGAATTCACAAATCTGTAAAAGGTTATCATTATAGCTCACCACAATTCTCTCCTTCAAACTCCTCGGAATTTGTTCGTAGAATGTGACCGCTTTCTCGTTTCGACTATTCTTCACCATATACTTCTGTTCCTTGACTATTGTATTCCATTTGCTGATCAATCCTGCCTGAAAAACTTTGAATATTAAACTTTTATAGTATTTAAACTTGAACTCATCTTACTCCACAAATCCCAACCTCTCCTTGACTATTGTGTGCCGGTTGACGGATAACTTTGATTGAAGAATCGACCCCAAGTGAAAATGAGAAGTGTTCTCCTGGAGAGACGGATTTGAGATGAATCTGAAAACAACGTTATCGCTGCCCATTCTTGTTCGTTTACTTTGTTGATAAAGTTTCCATCGAGGAAAATGGCGGCTTTTCCAGGCAGAAATGATAGAGATGAAGTGTTTGTGGCGGCTGCAGTCAAAAACACATTCAAATTTTTGACAGGCACACATTCACGTGAGAGAATTGGAGACACTTGAGCGACTCCGATTGTTACCTGAAATCAAATATTGACGGAAACAGTGAAGCTCTTGCTAATATTTTAATTTAGGATACTGTAACGAGATAAGAGACCTAGCACAGCTTACAATTAGGAATTTCCAACCTTGTGCTCTCCATTATCCGACGGAATTGTGATCAATCGATTAATCGTGAATTCTGAGGCCAAAGTCTGTTCTTCTACTGTAGCTGTCTAAAATTGGATTTTATATTGGAAATGGCTGAACAAAATTTGTAAACTTACAACTTGCACCATTTCCGGTTTTGCTACTTCTGCTGGAGGAGCACGTGCTGGAGCGGCACCAAAAAGCGCTCCCGAAGTTGAGGTTGAGGTCTGGCTAGCGGGCTGGCTCCCAAACAAGCCGGATGATGACTGTTAAAAAATTATTTTTGTAATTCTTTTTTAAAAAAACATACAGCTCCAAACGTTGTTCCACACGGTTGTGGAGTTCTCTCTTTGAATGAAACACCAAGAGTGCCCAAAGGAGGTAAAGATCCGCCAAATGATGGAATTGCTGTTGAGAGAATGAGGCGGCAATTCCTCCATTCTTCTCCTGATTCTTGAGTGACACACCCAAAATAGGTGATCTAAAAAAGATTGGATTATAGCCAATCTCAAGACTGATATTTTCATTCTGACATCCTGTAGCTATCAGCTAACGTATATCAAAAACCGATACGCACTTCAGGCTTCTGTAAACACACACGACTTGATATACTCGCCTCCTCACTTTAATCAATAGTTTTTCGGAATAAATTCTTTAGAAAAAACAAGAGATCAAAAGGTGTGTTTTTAACTCAACACAAAGTACGGATCAAACGAGAAAACATAAAATCTTTCAACTCACATTCATCTTCTCTTCTTCACCCATCGCATCGACGCGAATATCATAGGATGGCCTCCATTCTGCTTGCGTAACTTGATAACTCAGAAACAGATCAACCTCACAAGCTTCTTCTGTCTCCAAATTCACTTTGATAATTCTAAACCGAAACTGATGAATGCAGTAATGTTTTTCCAACCGAATCGTCTTTTCTTTGATGCATTTATTCAGTTTTTGCTTTGCTTCTTTTGTTTTCTCTTTGCATTCATCTTCTTCCTTGATAAGGACTTGCTCTTGTTTTCTGAAAACTCGATAAAATTTATATTTATCCAAAATAAACTTTCCAACTCACCCAAATTCTGTCGCTTGTTGCTCATAAAAGTCAAAAAGTTCCTTAAATCCGTCAAGAGTCGATCGATTCACAACAAAATTTGACGATTCCCCCTTTTCTTTTTTTTCAGTCGTACTTCCAACCACCTGAATATCATTACTTTCAATAATATTTATCAAAGTTTACATTTTGGTACAGCCTTTGCAATCCAGCGAGCTTATCCTTCAACAGATTCCTTCTCACTAACATCCAAGCCTCGGCCCTCTCGCATTCAATCAAAGCCTTTCGAAGTTCTATTGCCTAAAAAGTTGAACATTTTTGTAAATCGAGTTTTTTTTTCTACCTCTTCTAAAGTACCTTTGGTCACATTTTTCCATCCAATCTCAATGTCATGAATCGAAGCCATCCCTGCTCCCGAGGCTCTCACCGAATCCTCGCAAATTTGCCCCAAAACATTCTAAAGTTTAGCTTCATTTGATGAAATTTGAAAAATAAATACATTGATAGAAATTTCATTGATTCCTTGTTCAAGTTTCAACGGGATTTTCCTTCGAATCTCAGCCCGATCGGGGAATACAGTAACACGCTCGATTTGGGATGAGTCGGATTGAATCGTTTGTTTCGTGATGCTCATCTGAAAGTTTGACAACAGTTTAAAAAAGTGTAACTACCAAGAAAAACTGAAAAACTGGCAAAAAGTTTGAAAAACATTCCTAAAATCAATTTTCGTCAATACAATAAACTAAAAGAGGATTTAAAGTTTAAAAGCTAGTTTTTGAAAGAACATCTTGAAATTCTATAGCAAAGCAGACTCAAAAAACAGTTAAAGGATTTGTCTTAAAGCAATGAATTATAAAAATCTTCGCGAGAAATTCTTAAAAATCATTTTTGAAATAGTTACGAAAACGGCAGAATTTTGTCGAGTTTCGTATATTCTTTGGTTTTTTTTTTCATCTCTAAATCTCTTTACTTTGTTGTTTTCTCTCATTTGAGTGGTTTATGGGAAGAAGGGGAAAATGGGGAAAAGAGTTGTTTGTGAGCATCCACTCTTCCCCATTTTTTTTGCCTTTCCAGGCATTGATCTTTTTTTCACTTCCAAGAAAACAAGGAAAATCTTTGCGAAAGGCTGAATTTGACCTTGTTTTTTTTTACTTGTTTTTGTTTTTGTTGTTGTTGTTTGAATTTGACCTTGTTTTTGAACTTATCCATCCATTTGTGACCAATAAGCTCAAATCAGGGGGTAGGCTAATTTCCGTCATTTCATTTGCGCAACAGGGTCATTTGCGTAACAATGGAACAAGAAGATCGCGCCGTGGCAGATTATTTAGATTTGCGTTTTGGTTAAGTGGGCACTTGGTTGAATTGGTTAAGTTGAGTTTATACATGTGTGAACGGATTCAAAACAATGGAGTGGAAGGAGCCGAAAATAAAACGAAATAAAACCGTGCTAGAATTTTAAACAACAAACTATGAGCAAACAATATAAAAAGGAGAGAACGAACGAGGGGAGAGAGTACTTTAAAAACGAGCTACAAAAATATAATGGATTTTACGAAGGGGAAAGAAAACGTAGCCGGACTCGGCATAAAAGCCGGACAAAGTTTCCGATCCCACCATGGAATAAAGGAAAATGAAAAGAATAGCAAAAGAGAATTTTTGTGCGGGGTACGCTAGCGCATCCACGCTTTAGAAAGCGCACCGCTCTGCTTTTGCGCAAGTCCCTTAAAAACGTCAAAAAAGTTGCGCAAATGACCCTTTTTCTGTAAAAAAAAAGTGGCGCAAATGACTCTGTTGCGCAAATAAAATGGCGGAAATTAGCCTACCCCAAATCAGGTCACATTAAAAACACTCAAAATTTTATTTTGCTAGTTTTTTGGTTTAATCTCTTTTTATCCATTTACTTGCTGTTTTATTTTTAAACTTAAGCTTACCTTTGTAAACAATCGATATAAAATTGTAAGCTTTAAAGTAAATAAAGTATGACAATACCTTACAACTTCTTTAAAAGGAACTCTTTTTTTTTGCACAAATGTGTTGCTGATCTTTTGGGTTTCGAAAAGGCGGTAAACACATTTCAAAAGAGGAAATGGGTGAAGAAAAAGACTGAATCACCCAAAACAAAAAAAAAGCTTTTTTCTGCTTTTCGATTCAGCAAAAGACCTATAAAACTGGGTGAGCACACATGGAAATCGAAAAATTTTACCCAGTTCCGATAAAAATTCTTCTTTTTGAACTTACCGTGTACTTTGAGCTAAAATTTTTTAAGGAAAAATTATGGCTTTCAAAAGTAACTCAAAATCCTTACTTTCATCCGTTAAATACTTAAATTTTGTTATTTGAAATCTGACCGCATTTTCTTATAATATTTTTCTAAAAGAAATTCTTACAGGAAAATGGCTGTTCAAACGATTGAATGCAAAACGACAACGATCGAGAAAGTGATTGTGTTTACTGATCGAGCTGAGATTCGCAGAAATGTTCCGCTGAAACTAGAAATTGGAATGAATGAGATCAATATCATTGTGAGTCTATCAACAGTTAGAAATTTTGGCTTTTATTTTATCAACAACAGCATATAAAAACTTTAAAATGTTTTTAAGAACGATGAATATGGCTAAAGTTTGTTATTAACGAGCGCGATATCGAGAAACGATAGCTGTTTAGTTACTAGGTGCAGCAAGGCTTAAATACTTGCTAAAAAAATGTCGTTTTTCTATAATTATACCTAATTGGGGTACCGTATTTTCTCTAATAGTAGTGCACCCCTCCGAGCCGAGTTGATGACGATTTTACGGTTTCCAAGCTTTTGCAGAAGCTCAACACTCAAATCCCCCACAAGATCTCATCGTCAGCTACATTTTCCGACCCCAAATCGATAGGTTCTGATAAGCGCTTTTCGAGATTTCGAGCAATTTAGGCGACGCTCAGGGTGCACTACTATTAGAGAGAATACGGTAATCTAAGCGAATCAAAGTTAGAGATTTAAAGTACTAAAGAGCACCTTTGGCATTGCTTTATTCAATTGTCTTGTTAGTCTTGTCCATAATTCTTTCAAAAGTCAAAATCTTTACAATCATTTCCAGAATCTCCCCAATGAAGTGGTCGATGATTCGGTAAGGATTTCGGGAACGGGAAACGCGTCGATTCATGAGGTGCAAGTTGCATGGAAAGAGGCAACGAAAAAGGAGAAAGATTGTTCACAAGTTTGTTTTAAATAATCTAATAGAAAAAAGATACGGATTTGAAAACACAAGTATTAAAAATATTCTAAAGATTGCAATTTAGGCAGCTGATCTTCGCGTTAAACTTGAGGCGGCTGAACGGGAAAGAGATTTGTTGAAGAATCGGAGAAAGATCATTCAAAAGAAGAGAGAAGCGTTGGATGCACTTATTGGAAAGGTAAATGGGTACATTTATAGTTTGTTTATAACTAGTTTTTAGCTATTTTATGCGAAAATTTAGCTTGGAAACACGGAAAACGCTCGTGGGCTTCAGTTCAATGGAGACACATTCGAGGGAATCGCAAATCTCTTTGAGTACTACGAGAAACAAGTTCTTCAGTTCAAGTGAGATTCTTTAATACTACAAATCAATAAGCTAACTGATAAATAGTCTTTCTAGTTTACTAGTTCATTTAAAAGCTTGTGCTTTACACGATTTCTAAACCAAAGAATCTATCTAAACTCTATATTTTCAGCGATTTCGATGGCTCTTTGGAGAAAGAGGAGAAAGACGCGCAAGAAAGAGTTGATGTCATCAGAAAAGATCTCAATCGATATGAATTTTCTGGATCTGTTAGGTGAATAGAGAATTTTTGATTGAATAATAAAATCTTTTAGAACAGTCACCGTAATCCTTGAGTCACCAGAAGCGACCGATGCTCATCTAAATCTCAGTTATCAAGTGTACAATGCTGGATGGAGACCGAGTTATGATATTCGAGTTGACACGGGAAAAGAGAATCATATGAATGTGAGTGAGTTTGCAGTAACAGTAGAACAACCGAATTTTCCATTAAAAAACTGGCAACTTAAAGTCTTCAAAGTACATTCATCTCAATTCTAGATCACCTACTCCGGTCGAGTCACTCAGAACTCTGGAGAAGAATGGTCTGGCTGTCAGCTTGTCCTTTCCACTGCCAAACCATCAGTTGGAGGAAATATCCCCGAATTGGGAACTCTCGACGTCTCACTCTACGTAAAACCATGCGAACCACCAATTCAACCCTATGGAGTAAATCTTTCATGTCAAATCTTGCACTTTAAAAATCGAGTATGATAATGCGCGTTTTTTGACGAAAGTTCAGAGTGTCTGAAGAGTTTAGATAGAAGAAGAATGTTCGGAATCTCGAGGCATGCCATGTCCTCTCTCTGCAGACATGATGACTAATATTGTAAGTTTCAGGGTGGTTTGTACGGGGCACCTGGGGCAGCTCAGTCATACTCTATGCGACAAATGTCATTAGGAGGAAGAAAGGAAAAGAATCTCAATGTTGTTGTAGGTTTTTGTAACAGTTTTTTTACAAGTTTAGAAAGTTAATAAGTTTTTTATCAGGAAAAGTTGAAACTTGAGATTTTATTGATTTCAGACCGCCACTGTTCATGAGCAAGCTCTCTCCTCAGAATTCGCGATCGCTCGTCCGGCTGCAATTCCACCCGATGGAGCTGAGCATAAGGTAATAAAGGAATAGTTTAAATAAGTGTTTGTAATGTTATCTAGAATAAAATATAGATAAGCACTGAAAACCCAGTCTTTTTTCTCGCCACATTATACTGAGATAGGCCTCGGCCATTAATCCTTAACTAACTATTACATTTTAGGTGACAATCGGTGCCGCCTCATTCCAACCCAATCTTCAACATGAATGTGTTCCATCAAAAAATAACAACGTTTACTTGATTGGATCCACTCGAAATTCTTCTTCTTTACCATTTCTTCCCGGTGAAGCGGCGATCTTTTTGGATGGAAATTTCATCACAAAGGTATCGAAAGGATTACTGTTGCCATCCTCTAATCAATAATCGATTTCAGTCTCAATTGAAAGCCGTCTCTCCGGGTGAATATTTTACAGTATCTCTTGGACAAGATGCTTCAATTAAAGTCGATTATAAGCCGGCACATAACAAACAAGGAGAAGTGAGTGAAATGAATGGAAGATCTTGAAATGATATCGAGATTTAGGCTGGATTGATCAACAAGAATAATACACAAGTGAAAGAACAAAAAGTGATTGTGAAAAATACGAGAAAGGAAAAAGTGAAAGTGACAATTAAAGAACATGTGCCGAGGAGTACCGATGAGAAGATCAAGGTGAGTGAGGGGTCCATTCGATTCAATGAATCTTCTCTTTCTTTCTCTTTTCCATACGATTTCCCCTGAATTGCCCATTTGCAGGTGCGTCTCCTCTCACCGACTCCTGCCCCTCTTCAACACATTCCGGAGGGTGCAGAAAGAAAAGAAGGATCATTGATCAATTCACAGACAAATAATCTTGAATATACTGTGGAAATTGGTGGACAAGATAAGAAAGAATTGACTATCAAATATCAAATTGATTTCCCATCAGGAGAGAAATTGGAATATCAGGAGAAATTTTGAGGGATTGAAGGGAAGAAGATGTAATGAATCATTGTGATTTGATTGTATTCTAATCAGTGTTATTTTGTGATCAAATGTGTAATAAATTGTTAGTGAAAGGTTTATTCTATACAAAAAAACTAAAGCTCTAGATTAGAATTTTTATTGTTCAACAATAACAAGACTAGATTTTGATTGACAAAAAGAAGATTAGTGGAATGAGATCATTTTGATGGGTTTGATTGAATATTGAGCATAGATATAAATATAAAAATTTGATAAGAAACTTTACAAATCTTTTCTCAAATCAGGAAATCGACGGTAAAACCATTTTATGATCAGAAATTCGACTCCATTGTGGTATCTGAAAGGAAATGGTTTTAGTTGAGCTTATGAAAGTTTTAAAATTTGCATGATTCTGAAAACAATCCAATCTAGTTTTAAGTAAAATGTTTGAATTTCAATGAAAATTTAAATATATTCAGGCATGACGAAAGCATTTTTCAACTATAGCTGTTTATTTTTCTTATCATCGCTTTCTTATTCTTTTTTCTTTTCTTTTCACTCACTTTAGAGCATAAATGTAGAAGGATGAGCCGAGAAAGACATAAAATTTGACGAAGAAATATTGATAAGTGAAATACGACCACATGATTGAAGTGAACACCCACCATGAGAAAGCAATCCAATAACCAAGACCGGTTGTTTTAAGCTAAGAATTGCCAAAGTTGAAACGGAATTTCCTCTCCACTCACCGGCCAAACATATCTACTACCACTTGGCTCAAATTTCTTGTCTTTCTCATAGAATTTCTTCAGCTTAGCCTCTTTCGATCGCCATAAAGAGTTCAACCAAACTTCGCAGCCAGCCTGGAAACTCCGTGAAGAAAACTAGTACTAATTTGAAGTTCAATATACAATTTGCTCTGGCTCGTATCAGATTGTAAATTCGGAAAGTGAGAGCATACATTTCTGCATTAAAAGTCACCCCAAGAACGCCAATTTGTTTTTCATGAAGAATCAGGCAATCAAAACTTTTTTTAAAATTGCAATCTTCTGACTTAAAACTAACTAATATCGTAAGAAAATTATTAATTTGAAGTTCGATATACAATGTGAATCCCTTTCCATTATTTACCTTATCCATCGGCACCTCTCCAATCTCAATCTTGTGAAAATCAAAGTGAGCACTTCTCGGGAAATGCCCATCTTTCAGTAAAATTTTCTCGCTTTGCACAATGTTTTGCCGTTGGCAAGATTTTCCCTGTTTTCTTGGTAGTGTATTCTTTTGGGTTTCGAAAAGGCGGGAAAAAACAAACTAAAGAGAGTTAGAGATGAAAAGAAACCAAAGAATATACGAAACTCGACAAAATTCTGCCGTTTCCGTAACTATTTCAAAAATGATTTATAAGATTTCTCGGCAGGATTTTTTATAATTCATTGCTTTAAGACAAATCCATTAACTGTTTTTGAGTCTGCTTTGCTATAGAATTTCAAGATGATCTTTCAAATAAAAACTCGCTTTTAAACTTTAAATCCTCTTTTGGTTTACTGCATTGACGAAAATCTTTTTTTTATCTGTTTTCGCACTTAGGTGTTCCTATTTGCGCAGATCACAACCTGCTTCCACATTTCTCGATCCCTTGCTATTGTCATCCAGTGTTTGGTTCAAAGTCTTCGACTTGCTTGTGCTAGTGGTAGTTGCTCTCTAGCCATCCTTTCTCTGACCTCTCTGCCACTCTTGTGCTCCACCTCGTTGCTGGTCTTCCGGTGGGCCTCTTATGGTCTCGTGATAGCCACTCTGTGATCCGTATCGTCCATCTGTCGTCTGTTCTTCTGGCTACGTGGCCGGTCCATCTGAGTCTTTTCCCTCAATCACTTCCACTGGATCTCTGAGTCCCAAGAGCTGGCGCATATCCGTATTTCTTAGGTCTTGGTCGAGCTGCGTCTTCCTATTGTACCCGAGGAGGTTCCTTTCAAGGGCACGATGCGTCGTTCTCAGGGCTCGTTCGGTGGTCTGTGTCGTGGCCCAGATCTCTGTCCCGTAGCAGAGTGCCGGGAGCTCGGTGCTGTCGAAGAGGTGTGGCCGAGTCCTCTGGTGATTCTTGAGTATCTTTGTGACTTCTTTGATGCTTCCTACTGCTGCCCAGGCCGCTCGTCTTCTTTTGGCGACTTCTGGTCTTAGGTCTCCCTCCATGTTGATGCTTCTTCCGAGGTAGGTGTAGGAGGTGACTAGTGGTTGACCTTCCAGCTTGATCTCTCCAGGTGGGCACCATGCATTACTCATGCTCCGAGTCTTTTTCTTGTTCATCTCGAGGTCAATCTTCTTGCTGATTCGGTCGAGGTCTTCTAGCATCCGTTGGGCTTCTTCTGGTTTCTTGGCGCTGCCGCGCAGAGCACGATGTCGTCTGCGAAGCGTAGGTTGGTGATGTTCCTGCCGCCTACCGGGATGGTCTTTCATGGCACTGGAGAACCATGTTGAAGAGCTTGGGCGAGGGTGTCTCCTTGGCGGTTGATCGGGATGTGGGGTTCCCTCTCAAACATCTAGATGGTGGTGGTAGCCTCCGTGTAGCAGTCTTGTATGGCGTGGATATATCCGAAGTCAATCCCTGTGTCGAGGAGAGCTTGTGTTACTGCACCGGGTTTCACTGAGTCGAATGCCTTCTTGTAGTCGACAAACATGAGTGGCATTCGGAATTCTTGTGTTTTTTCGATCAGTTGGGTGACGGTTGTCTTCTCCTCCAGCTCTACGTCGACGAGCAGAGGTCGGTGTAGAAGTCTTGGACAATCTTCGCCGCTCTTGAGTTGGTTCTTGTGCCGTTGTTGTCCTTGAGGGCTGTGAAGACTTGTCTCTTCTCTTGGATGAATCCTCGTCTGCACCTCTTGATGCTTTGTCTTGCTTCGGCTGCTTCCAGAAGCTTTCGCTTGCGGTGGTTGCGGCATGCTTTTTCAGCTGTTCTTCGTTCCAGTTCTGTGGAGTTGGTGTTGTTCTTGATGTGGATCGCATTCCTTGAGGTTCTTGACCAGGTTGTCCGAACTTTGCTGCTGTTTCCGATGGTCGCGTCGAAGTCTCCGAGCACGAACTTGTAGAAGCTCCTGTCTTTCTTGAGTGTTGCTTCGAGGTCCTCGTAGAAGGCTTCTCGTTTGTCTTCCTCGGCTGCGGAGGTTGGGGCGTAGCAGCTGTAGACGGCGGTGTCGCGGTTTCTCGGTAGCTTGGGGTGGAGGACTGCGAGTCGTGGAGAGATGATCTCATGGCTATCGACGAGTGGCACGATGTCCTTGTTGACCAGGAAGCCTACTCCTCCGATGTTCTTGTTGGTGACTTTGTGGACGAGTATGAGCAGTTCGCCGTTCGCCCCTGTCCTGGCGGTGAAATGCAGAGTCGAAGGCTTGGGCTTTGTCGTCGAGTTCCGTTCCTTGGTCCGTTGTCCATATGACATCCTGATGTCCCGGGATTGGATCGCCTCTCGGTCTTTGCTTGATCCCTCGATGCCGGAAGAGAGCAGGGAGGCCCTGCGGGGTACTGAGGCAGAAGTGTAGTTGTCGTAGCCGATGATACTCCGATGGCCGGGCTGGGGCGCTCGAAGGGGAACCCACAAAACTCGAACCCACGACCATCCCGCGCCGACGTTGCTTAACTTGGCAGATCGGAAGGGATAGACCGCAGGCCCTTCCTCTTCTAGGCCCATTGACGAAAATCTGTTCTAGGAATGTGTTAAAAACTTTTTCCCAGTATTTCAGATATTTTTTAAAATTATTCCAGAAACAATGTCTACTGTGCAATCAATTGAATGCAAGTCAACAACGATCGAGCGGGTCGTCGTTTTCTTGGATCGAGCCGAGATTAGGAGGAATGTGGCGTTGAAATTGGAGGCCGGCATGAATGAGATCAATATCATTGTGAGTATTTTACCTATATTTATATAGTGATAAACAATTCTAGTAATTTATGGTAAAGGAATTTTGCTTGACTTGAAACGTTATTGTAGTGAGAAAGAGCTTTTATCGCTTTATGCAAACCTCTAGTCTATTAGTTTAAACGTGAATTGGTTTTCTTTGCAAACAGGTGCTATAGTAGTTGGAAGGGCAAATTTTTTCACCAAATGAGCTGATTTTTTGCATCCAGGGGTTTTTGATTATTCTGAATCGATTGGTGATGGTTTTACACAACTTTTAACAATGTTTATAACAAATAAAAGGGGGGCTGAGACAAGGATAATTTTTTAAGAATAAGTACAAGGGGTACATTTTTATAAAATTGTAAAAAGATGAATTGTGTGAAAACCGAGCAAAAGGAAAAGTTGGGTGAAAAACCCCCCCAGCCCCGGAACGTTCTAAAAATATATATCAATCAAACAAAAGTTTTAGAATCTCCCTGGAGACATTTTGGATGATTCGGTGAGGATTTCGGGAACGGGAAATGCATCGATTCATGAGGTGCAAGTTGCATGGAAAGAGGCAACGAAGAAAGAGAAAGATTGTCCACAGGTTGGCTTTGAAAAAGCAAAAGTGTTGAGTTTCATATCATTTTAGGCTGTTGAACTCCGTCAAAAACTGGAAGTCGCCGAAAGGGAGAACACGTTGATCAAGAAGCGCAGAAAGATTTTACAGAAGAAAAGAGAAGTGCTTGAGGCGCTCATTGGAAAGGTTTGGAGTTGAAAAGTTTGTCAAACTTGTAGAAGTTTATGAAACGTTTCGTATGTTATTTTTAAAATTTAGCTTGGAAACACGCAAGGCGCTCAATCGGTTCAATTCAACGCGGACACTTTTGAGGGAATCGGAAGACTCTTTGAATATTACGAGAATCAAGTTCTTCAGTTCAGGTAATTTAGAATTTTTCAGCCAAATTCAAAATATAAAATTTTCAGTGATTCGGAATTCTCTTTGGAAAAGGAAGAGAACAAGTCAGACGAGAGAGTTCAAGTGATCAGAAATGAGCTCAAACGATATGAATACCCGGGATCGGTTAGGTGAGATTTGGAATAGAAAATTGTTGTAACAGTAAACCTCAAATTCAGAGCTGTGACCGTGATCTTGGAGTCGCCAAAAGCCGAAGAGGCGTCACTGACAATGAATTATCAAGTGAACAAAGCTTTCTGGAGGCCATCTTATGATATTCGAGTCGATAGCAAAGAGGAGGAGAAACATATGAATGTGAGTAACATGTGTAAAAACCAAATTTACCTTTGCTTTATGATATTGAATTGTTCATCTATTGAATGTTTGCAGATCACCTACTCTGGACGAGTCTCACAAAACTCTGGAGAAGAATGGTCCGGTTGTCAACTCGTTCTCTCAACAGCCAGTCCATCTGTCGGTGGAAGTATCCCCGAATTAGGAACTCTTGATGTCTCACTCTATTTCCAGCCTCATCCTCAACAGAATTATGGTTTCGTTGGATCTGGAGTGGGTCAATTTCATTTCTTGCCAATAAAAGATCTTTGCCCTAAACGACAGGAAGGATAGAATTTCCTTTTCTCAAGTCCTTGGGATTCAGCTTTTATGAGCAGGTAGAAAGTGATCCATTTTGAGTCTTGAAATACACAAAACATGGCAAGATTCATTTTATAAGGTTGCGTTGGGCAAATATATGTAAATATCCCTTTCTTCATTCATAAGTGACTTAATTTTTGTAGAATCCATGGTTCAACAACAACAAATCCAACTCACGCCATACGGGTTCGACGAAAGAAAACGTTGTGCAAATAACCACCACGATGCTCCACCAATGAAAAAGATTGTAAGTTTCATGTGATGGAAATGGAAAGGTGTGCCCGTGCGGCTCCCATGATGATGAAATCTTATTGATTTCAGACCGCCAGAGTAGAGGAACAAGCTCTCGCATCGGAATTCGTGATCGCTCGTCCGGCTGCAATTCCACCCGATGGAGGTGAGCATAAGGTAATCAAGGAATATTTTAAATAGATGTTTGTAATGTTGTCTAGAATAAAATATAGATAAGCACTGAAAACCCAGTCTTTTGTCTCGCCACATTATACCGGGATAAGCCTCGGCCATTAATCCTTAACTAACTATTACATTTTAGGTGACAATCGGTGCCGCCTCATTCCAAGCGAATCTTCAACATGAATGTGTTCCATCAAAAAATAACAATGTTTACTTGTTTGGATCCACTCGAAATTCTTC